GTGTAAACTCAACATACCTTTTCTAAAACGTTTTAGCCAAGACGTCTTGGAATGCCGCGTGTAGTGTAAATAGGGCTATTATCAGATTAGGTAGACCTTAATATTTGACATTTACATGTCTTGGCAATAGATAGTGTCATATGAACATGAAGGTCTTTTCATTTAATGTCAAAAAGTTCTCCGAGAATATGATCGAGCTATCACATTCAAATAATCGTTTATTTTGTTTTGAAATTTTAGATTAGTAGGTTAAACTTTAAACAAAACGCAACAGAACTTTCAAAAAGACAGCTTAATTTTTTCGGCCAAAACTACTGTCCCCTTCTGATCATGATAAAAAACTTAGACGTAAAGCAACTAAATAAAATAGATTCCTATTGGGGGAACATCGTTTGGGATATTGTCGATTTGTTTTTCTCGTGACTGGCTGTGCTTTTCGTGAAGCCTCTTCTTACGGTGATTGGTAAAACGTTTAAGGCCTTTACTCCTTCTGCACTTAGCGTACATACACGTTCGCAGCAAAGGATGCCCCATCATAATTTATTAAGATATCTTACATACATTATTAATCACATTTCACGTCAGGTGAATATTAGTAATATGAAACCCCACTTGGGTAGCAACACAGCAGAATAAACTGTATATTGTTTTAAAGAATATACAGTTGTAACAAAGAAGGGTGCATTCTGACACTTAGCAAGATATACAAAAAGTGTTGCACAAAAGACGATTGACTGTCACGGGCAGTGCACTAAAGCTGATCTAATTACACCCTATTCCCTCATTCAATAGTAAGCACAAAATGAATCAACGCTGCGTTTTTGAACTGCCCGCGGTGCAAGTCAATTGCATAATATTGAAGTTTTCCCCCTAGGTATCACAAAAAGAACAATAAGCCCATGTGGTGCAAATTACATGGTCACACGTTTTCAACAACAACGCTCAACCAAGAGCATTTACACCGCTTATTATGATGTATCAATCTTGTCCGCTAACAGTGTGTCAGCACCACAGGATTGCAATAAACTGTGATGTCTTTCAAAAGAATTATGTAAGTGTAAGTGCGCTTGGATGAGTTGAAAACACACGAGGTCGTAATCATGCACTGCCGGACTTATTGTCGTTTTAGTGTTACCTGGAGAAAACTCATTAAAAAGTTTTAAAGCAATCTAGAAATACAGCCCAAGTTTCAAACTGTACCTGGCCTGTTACATGCAGTGCACTGAAGCTTAACCAATTACAACCAATCACGTCTTATCAATACACTCATCTCATAATCAATACAAAAGAAATAAAATCTTCCTAAAATTGGATCATGGGCCATTTACCTTTCATAAGACTCGGTGTCGGGTTTAAGTTAGATTGGGTCTTAGGAGAACTAATAGCCTCGGATCACGGCCCTCGGCTATTATTTTTCTTAAATCCCAGTACTCATACTTTATCCATAACGGTTTATCTAATTCATTTGCCTGACCATGTTCATAAATAAGAAATAACATACTGGTTTAATGGCACCAATTATGGCATTTAATATTTACTTTTTGATTCCTTACGCGAGATTTTCATTGTGTAAATACAAATTCTTTCCGGGTAAAGGTACACGTAATAGCTTTCATAATTACTTATTCTTGCATGTTTCTCTATGTTCTGATGATCAATAATTTGATTTACAATGTAAGTGATGATTTTTCATGTCATTAGAATATACAATCCTGCGTGCCACACAAGTAAATAACAATAATTAGGTGCTTCAAGGAGATAAATCGAATTCATAAATTAAGCAATAGCAAAATTCAATAAGTTATATGGAAATTCAAGATCAAGACATCTAAACCTATATGTACTTGATCTAAGCTGCGCATACACCTAAAATAGTGCAACCTAATAATAATGTCATGCCTGTTACCCAGGCTATATAAAATATTGAAACGCCCTTTAATCAATATAATACATAAAATAGATGTGACGGACAAATGGACACCAATCATGCAATTGTACAATTGTATTCAGATTATATTTTAATTAATACTAGATATAGTACAAACTCAAGAGAAGAACAAACAACAATGACATCAAGTAGAAGGGATGTTTCCCCAATTCATTCTGATGATGAATCAGCAAAAAATTTATTGCGAGCAGACGCAACAACATTTAATTTCAGAAATTTCCGTGAAACTTTGTACATCATTAAATACGATATCAAATTATCATTTTATACTTTCCTTTAGAAACATACCAGAATGGCCTTGGAACAATGACCTATAAATATCATATGTTCGAAAACGTTAAGATATCTGGAAAACTCTGTTTTGTTATCAGACACCTGTTATAGTTAGAAACCCATGCCTCTCTATCGTTTCAAAAAATTTACCCAACGTGGCGGTCTCTGTTAATTTATGGCATCCATTCTTTTTTGAAAGGTAACACTTTGAGGCTCAATTTTTTGCCGGATGCCCTTGCAAACTCTCATTGGTTGCTCTGTATTGTAGCATTCCGTTACCATGGTTACGCATCTATAGACATCTTACCTTGGAATCTTAAATCATTTGTAACTTTGTCATTATTTGGTCTATAGAGATGATATTGGTATCAAATTAAAGCTAATTCATTTTTTCATAAAGTAATGATATGCAATTATGCAAATTCGATAATTTGCATAAATTGTGACGTCATCAATCAATTTTTGTTTCAGAAATTTCGAGAATAGCAACATATCTATTTGAACTGAGGCCGTATGTCAGAATTTCGGCAAAGTTTGGTCTTTTAGACTATAACAATAATGTATAAGCAACATAAAAGTGAAAACAGATTCAAAATTGGATCAGTATTGCCAAAGTTATTAAACTTTCGAGGCAGCTACTATGAATGTCATTATTTGACAATTTTATTCAGACATCTTACCATAGACGTTTAAAGTGTTTGTAGCTTTGTCATTATTTGGTCTATAGATATGATATTGGTATTAAATTAAACCTTATAAAATTTCCTGTACGATTACAATATTCAATTATGCAAATTAGCTAATTTGCATAAATTGTGACGTCATCAATCTATTTTTGTTCAGAATATCCCAGTTAGCAACATACATATTAGAACTTAGGCCGAATGACAGAATGTGTGCATAGTTTTGACCTTTATTTGATGAGTGGGAGATAGAGGCAACATTCAAGAGACAACAGATTCAAAATTGGGTCAGAATAGCAAAGTTTTTCAGGTTTTGGGGCAGCTACTATGAACGTCATTGTTTGACAATTATAAAAATATTACAATAACAAAAAAAGAAACAAACATAGTTGTTTCAATTTTATTGAGTAAAAATGTACATGACTTGTTCATATTTTTCCATTGAACTGTACATGAAAGTATGTGGAAATGATACATGTATTTTGACTATCATTCACAGGGGTCAAAATCATGTGATCTTGATCTTGTATTTTAAAATCTAATTTTATAATTTACCATACACTGTCAATGATCTATATGAATATATAGTAATGCTTTAATTATGCTATTTTGACATATGCTGACTAATATACTTATCAATATTTACAAAATCTATATGGAAGAGTATTCCTGGTTTCATTTGATTTCTAGCATGTGAAAAAGCTGAAAACAAAATTTTGTTGATATTTGGACATAAACAAAATAAATCTTAACTATCATTTTATATTTAAAATACAGATAAAGTGTCAACTTTAGAACTTATATGTTAACATTTCCAAAAATCAATGCCCAAAATAAGTCAATCGGTGGCAAATGGCGAGCCCATACAGCTAATGTGATAACTACTTTAGGGGAATTTTTCAAACTTCAAAATCCTTGGTGATTCAACCTTAGATTGATTTATGATATAGCTTTTCTGAAAATGGACTATAAGCAGATAGAAGGTACTTAAAGAAGCAAAATGAAAAGTAGTTTTTATATAATTTCGATATGCAATGAAAAATGATGACAAAATCCATACAAGAGCTCAGTAATAGTACCAGTAATCCTGAAATTAAAGTCTATTGATCAAAATAGTCACGACGAAAAAGTGCCCTTTAAAATATTTTTGAAAGAATTGATTTTTGTAGGACTTTAACTAACCCTTCCTACATCTACATATAGGTTTCCTACATCTATCTCTTATGTCCCAAAGTATTTATGATATAGGACTTGTAATCTGAACTTGTTTTAAAAGATTTCCAAAATATGAAATACCAAAAATCTATGAAAAATATGAGTCTGAAATGGATGGATTTCAGGTATATCCCCATAGACTATGGATACCATTCAAAACTGAGAACCGTAACAACAGGAGATTTAAGCGCAAAATAAAGGAGTTAATCACGTAGTATGATTGACAGACGTTGAATCTAAACTTTTTTAATTTACACTTTTTATAGTTTAGAAGCTTTAATATGGAATGATCTAATCTAATGAAGATCTAATCAATACAGTGTGTATCAAAAAAACGCAACAGATTGTTATCTCGGAAAAGCACAAAACCAGTGATAACATCATTGATTTCATTCAATGCACCATGAAGCCATGTGTCTCCTCTTTACAATGATATATCATTCATTGATATTTGGTCATGGTTGGGCGAGTAATCATTCCATTTGCAAAGTGGGCCAAAATTAGCTTGGGGCCAAGTTATAAACATCGCAAAAGTAAGTGTACGGAGCCCGATGGAATATTGGAAGAAAACATAAAACCTATGCTGACTGTATCCTTTTCATTCAATGTACCGAAAAGCCAAATTACTCTTCTTTGCCAATGGAATATCATTCATTCACAGGGAGTCATGGCTGGCCGAATAATCATTAATTTTGCAAAGTAGGGCAAAATTCAGTTCAGACTCAAGTTTCAAACATTGCAAAAGTCACTACAAGGGGCATAGGGGCGATTGGAAGAAGGTGTGACAGGTGTGGCATAAACAGTTAAGTGTTCATACTCATACTCTTGCAAGAATACATCCTATACCTCTCCAAATTGCCACCACTTCCTTGCACATAAAGATGCGCTCATTTGTCCACGTCATGCATTGTTCAGCCTGGAGTCATCTGTGGGTTAAAGCAGAGAAAAGCAGCCCATGGGCAATTCTTTCTCGAGGTTTCGCAATATCTGGTGAAGGAATTGTGAGCACAGATGCTCCTGAGATAGCTCCAAAAGAAAAAGTCACAGCATTTCAAGTCAGGGGAACTTCCATAGGTACTTAGCCCTTCCACTGATTTTTGCAATATCTAAAACTTGGTTCAGAGCCAATTTTGACCCACTGTGCAAATAGAAGAATTTCTCACCCAACCTTTACCACATGTGAATGAAGAGGAGGGATGTGGCTTTATGGTACATTGAATGAAATTGATGTAGTCATCACTAGTTTTGTGATTTTAAGAGATAACTACCTGTTGCGTTTTTTTGAAACGCCCTGTGTAACAGATTTTATCAAAAAGTCTCAGATGTACATGTAGGCCTGGACGCTGGGCCAAAAGTCATCACAATAAGATGTGCTGAGAGGAGCTGAATCAATGTCACACCTATAGATGATATTAACAAGGAGATTAATGTCACACAGATGATATTTGGGAGTCAAATCACACTGGTGAGGTGAACATGGAGATGTGACAAAGATGATGGAAACATTAAGAATAAAAAGCATCCCTGTCATGAAAATCACCACTGAAATAGATTAACAAAAGAAAAATTCAACCACTGCCATGTGGGTCCTTGACATGGGTAATGGGAATATCGATTTTACATATACATACATTTAGATGGCTATAACATGAATGAATGCCATAGAGGTGATGTTAAGGCGGATATCAATGTCACATAGATGACATGGTGATAAAACGTTAATTTGTTCAAAGTTACACAATTAAGGTGTTGTTAGTCATATGGAAATAAATGTCACATGGATGTAGGAACTCTTGGGTTTAAGTCCTCGCTTCATCAACACTTAATATAAAAATGCAATGCTATTTATGAACTATAATAGCTTTGGTATGATAAATAATACAAGGTGTCTCAAAAATGTACCCAAAAGTATATTAACACCACGGTTTAACCAATCAATATTTTCAGATATTTTTGCATGGTCATGTTGCTTAAGCATGTAAGTTTCCTCCCCAATACAAAGTTTTCAGTTCAGTCTTGCATTTTGATGATTTAACCCTTTACTTTTTATTACTTCACGATGACAGCCTGTATCCTTGTGCTACATTGTTCATCACCATTGATAATGTTTCAGGTGGAACATTTTGAATTTCTTTTTGGGTGTTGGCTTTATGTTGTACTAGGTCTTTCGGCTTGGGATTAGCTTAAAATGCTCCTTCAAATAGCCCCAGAGAAAGTAGTTCCAAGGTTGAAGATGGCAGAACAATCACAGAGAACCAGCTCAATTATCATCAAATGATTTAGCAGTTAATTGATAATGGAGTTCCATCTGCCAGAGTTACAGAGACTGAATGATATCCAAATGAGAACTCTGTGGTTCCAGACAGTTTGAGCCCCTCCATGTACAGCAAGGGCCACACAAAAATTCCCATGAAAGCAGTTTCTTCTCTCCAACCAGTGTGAAGGCCTCCCTATTCAACAGATTTGACACCCCAAACATCTTCTCTGGAATGACTTCAAGAACCATGTTTATGTTTATCCCAAGCTAAGAGACATAGAACAATTTGAGATCAACATGTGAAAGGAAATTCAAAACATTCCACCAGAAACATTGTCATATATCTGTATATGATAATAATGTAGCAGTAAGAATGCAGGCTTTTATCGAAATGTAAGGAGGTGAAATTAAACACATGGTATAAAAAGGGTTAAAGCATCAAAAAGGCAAGACTGAACTAAAAAATTAGTATTAGAGAGAAAACTTACCTGCTTTTCCTAAATGACCATGCAAAAATATCTGAAAATATTGATTGTTAATCTTTGCTGTTGATATACCTTTGGTTCATTCTTTGAGACACTCTAGATTATAAAAATTGTCTCTTTAATGTCACTGCCAGTAATCTGACAAAATGAGTGAAGGGAGTCGATTTCTGCTAGAAAATTCAACAAATAAGATTTCTTTCTTCAAAAAGCATATAGTATGGTAAAATCAGTTAGGTTTTAGGTGTAAGAATGGCGCAACGTCACCAGCATGCAAAAAGTCGATCTTTAAATCCTCTTCAATGCAATAAATCAAAATGAATGTTCTTGCTGTTTTTTAAATGAGGCTTTTAAAAACATATTATTTTGATATTTTTTATAACATTTTGTAAATAATTCAAACACGACATAAACATGCAAAATGTCTCAACCTGCCATTTGTTACAGATGCCAAAGGCCAGACACCAGATGTCAAACGCCGTCTCAAAAATGGAGACAAATGGAGAACAATATGTCACCGCTTTTGGTGATGACATAAAAAACAGCAATGACATACATTTTGTGATATAACGTCATCAATTTGTATTAACAGGTCACGTAGATGATTACTGCTTGAATCGCAGCACAAATATTAATGACCAGTCATGATGTTTCGTCCTTTTAAATAGATTGACGCCTATGAAGCAAATCAGTTTAAAAATTCATGTAGATGTTCACTGCTTGAATTGCAGCACAAATATTGATGTTTCACCAGTCACAATGTTTCGCATTTTTAAATAGATTGACGCCTATGAAGCAAATCATTTCAATGATTTATAGATTACATAACAGATTTCACCATACTGATTCACCCATTCACTAACTGATTAATCCATAACTTTCTCACAAACAATAAATCATGTTACAAAATCAAAAACTGTTTTGACCCCTGTCAATGATAGTCAAAATTATGAATACCCATATCATTTCTATACTACTTCATTTCTACAACTACTTCAGTGACATGTAAAATATACATTTTTCACTCAATAAACTTGAATCAGTTTTGTTTCATTTTTGTTATTTCAGTGTTTTATTTATGATTGTCAAATAGTAATGTTCATAGCAGCTGCCTCAAAAGCTGAATTACTTTACTAATACTCATTCAATTTTGAATATTTTTTGATGTTGCTCATACCTCTTCCACTCATAGAATAAATGACGAACTATGCAGAAACTACACCATCCAACCTCGGATCTAAAAATTTGTTGCTATACTTGGAAGTTCTGAGCCAAAAATAGATTGATGACATCATAATTTATGCAAATTAGCTAATTTGCATAATTGGATAACGTTACCATACCGTTTATTCAATTAGGACCAATTCAATACCGAGACCTCCTCTATAAACCAAATAATGACAAAGCTACCAAACATTTCAATTCTAAGGTAAGATGTTTAAAGTTAATTGTTCAATGATAACGTTCATGGTAGCTGCCCAGAAAGCTTAAGTACTTTGTTAGTTCTGATCCAATTTTAAATCTGTTTTCACTTTTATGTTGCTTAAACCTTCTGCTCATAGAATAAAAGTCATCACATTGAAGAAATTCTACCATACGGCTTCATTTCTTAAAGATACATTGCCATACTCGAAAATTCTGAACCAAAAATAGATTTATGACGTCACAATTTATGCAAATTAGCTCATTTGCATAATTGAATATTTTAATTATATGGGAAATTTAATTAGGTTTAATTTGATACCAATATCATATCTATAGACAAAATAATGACAAAGCTACAAATGATTTAAGATTCCAAGGTAAGATGCCTATAGATGCGTAACCATGGTAACGGAATGCTACAATACAGAGCAACCAATGAGAGTTTGCAAGGGCATCCGGCAAAAAATTGAACCTCAAAGTGTTACCTTTCAGAAAAGTATGGATGCCATAAATTAACAGAGACCGCCACGTTGGGTAAATTTTTTGAAACGATAGAGAGGCATGGGTTTCTAACTATTACGTTCATTTAGAAAAACAATCCTGGTTATTTTCAATGGAAAGATGGTATCGATATGCTATAGTCAAATCAACACGTGTACATTGAGTAATGTATTTCTAATCTGATTGACCTACCTATGAACATAAACAAAAATCAGATATAATGTCATGCTGTATAGTACTGCTAGACTGTTAATAATGGTATCAGGTTGATCTGAATTAGTGGCCTTGTAATTCTATCAATCGATATCGTTTATCTGAGGTATGATTGTGATTTTTTTAAGAATTGCCTAATGTACTTCCTGACTTCTTGATTTAAAGGCCATTAATCAGTAAAACTGAGTGAATAAAAATATTTTTCCCAATTATATCGTAATTACGTAATAATGTAATAATATAATATATCGTAATAACCAGAAATACTCCCGATACATTCCTCTTTTTCTTATAAAGATTGAAAATTGCTTACAAATGCAAGCAAGTGCGTCTTTTACATCGTTTATATTCCTACACGAAGTGAGCTATGATTTTCAAGCTAACCAAATACTACAAAATGGATACTTGGCTTTCATTTATTTCGTTGAATTCAGCACCCAACGTTGTTTCAATGAAATTCAGTTATTTTTTTGAATTTATTAACATGTTTTACAACATTGTTCAAACTATCATTGTTTTAGTGTACGATTCGATGGGAAAGCCAAATACTGGCTCATTGCATGGGAACACCCATTGGATGGGGACCTATGATGAATGCCAGGCCATTAACTACAGAATATGGGAATATGGACGCGAACCACGGGATGTGCAAGGGACGTATTGTACAGTGCAACTAAATACATCAATGGTACATAGCCTACATCCTTAAAGATCGGGCTTCGCTGAGCAATGGAAAAATTGAAAAGCCAAAATGACACTACCGTGCAACAAATGTTAAGATCCTCTTGATTTTGACCTTGACTTTAATGACATTGACCTTGATAATGTTTAATAATTGTGCATGTTGTATTGTATTGTACTGTATTGTACTGCATTGTGTTGTATTTTTATTCACCTCTTATATAAGAGTTACGTACTCATTTTTCCTGTTTCAGTCCCAATTTTCTACACCATTGGTGAGGATTCCAGCTATGCCAGATTATATGGGTCTTTGTGTTCCCAAAACATGTAGTGCAGGGGATCTCATGGCTTTTATTGGAAATGGTAAGCAAAGGGCAATCTAGAATTGTTGGTTTGTTATTATACTACGTAATTCATTTTAAAGCGTTTCATACTGTATACACACGGGGAATAAACTAAAATCAGCATTGTAGGGCCTGAAATGAAAGGAAAAATGCGCGAGTGACTTTGGGAGACGGTATGATCAAAAAGGAAAACCTCCTATCAAATAAACAAAATAATTTGATTTAAAAATTGTATCAACAAAGTTTTATTAAAACGTATATATAGATAAATATCATCAAAGTTTCATTAGATTCCATTCAACTTTGATGAAATAATTAGCAGATTCCCCCAAGATGGACAAGTTTCCTGAATAGTTTATATTAAGCTATATAGCTCAACGAAAACAGAGACCAATCATATTCATAATTCTTTTCCATTATCTTAACACTCCTTTCTATTGTGAATCATAGCTTTACACTGATTTCTGTTATTCTTTACATCCACAACAGGGAAGTTCCAATTGAAGTTCAGGATATCGTCCTGAAAGGCTTTTCAACATTTGTAGAACTTATTAGATCATTTAACCTGAGTCCTATAAGTTTATATATCCGAAAAACAAACAGTAGGAAATCATGATTGGGAGTCCGTGGGCTGTTGAACAAGCAGCCCTTGTAGGGCAACGCAATGAGAAAGATGATTGGGTCTGAATGCTATTCTGTCTTGCCAGGCCATTTTTGTTGAGCCGATCTTGATATAAACAGAGACAATTATCATGAAGTAAAACAGAAACGTGAAACTAGATGTTCCAATAATGTTAAACTGAAAATAGGTTAAAGAGATGGAGACAATTGGACCGCTTATGCAATCTAAACTCATAGTCCATCATCAATGACTTACAATTGATTCGTCTGAAGTTTCTACTAGCGATTGGAATATTTGTCACTTATGTAATCATCAATTCTACTTATGAGCAAAATATGATGTATTAAACGTTCCTGACACACAGAGATATCGAATTTCTATACAACAACACACCAGTCATACTATTCAAATAGAAATTAAAATAAAGCTTATATAGTTACCAACTCATAAATAAAAATATTTTCATAATAATCACCAACAAGGGTCAAAACTCCAAAGCAGAACGATGAAGGGAAACAATTTACATTAAAGATCAAACAGCTCTTATTAAAACACCACTTGGTAAAATAGTTGGCATTTCGGATCCAACAATAATCCCATTGACATCGACTGTTTAGGTGTTCGGATGTGAAAAACCAGTGGTGATTATACCATGAGCTTTCCAAGGGATTTTCTCTTGAAAGCCTCAGACATACCCGTCGACTCGATCTTTTCTGATTTTACTGCTGTGACTTCGCAATCGCAGAAATCAAAATGGTTAAAGGCATGGAGATATTTAGAAACGAATATCAATATGAGTTAAATTGCGTATAATTAATGTAGAAATATCTTGATCATAAAAAACAATATCAGATACAAAAACGTAAGTGCTGAGTGGCTGCATTTTTCATTGCAATTGATCACACATAGCCGTAAAAGGACGATTCTCGGTTTGGAGAACAGTCTCCTGGGCTAATAATTTTTTTCATGAAAAATATAGAAATAATACCCAAATTAAACTATAAATATTCAAAAGAGGACATTTAAATCTACAAGATGTAAAAATAACAAATTGGTCTGAAGCAGGGGTAACGCTCAATTAGACCGATTCAATAAAATACAAGTCTCGATTTGGGGAAAGAAGTTCATCAGTGTACTGCGCTAATATTTTTTTGCGAAAAATCTAGAAATATTACCCAAAAATTGCGAGTATTCAAAAGAAGACTTTCAAATCTATATTATGTAAAAAAATCAAATTTGTCCGAAGCAGGGATAATGCTTATTTAGATTGATGAACTTCGTTTTTCAAACCGAGAATCGTCCTTTGGAAAATGTCCCTCGATCAGGGCATCTTCCACTTCCAAGGTGATCAGGGTAAAACAATGGCTACATTTGGGATTAGTGTACGTATTGTCCTGCTATAACACCTTAGCCACTTCAGAATCCGGTGCTTTGGGTGCAACAACACAACATGGTTGTTCTGTTGTCAGTTGCCATAACAAAAAGAGTGTGTTTTCAATATCAAAACGGGTATGTTGACCATTGGTATTGGATTTATTTCCTAAATATTCAATTCTTTACTATTTCACTAGAGCTAAGTTGAATCAGAATAATGGTCAAAGACATTTCGACATTACTTTTGTCAATTTGACCTAAACTACAAATATAAAATGTTTTCCGAAAGCCAATAGCAACATAAAATATTGACAGGACTATTTGGAATGGTTAATTTAACAACTATAATGACCAATTATTTCTATTTACACTAATAATTAAATTTCAAATATGAGTAAAAATAACATTCTCATGTATCACACGAACTTCTCAGTCAGACTTTTGTTGTTGTTTGTGTTCATCGAATGTTCCTAGTGATTGTATTGTCCGTGCTGATTACAGGGAAACCTGTAAAAGCCTATATATCCGAACCCCTCTCTAACCCGAACACCTCTCAATGTGAACACTTTTTCTCACATTGGAACAGATTTTTAAACACCTTGAAATGTGAACACTTTTGGTCGGTCTCAGTGGCGTTTGGATTAGATTTTACTGTAATTGCACAATTCGCATAATTAGTGATATCATTAAACATTTATGTTTTGCGATAATAATTATATATCCTGGAATGCCTTTAATTATATGTTCTGGAATGCCTTTATTAGGAAAATATCTCGCTATTTTGGATGTTAGTTTGAGTATATTACGTAGGGAATAATCAAGTGTTTTTATTATCTATTCCCTAAATATTAAATATAGTTGTTTTTCAAACGTTTCTATCTGTGCTTCCATGACACTGTCTTAATGTACTCAGTTGCTTCCATCCAAAGCGTTACACTTTATTTGGGGCTAATGGAGAATTTCAAAGTAATTCCTTTCATGATTTGAAGATTCTCTGGCAGATCTCGGAATCTGGTTTTTGCCAATTCATGCAACGAATGCGTGGTGCAGTGAAACACCGAACATATCATCTGACTCCAGAGCAATTGCCTGCATGTAAGTTACAAATCAATGACAATCAGTTTATCATCAGAGTGCATTATTTTCATTGTCTAAAATGTACATCAAATCACGGTTCACGATCACAATGAAAAATTGAATCGATATTCGACATTGGCATGGTAAATCTTTAGGTTGAGCTTTTCAGATGTGTGTTAGCGGTATTTGCCGTACTCGTTTTTACTGCCACAATACTTCATGGTTTAGGATACCTACACCACAAACATAAAGAAGCCACACTTTCAGATGGAGCTAATGCTAACGATAACTCCGAAGACAGTTGGGACAACAACCCGCCAAATTATATGGTAAATCGTGGCTTTGAACCTTCTATGAGTACAAGCACAACGTCTAGTGCGACATCTATTAACCTAGACTCGCCACATATTGTCACCAACAAATCATCTGAGGGAACTTTCCTCCCAGCATACGATTACACGCCAAAATTTAACAGCCCCAATGATTCCAAAATTCAAGCAAATTTCACTGAATTGAGGAGAAGAGCAGGTGAAGAGAAGAAAGTGACGTTTGGCTTAGATGATCCATGTCTCAAAGGAGGTGTTCCTGGATTTGAAGGTACAAATGATGAAGTAACAGAAGAGGAAACCGTGCCCAAGGAACATATCCGTCTAAAATGGAGAGAACTGAGATTTATTGGACAGTCTGTCGAGGATCCAAAGCCGGAGAAGTCAAGTATGTCCCCTCCATAGGTTTGTTTCTCAAAAGCATGATACGATTCCTGAATTTCAACTGATTTCATGTTGTACTATTGCAATACAATGAGATGAATCTATATCAACAAGTCAATGTAGTGGAATGCACACCCGACGGTTCTATCGTACATAAAACAAAAATAATATGTTTCGTTCCTTTCAGCAATATGGCATCGCCTTCTACTGATGTTTTCCATGTACAATAATATCCCTAAACTTTTGGACACAACTCATCCTCCAGAAAGAATCAAAGTCCTGAATGCCATGAGGTTCTTCAGCCTCTGCTGGATAATTCTTGGGAATACGTTCAACCTTGGCACGGCCAGTTCTTACATCATCACTACGTGTAAGTAGACACTATGTACATGGCGTATCATAGCTGTCCATTAATATAGTTTGTGTATGGTTCCGCAACGTTATTACCTAACAATCATTCTTTATCTTGGTTTCAGCAAATCTCAAGACTAAGACACCCGAATTTAGAGAGACATTCACGCACCAAGCAGTCTTGAATGCATTCTTTGCAGTGGACACGTTCTTTGTAGTAGGGTAGGTCCACTTCTCAGTTAAAGTTTTATAGATAGTTTTAAGCTGGTCAAACTTCTTTAGTGACCATATATCGTTGCCTTTTCAGAGGTGTGTCTATCGTGTACTTGTTTCTATCAACCATGAAACACTTCGACTGTGAAATCACCCCTACGATGATGCTCCACCTTCTATTCCAACGGTTCTGGAGGTATGATTGGCATTAATTAACATACATTTCTACACTGAGTAAACTGTCGGATTTGGGATAGGGGAGCTCTGGACCTTATTTCGTCTTACTTCCAAAAACCTCATCTGTAGACAAAGATACTTGGAACTTTCAAGACTCTGCTCTTCACAAATTTCACTTGTTTCATTGATCATGTCCACATCAGTATTCCACGACCAGATCGTGGATCTGGATTCCTGACTGATATATGGTACACATTTCAGATTAATACCCCTTTATATGTCAGTGATAATGGTGTTCACGTGTCTACAACCATATTTTGGAGACGGACCCGTGTATCCCATGGAGACTACTGAGCTGTCGTACTGTGAGAAACATTGGTGGACAAACCTGTTGTTTATCAACAACATCGTGCATGACAGAGAACCAGTAAGTCAACATCCTAACACAGGGCTCCAGATATCATTCACAAGTTTCTTCATTTATTGTAAACGTGGTTATTGTGGTTTTTGAGCCCTACGTTAGATGGCGGGAATGCTTTTCTTCATCTTAGGTTAAGGAGATGTTGTGTGACAACAAAAACGCCAAATTCCAAAATGTCTATTTTTTTTAAAATTTTTATATTTCCTTTATTTCATAATACATCATACAAACAGATACAAGGCCTACGCCGAAGCATTATTGGCCCTGTTAAAATGTCTATCACGTCCATGTTTTTAATTTGGACAGCGCGTCTAACAAAAACCTGATGTAAAACAATACTTCGTTTTCTTGCTGTTCTTGGGCAAACTACCATGACTTTTTTTTAATATGCAGTATACATAATATGAAAAATAAATAAATAGTTATGATCGCTAAAATTCAATTCGTTGGTGCCTAGCATCAGCTATATCGCAAATCCGCAAAACACAACACTAATTGCAGTTTTCTAATAATTTCTTTAGTGTCTGGTGCATACTTGGTACCTTTCTGCAGATATGCAGTTCTTCATCATATCCTCTATTATCCTGATAATCCTTATAAAGTAAGTATTATATTGTTAAACTTTGGAGCACTAGTATTCTTGGTATATGAATTTAGATTTCTTGTACTAACTTACAATGCACATCCATGGCAATTTATAGAAGACTGAGCATTGGTTTTTCGTGTACTTATTAACAATAGCAGTATGGTATTGTACAAGCTACAAGGATGGAGTTTATGGTTTTTAACCCATAAGCTGGAAGAGCTGGAGCAGTTGTAGGGTAATGATAGCCCTCGATATGAAAAATTAGAAGCTTTTTTTTTATAAAAGGCACAGATATATTTTCGTAGACATAAGAAGTGTGAAGTGACACATCCAACGCATTAATCCATTACAAAAAGCAGTTTATATATTTATTCTATCTGTATCTACCTGTATCTGTTTTCAGACAATCGTTTGTATGTAAAGTATTCCTCTTTCGGTTTGCATAGTACTAGAATCTTTAATGAATTTCAAGATGTACATTTAGCAAAAGAGGTATATGAGGGAGGAAGGAAGGGGGTCACAAGGACTTGAAGCAATACTGTTCAAAGAGAGATTCCTCGCAGACCAGATTCCTCGCAGAGTTCAGAGTAACCAGAAATAGTCAGTTTCATATTATCAAAGCAAATTACACTAAAAGGAAAGCAAATAAAAATGCTAAATGGTGATTGAAAATGCATTAAAAAGATTATACAATAAATTATTCAATAAATTGCTTAATTATCACTTGTAGAAATTAGAAAATGTTGACATATGGAAAAGCAAGAGAATTACAATGTCCCACAAGCGGTTCAATTTTATTCCATTTGTTTCATTGTAATTGAATTGGAAACACAATTAACTAAATATGTTACATAGCCTTTAGATTTTAGTCTTATGCTATTTTTCCATTTCCATTTATAATTAGACACATAACGATAACTGCAATGTGACACAGAGTTTCTATTGTTGCAAATACATGATCAAAGTATAATATTTATAAATGCAATAGTTAAATAGTGTTGGAACATAGAAAATAGTGAAAAGGTAGTAAGTGTCTGCTTGAATAAGATGAAATAACAGCTTTACACATTATTATACATATTTTATTATATTATTGTATGGTTCAAATTTTAAGAGTGTTACTTTCGTTAACATTCCTTATATGGAAAAGAGGCGGTCTTAACATTCTTTTGAATCTGGTTAAGATAGCATCTTTTCAGTATAGAATCACTTTTCGGATATTTTTGGTTTAAGCAACACAAACATCATTTAGATTTAAAACTTCAAAAATACATAACTTGCTATCGAAATTCTAAATTAATACTTAAAACCGTTAGCTTTTGAGCTAACAAACAGGATAATATCAACATGTAACTTTTAAAACTAGCGTAGGATTTATCCTGAACATTAATAAATATTGGAACATCATTTAACATTTTATGTTGGATTTTATATAACAACATCTCATAACGTAGAAAGGCCCAATATAACAATATATGATTGATCAATATGTATTTGTTCTCCTAAGTAGGACAGTTTCTATGTTCTCCCATACCTGAAGAGCTAAAGTGAGTTGTTTGAACTTTATTTGGTAATGTTTTATTATATTATGATTGATCAATATGTATTTGTTCTCCTAAGTAGGACAGTTTCTATGTTCTCCCATACCTGAGTTGTTTGAGGGCCCATTTTGAATTGAAAGTAGGTCAACATGACAATATTCACTGAATCACTACAGATCTGAACTTTGCATTGAAATGTTTAGCAAGTGTATGTTGTGTGCATAATGTAGAGCAGCGTGAAACATATTTGGACAGAGCTTTCCTTTAAAAGAAGGATAGAACTGGAAATGCTGAACTCCTTCTTTGCCCTGCAGTCCAAAATGAAATAATTAAATTTTTCCCCCGCATGTAGATTGATGTATTTCCAGATGGCCTAAAGTAGCCTACATCACCATTGCTCTGCTGTTCTGTGTTAACTGTACTGTTACAGCAATTGAGGCATTTAGGATGTAAGTTACACTTATAACATACATCTAGTAACACAAAGAATGCAAGTAACATGCATACAGTTAGTAACATATACATGAAATACTAGTAACATATTACGGAATGCAAGCTGCACACAATATATAATGTGTTATTGTCAATAATATAAATAATATTTTTTTCATTTAAAAATTCAATATGTGCAGAAATCATATGAATGAAAAAGATTGGACAGAAAGTGTCTAGTCTCCTCCTGAAAATATATATAATGAGGCAAAATAGAGCAAGTAAGAGGCCTGGCACTAAGCAAAGAAGCAAATAATCACCATTCAGAGTTTCATTTTGCTCTCAATTAACTAAATCCTCATTCTAGTGTCATTACTCAGTGAACACCCTATATGAATGATTCCTACCTCGATATGCACCAGCTTTCCATTGTTTTAACAGTAGAAGCAGTCCAACATTACAGAACGATCATGCAGAGTACTGGAACAGCATGTTCACCAAGCCCTGGTGTAGGATAGGCCCCTATCTCATAGGTATACTACTTGGCGTGCTGTTGTATGAGACAGAAGGACGACTACCTTTCTATAACTGGAAAAGATGGGTATGGTAGGATTATTTTTAAAGATATTAGCAATGACTGCAGGATTAATTTTTATAATGATTATTTCCTCACAATTTTCACTATTGGTTGGACCAATAGTTTCACTTTTCCATGTCCTTGGCTGTGATAGTGACTTACACTAACTGCAACCTTATTCTTATGATTTTCCATTATTTTAACTTTCATTTCATTGGTGTTGACTTACCCTCTAAGTTCAGTCTTTGATCATTTCACTACAGCAATTTCTGGCAGGGGCATTTGTCATATGTTTGTTGTCTTGAACTGAAAAAGAAATAAGTTAATATATCATTTTATGCAATTTCAGTAAAGCCTGTGTTTAAAATGAACATTATGAGATGTTCTCATTAATAGGTTTAGAGAACACTAAAAACACTGAACCACAAAAACTTAAAATGGGAAAAAGGGGGACCTTTTTATTCTCATAAAGATTGTTATAAGATGGATATGGATTAACAATGGCTGGTGTATTAGGAAAGCATGTTGTAGTAAAAATAATATTTCAATACTTTAGATCTTTGTGACATGTGGCTGGGCTATTTCACTGACCTGTATTTCTGCTGTTGTGTATGGTATATATGCTGAGAACAGGCAAGGAGGGGCACCATGGTCTGTAGGTGTCTATGTACTCTATGAGACAACAAAGCATTATGTGTTTGCCCTGGCCGTTGCTTGGATCATCTTTGCATGTGCCTCAGGGAATGGAGGTATGTGTTAATAAGGTCTAGCAAAGGGTTGAACTAAATATTTATGATGAGGTCCCAAAGAGGAATATTGAAAATCCTTTATCTGTTGAATAACCCTCAGACTAGCATCACTGGGTTCAAATCATAGCTTCATTCATATATAACAAATATATCTTCAAGTTTAATATTTCAATAACAAAAGAGCATATATTAGTCTTGCATTAAGTCTCTGCATCCCTATAATGCCACTTTATTTTACTCCAACCCTTGTAAATATATTATGTGCCTAGGGAGGGGTGACTCAATGGAAAACTATGATGTTAACTGTCACAGGAATATTCTTTTTTTGACTTGATATAAAATTCTGTTTAAAAGATGAGAAATCTGAAAAATGTTAAGTTCCAATTTAGTGCATTCTCTCTCGCATCCCAAGGAGGCCAGGGCAGAAAACTAGAAAAATTCAAAATAGACCTAGTAGATTACTTTGTATTCTTGGGTAAAGGGCCATGTCCTGGATTAGGTACAAATGTACTTGTTTTTACCTCTTGATGATTTTGTTTTCAGGATTTGTCAACCATATTCTTTGCTGGGATACATTTATCCCACTGTGTAGGCTGACCTATGCCTCTTACTTGGTGCACCCTATCATCATATACAGGGCCATGTATGTAACTAGGGCTCCCATTCATGTCAACTATTCCTCTATGGTAGGTAACTAAAAATTGCAATTTAGTAGAGAAGCAGATCCTGATGCTCATCGAAAGATGTTTTCAATATCAATTTATTTTTTCAAGATAGTTATCATCTTTTGGGCTACATAATTTTGTATTTTGGATAAGTTCCAAAATCAATGCAAATTCTCATATTTGGACAGCCATTTTTGATTTCTTGAGGCATCAATCTAAATATGATAAACCAATCTCCAACTATGTTTTTAAAAATTTCACATTTTCTCAGCCTCAATATATGGCTCCTGGGGATGATAAAAATCTCAAATAAAATGATAGTTCACTTGTACAATAAATGACAAATGAGTCAAAAAAGTTTTTTTTGATTCTGGATACCTTTTTGGACACCCTGTTGTAAGGACTAACATAAGAATGCACTATGTATATTTACAGGCATACTTCTACATTGGGCATGTTGCACTATCTTACGCTACAAGTCTTCTCCTTAACACATTCCTTGGCACACCACTGCTTGGCCTTAAAATCGAAATCATGAAATATATCAGCAATCTTAAGAAACCAAAAGCTGATGATGAACAATCGAAATCACAAAATCATTTTGAGAGCCGTCTTGCCTTTACAACACTGCGAAAAATGTCTGTTGAAAATTCAATAAAAACAGCACGGAAAAACTCAAGCAAATTGGAGATAAGTACAGTACAATCTGATGTTAAGAACACTTGGAATGTATCTGGTAAGGACAATGAAACAAATATCGTTTCATATGAACAAACCCATTCCCAATTATCAAAACCAATTGTAAATGGCATTGGTTTGGGCAGAGATCATGTTACAATGCTTTGAGATTGCAAAACTACAGTTGACTTGCACCATATATAGATATGGAATGTATAATCATTTGTTTTGTATCAAACTGGTAGTCTTATTTCTAGATGATGCTTGCTATCATAAATCCCATACATATTTTGGATGCTCAAGGGCTTATTTTTGGTCATGTGATACAAAACAAATGAACTAATACCCTGGAATAATACTGGGGGAGATGAAAATTACTAATGAACACTGATATCATTGAAGCCTCTTCTTGTTTATTTTTACAGAATATGTATGGGGTTTATAAGAAAACAAATAACTACCGCCAACATTTTTGGGAAAAGTGCAAAATTCTTTTCCTTGGCAATATTTGGCCACATACATGTTCAGAAGACAGGATATAAGTAATTCATTTCTATTCTGTGATTGGATTTATTTATACTCCCGCCCTTGGGCTGAATCTATATCCACATTCTTCCAGAGAAAATGGTTTGAACAATGTCCTTAATTGGCAGTTACATGTACTATTTCTATTTTAGTAAGTACTATGCATTGCATCAATGTCAGTACAAAGGCAATAAAATTAAGTCATTTAAAATCTATCAAATTAAATTTTATATTCTAATATTTTGAATTATGTTTGGACTATATAATAGTCACTTTGTAAGAAAATGTCTACTTGGAGACATTCAATACAATACATTATACAGTAGTTTATATAGTTTAATGTCACTTGGACAAGAGTCTGTATATACAGATACATAAACATCTTATATCTCCTCTATGTCTTATAAATTATATCAGCATTGATATAACATACAGGTAATCCAATAGGTACTAGAATAATGTAATGTAAAATTATTTCATATTTTTGTTTACTGTAATAGACCAGCTTCTACATTGCAATATACATGTACATGTATTGACCCCATTTTTCAATCCATTTCAAGATAATGCGGACACTGTGGACTTTGTAATGCGCCTTTCATCATCTGGAGCAATCTTTGCTACACATTACCATACATACACTTAAAGATTGCTCCATATTAAAAGATAGCAGTTCAGAATGTAAGATCTTATCGTATCTAGTATTCAGAATGAGTAAATGATATTGTTCCCCAGCTCAAAGTAAAAAGTATGAAACAAATAATTTGAACATTTTTCTAGCACTCATTGAACATGTTGAACATCCTGTATTTGGAATGGTTTGATATATCACGAGAACATACAAGACTAGAATTTCTAGTAAATCAGAAAGATTTTACATGCTAGTATCTAAGGGGCTGTGATTTCCACAGCTGTTGGTTATGTGAATTATTCTTAATCTGGAATGAATAAATGCAATTCTAATTGAGTCTCAGAGGTTTAACATTGGGTGGTGACTTATTTTTTAATTCAATTACAATACTAGTTCTTTTCCTTTTGGAACACTGTAAACTTGTAATCATTTACCTTATATTCCCTTTTGGACTTTATTGCACAAAATATGACTACTGAACAAGGGAAATGAGATAACATTAATATTCATTAGAGTAATTGTTCTGTAAAATTCTTTGGAATTACAATGTCCAATTTTCCTGACACTCATAAATCACAGATCTACTGAATTAGGTGATATATCACAGATGGACCACATTCAAGTCTAAAGAGGTACTGCTCTGAGTTCAGTTGCTTTTACTCCCTACTTCTCTCTATAATGAAGTCAATTTGTGTATCTAAAATGTGTGGACTGGATATCATATTACAAATCATTATCATATCACAAAGCTTTAAGATTCAAGTTTTTCTTCTAGTGCTGCTCATACTAGCAATGTCCTTTACTCCTTCATTGATCCAAGTTTTCCATTCATATTCCCGAAATGACATAGATCCCTTTTGGTGTAAATGTGACCTAAATGGTCCACTGTGTACTGCTCGATTGATCGATAGCACATTCATTTTCTTCAAATTATATTCACAACACATACAATTCATATTGATCCATATCATCCTTTTTCTAACTGTTCCATACATCTTTTCATGTAACTACCAGGATCAGCCATGTCAATGACAGCATTTTGAACTAAGTCATAGAATATCTGAGGCCAGACTTTTTGTAATGTTTGTTTCTTTTTGTCAGTCATTATGGCCTGAGTTGTGAGATCTTTAATGTAGTTCATAGAGAATTGCTGTTTAGTTTTCTTCTCCTGAAAATAAGTCATTTCACTTAAAGATTCATTGATGTTCAAATGTGCGTCTGAGACGAAATAGGAGATACATTTAAATACAATACATTTTTGTGATAAATATAGCTGTAATGTATCTAATCATGAGTTAATACTCCTACATTTTCCCAGTAGTTTATTTAAGATTACAATAAATTGCCCACTCAAATTACAGATGTCTTAGCTATCACAGGCCTTGTTTTCAGATTACATTCTGTTTCCTTCAATAATGTCAAGATTTTAATAATGAGATAATAAACAAGCAGCTATACTTAAAGAACTATCTTACCTGAGTTTTACTGCTTGATGGTTCTGAGTTATAGGTGAGACCAGCTCTACCAACAGATTCAACAGTAGACCGCTCAGAAAGTTTCTGGTAATCATCTGGAGATTTTTTACCCTTTTCTGTCAAAGCTTGCATCTGCTTTTTCCTAAAATAGATAGTACCACTTGAGCTAAGAGGTTTTTGTATAACTCTAGCCATCTGAACAAACTTCATAAAAAAGCATAAACGTATAGAGGTTTTTACTGCACTACTCTAGCTATACCTTCATAAACTTAAATGGCATAATCTAAGAACTAGAAATATCTGAATGAACTTTTTTTAAGAGGCTACTATTTTGCCAATCAAAAAATACATATGGTACATTTTATGAAACCTCAACTGATGATAAGCTCTCCATTGTACCAGCTTAGCAACATCAGTCTGTCAATTAGCAATATTAGACATCAACTCATTTAATCTTAACTTTAACAGGGAGATACATGTACTCGTTCTTACCCTAAAAGTGCCAGAAGTCTAGACTGGGGAAGCTGTGATGTGGTTATATGTGCTAAAGTTCCAAACAGTTTCTCTGCACTTACTATATCTGATGCAGTCACCTATAAAAAAACACACAACAATGCTTTAATTTATAAAACATGAATCTGAGGTTGCAAACTCCACAACAATTCAAGACCCATGAATAATGCAGAGATTTTGTTAAAAATCATGGAAATTCAAAATAGAATGTATTTTAAAATTATTCAACATTATGTATTCCAATATCAATGGTTGAACTTGAAGAAGTTTAATCTTAAAGCTTTTTCCATTAAGAAATATGAAATTGTTTCCTTTTTTCAATTCAATAATTTTCAATAAGATACACAAAGTAAGGTGTCTAATCTTCAACAAACTTTTTTCATTTCTTGATATACTCTACTCAAAAATTTAACGCAGAAGAAATATTTACATCACAAAATATATACCTCCACATCATTGATTTTGCGTATTGAGAAATGAGCCAATCGGAACAAAGTATAGATCTTCCACAGAGTGAACTGTGTGATTGGGTTTCCATTTTCTGTGATCACAAGATTATCCAATCTCCTCACAGATGCTAGAGCATTCAACTGTCTGAGGCAACTTATGTTTGTGGAGTTAAAAGTTAGCGACTGAAAACAAAAATAATGTTTTACATTATGATGTACTAAGCATAATGAAAACTGTATAAAACTGTCCTACATGTGTTTGTTTAAGTAAATAATGATAAAATGAGGTATACTAACTAGACTTAAGAAAATAAAAATAAAAAGTTTAAAAGGTGCTCTCCTGAAAAAATTCTGCAAATCATCGCTTTTCCAGCAGTCATTGAACTATTAAAAAGACTTATAAAGAGTATCTTTAACCCTCCAAACAAGAAATGAGATGTGTTCATGTTCATATTGTTTGAAAGTATGACTAATTAAAAAAAAGGTACAATAAAATATGACAAAAAACACATACCACAACACTTGGAAATCTTGCTCTAATTTTGTGCAGATGTTTGACAATCTCGTCAAAGTCTATGAACTTGAAGATAACGGAAGTGACAGCTCCTGCGGCTTGTATTCCCCAATTCCTGTCCAGGGCCTCTAGGGACCCTGTCCCATACAGATTCAGTGTGTCCCCCTCTAGCTCAGCAAGGTGACACAGGTTTTTCCCACTGCGGCTGGTGCTTAAGCTGCTACTGTATAGAAATATTACACAGGTTTTACTATGCATTACAAAGTACACTCTAAAAGCAAGGTATACATTATATACATTTGACAAATAGACTTATAACTTTGAGTCCTGTCTGTTTTCTAGTCTAATATCAATATGTTCCTATGTTTAAAGCTAGTTTAAAGTGAAATTAAAAGCTGACTGAGAATCTTGATAATGCAAATATAAACACACTGAACATGTATGGTGGTGACATAATGTAACATATACAATAACTGTAACAGATACAGGAGGGACCATAACATATAAAACTAGAAAAACAGCAACTCCACGGAGTAGCAAATCCCACCAAACAAAACATGTTTTGATAAAAAATTGAGCCAAATTCATCCACTGGTATTTGAATTATCAAAGATTATGTCTTTATGAAACATGGTTGCCATTTTGAAATTCAGCTGTCATCTTTAGATTTCTTCTTTAGCAGAGAATGTCCGTCCAATGGTATCTGGGTTATCAAAGATTACTTTTTTGATGAAAAATGGCAGCCATTTTGAAATTCAGCTATTGCCTTTGAAATTTCTTCTGAAGCAGATCTTCTTTTTCCCTAAACATCAGCATATAAAATTGGAACCAAATCCATCCACTAATTTATTTTTGAGCAGAACTTCTTTGTCTCTAGGCATCAGCATATAGAATTTGAAAATAAATCCATCAAATGGTATTTGAGTTATCAAAGGTTACGTTCTTTTATGAAAAATGGTGGCCATTTTGAAATTTAGCTACCACCTTGAAAATCCCTTCTCGAGCAGAGCTCCAATGTCCCTAGGCATCATCATGTAAACTTTGAAACAAATCCATTCAATGGTAATTGAGTTATCAAAGATAATGTTTTTTTATAAAAAATGGCCGCCATTTTGAAATTTAGCTGCCATCTTGAAAATCCTTTCTGAAGCAGAGCTCCTATGTCCCTAGGCATCAGCATCTAAAATTTAAACCTAATACATTCAATGGTATTTGAGTTATCAAAGATAACGTTTTTTTTACGAAAAATTGCCGCCATTTTGAAATTTAGCTGCCATCTTGAAAATCCTTTCTCAAGCAGAGCTCCTATGTCCCTAGGCATCAGCATCTAAAATTTGAACCAAATCCTTTAAATGGTCTTTGAGTTATCAAAGATAACGTTTTTTTTACGAAAAATGGCCACCATTTTGAAATTTGGTGGCCATCTTGAAAATGTCTTCTTGAGCAAGGCTCCTTTGTACCAAGGCAACAGCATATAAAATTTGAACCAAATTCATCCACTAGTATTTGAGTTATTAAAGATTACATTTTTTCCGAAAAATGGCCGCCATTTTGAATTAAGCGGCCATATTAAAAATTCCTTCTCGAGCAGAGGTCCTACACCCATAAGGCATTAGCCTATAAAATTTGAATGAAATCCATCAACTGGTATTTGAGTTATTGCCCGGACACATGAACGGACGGACGAACGGACGGACGGCTTTTCTATATCCCCCTCGAACTTCGTTCGGTGGGATAATGACTGTAACAGATACAGGGGCTGTAAAACATACAATGACTGTAACAGATAAGAGGATGGTATTGATACAAGAAAATTACAAACATTGGTTAAATGTTAAGCAATGCAACTTACCATTTTAAAATCATTAAGCCAAAATGATGTACATCGTGCTGGACTTCGTTAGTCAAATGACTTAACTTTTTTAGTGCATCACAAACAATCTTTATTTTTTAATGAGCAAAACAGTTTTTTTATCTTCTAAAGTGCAATACAAATTGTTTTTGTTTTTTAAAGTGCAATTAAAAACATTATTTTTTAGGGTACTCACCAAAGTGCAGTTAGTTCTTCTTCAAACATATAGTATGTGAGCTAGCACCGAAAAATGTACCGGTGTCTGAACAAATTGAAATTACTTGTTTCTTATGTATTTTTATGTGATACTTCAGAAAATTTATGTCTGACGCGCCGTATCCGGGGCGAAAGTGGTCAAAATGGGGTTTTTGACCCTAAAAAGGAAAATTACAGGGGGGTACATTATCATGATTGAATAATTAATTCTGTTGATCTTCAATCATTATAATAATTTTATTGAGAGTTGATGAGATCATTCTGAGGTAGTATGTAAAGTTTCAATGGTCTGACACTCATGGTTGTCATGGAAACCACAATTTTTGATGAGAAGATCCATAATTTTGGTAAAACCTGTACCTGCACCTAATATAGAATGTGGATTATTTTTCAAATCAACAGATATCAGAACATTTTAGCATTCTCCAAATTACCAGGGCAGTTCAAACATTTATTTACATATAAAGGATATTGCAATTAACATAACTGGTAAGTGTCAAAGACCATACAATTACATAAGGGATCAAAAGTGGGCGTCGCCCTTATAGTAGTAGATGATTGCCATTCTCTATAAATACAGAATTTTAGTTGACTTTTGAGATACAATTATATTGAACTTCTTTGGTTATACTTAATATCAAGCATTTTAACATCTAAGTGTTATAGTTATTGCATGGGGATACAGGGGGGAGAGGGGGAGAGGGGGGGGTAGTAACAGAATTGGGAGGGGGCAGAGCTTATCAGTCTTAAGTATAAATCTCATCTTCATGGTTCTAGATTTCATAGGGTACATCTTCTTGGTCTTATTATATTCATCTCAATATAGAAGATATTAGAATTTACATGGTTGGTAAGTGTCAAAGACCGTAGAATAAAACATGTGATCAAAAGTGGGCGTCGCCCTAATCATAGTATATGGTTCATTCTCTATAAATACAGAGTTTAACTTGACTTTTGAAGTATATTTACTTAAAAACATCTTTGATTTATACTTAATGTCAAGCATTTCTGGTAAGTTATATACATCTAATTGTAATAGTTATTGCCTTGGGGTAGAGGAGGGGGGGAGTAACAGAATTGGAAATGGGCAGAGCTAATGAGCCTTAAATATAAATCTAATTTACTTAGTTCTGGATTTCATGGGGTACATCTTCTGGGTCTTCTTCACATTCATCTCAATATATGGGATATTCCAATTTACATGATTGGTAAGTGTCAAAGACCATTCAATTACGTAAGTGGGTGTTGCCCTCACAATAGTAGATAATTCATTCTCTATGAATATGGAGTTTAACTTGACTTTAAGATATATTTTTTACATTAAAACTTCTTTGATTACACTTAATATTGTAATAGTTATTCCCTGGGGGGGGGGGGGCAAGGGGGGTAGTAGCAGAAATGGGAGGGGGCAGAACCAATGGCCAGTCAGTCTTAAGTATTAATATCATAGTCTGATCATTTTCATTCACCTCCTGATGTTAATATATTAACAATATCATATGGAAGAATATACCACTACACTTGCAGATTTGAGAATCATTCAGTTGAATGTGTCTATATGGCGCTCCACCTTTGCCTATTAAAAAGGTGCTCTTGCTATTGCCCTTTCTGCATGACACTTCATCTGTGAATGTGTAAAGTGCTAGGAAGGCTGCATATATGTCAGGGTCTATATTGGAGGAAATACCACTGACATCAGTCTTCATTTGTTTCCAACTCAAGTATCCAGCAGCACACTTTGCTGTATTTTGCTTCTTGTTTTCATCATCATACAAGAACTCATTCCAATCTTTAGGGACTCTTGTTTTTCAACCTTAAATAGGGCAAGGTGTCCCTCCCCTCTTTCAGGTTCCTTTATAGAATTTTTGATGTAATTATCACATACAAAAACTAATCAATCTGCAATTGTAGAATCTTGAAGATCCTGAAACCAAACTACCTTTCAAGTTGAATTATGGTTTGGGATAGTTGGGGTTTGTTTTCCTTATGACTTGTATACATTTTGAAGTTGTCTTTTTCTTGCTGGGTTCTATTACAAATTTTGGCCCTTTCCCTTTGGCACCTGTGGGTACATATTCATGCATAGGAATGGGTTTCTCTGTTCTTGCAAGAAGTCCAGTCAGTGTTCCTAGAGCCCAAGGCACAGGGCTCAATAGGAACTGCAGGAGACATTCTAGGCTAATTTTATGTTCCTAAGCAAGATAGAAGCTGTTCAAAGATGTTTCATTCAGAATCAGAATGAATTTGAACCATCTTATAAGCTTGTTCTGAGTACTTTTTTACTGTCACTGTTGCTGCTGTAGTTTGCTGCTGTAGTTTTCAATTTCATATGTTTTATTATATCGTGAAATCTTTTTTTCAACTAATCTCAGATGGTATCTCTTCATGCAATTTTTCCTTTTGACTAAAATTAGATGACAGCGACATCATTTGGCACAGATTCTCCTTATGATAGACCGTAGAGATGACCTTCATCCTCAATGGTAAATGGATCAAGAAAGTCTTTGATTGCGGTGTCTGTCATCTTTATGTCTTTTTCTGTACTTGATATTTGTGCCTTTCCAAGGTCATTATGGGTGTCACACTCATCTCATCTCTAGATTAATATTCCTAAGTTTGTCTTATGAAGGACCGTCTGATTGTTGTAACCATCTCATCTATATAAAGCACTTATTGTCTGTATGGCCCATATTGCAAATCCTCATATTGAACCACCAGATGGACTTGAATGGAAACTAGATGACTCCATCGTTATAATGGGTATTGACTGATATTCTCAGATAAGAGATTGGTGATATAGCAACACCAGGAGATGAATCAGAAAACCCCAGAAGATGTACCCTATGCAATCCAGAATTAAGAAGATGAGATTTATACTTAAAGTGTGCGCCCGACCTGGCTACGTATATAACAGAGTTTATACTGGCGTATTAGACTAGTTCATTTTTTATATGTGTGTGAAAGCTTTCTCTTATTTGCGTTTTTTTCGTTTAGTACGGTTTTGTTATAATAACCGAGGTCATATAACCGGGATAAAACAATGATTATCGTTGACTGCGCACACACAAAACATTTACGTCGAGTGAACACAACAGTGTTATTAAAAACAACAAGCTTTAGAATACAAAGCCCAGTAGCGTGATAATAAGCTGTACACTACCACTGCTGCATGTACATATTAGGGCTCATAAAGAGTGGATAGGGAGGTTGTGTTTGTCACTTTTAAATTTTACATTTCAAAATTGCCATTTTACATGTCATAATTTCTTGGTTTCATTCGATTAGCCGATCAAAACATTGTAAAACAATAAATCGTCTGTTACGTATAATCAATTTTGTTCAGTTTTGATTAGTTGTCAGAATGAAGTTAGTTACGTTCATCTGAATCCATGTTTCAAAACAAAAATCATATTTTCTTCACTTCAAAATACTTCAGTGAGATGAATGCTCGGAATTGTCGTTTGCAATAACTTATTGTATTCGTTCTTTTATCTACTCGATAGAAGCATTTAGTCGTACATTTGATGCCAGGTCACCTTCTCGCGTACCTCTTTGGGAGCCCCACATTTGTCTGTACTCATGGAAGTAAATTCCCTGGTGTAGCCGAGAGCCACAAACTTTCAACAGGTTCGAAATGGCCAATTTCTCTCATATATACTCATATTTTATTAATTATCACCTACAAAGTATTGCTAATAACTATATGTAATTTCAATAAGGAAACTTATCTGGCTACATGTAAATTCAATATCAACACTAGATGTTCGCTCAACACGTCCTGGCTTACCTTGTGATGACAAACCCTGGGTTTTCGCTATTTATAGTTTATCAACACCTGGACGCATGCGCATTTTATAGTTTATCAGGCACTTTAAGGCAGATTAGATCTACACACTCTAATTCTGTTACTACTCACCCCGCCCCAATGTAAAAACTATAATACTTACACAGATGTATTTACCAGAAATGCTTGGCATAAATTAAAATAACAGCAGTTCAGTATAACTATGAATGTATCTCTAAAGTCAAGTTCAATTTTGTATTTATACAAAGAACCAATCATCTACTATTGTTAGGATGACACCCCCCTTTCGATCATTTATTAATATGTAATTGTATGGTGTTTGACAAATCATGTAAATTGTCATATCCCATATATTGAGATGAGACGATGTACCCCATGAAATCCAGTACTATGCAGATGAGATTTATACTTAAGGCTGATTACCTCTGCCCCCTCCCAATTCTGTTACTACTCTCCCCCAGGCAAGAACTATTACAATTAGATGTGCATTACTTACCAGAAATGCTTGATATTAAGTATAATCAAAGAAGTTGTAATGTAAATGTATCTCAAAAGTCAAGTTAAACTGTATTTATAGAGAATGAATCATCGACTTTGATAAGGGCGACGCCCACTTTTGATCAATTGAGTAATTCTATGGTCTTTATACTTACCAATCATGCAGAATTATAATATCCTATATATTGAGATTAATGTGAAGAAGACCCAGACGATGTACCCCATGAAATCCAGAACTATGGAGATGAGATTTATACTTAAGGGTGATTAGCTCTGCCCTCTTTAAATTCTGTTACCCCCCCCCCCCGCATCTACCCCCTCCCCCATGCAATAAGTATAACACTTAGATGTACATTATTTAGCAAAAATGCTTGATATGAAGTATAACCAAAGAACATCATTATAAATGTATCTCAAAAGTCAACTTAAATTCTGTATTTATAGAGAATGGCAATCATCTACTACTATAAGGGCGACGCCCACTTTTGATCCCTAATGTAATTGTATGGTCTTTGACACTTACCAGTTATGTTAATTGCAATATCCTTTATATTTAAATAAATGTTTGAACTGCCCTGGTAATTTTGAGAATGCTAAAATGTTCTGATATCTGTTGATTTGAAAAATAATCCACATTCTATATTAAGTGCAGGTACAGGTTTTACCAAAATTATGGATCTTCTCATCAAAAATTGTGGTTTCCATGACAACCATGAGTGTCAGACAATTGATGATTTGCGATCACCGAATGGATTCTGTCTTTTAGTGACGTCACAATTAGGTCACCCAGCTTTAGATGCTTGATTTTGAGAGATTATCTTCTATATTTTGTGCTTTATTGATTTATTTTTCACAAAAGCGTTCTATTTGACTAGATCAACATTCATGCTAAGCACATACCAAGTCTAAGGTCTTACTGACATGATTTAGATAGCGGTTTAGCGCCCCCCGATTTTGACGAAAACGGGGGGCGCTTATAGGCATCGATGTTTAGTATGAATTTCACCCAAACTTCGCATATATATAGACATACTCATGATCTAGTCAAATAGGCATACCTGGTAAATATCCGACCCATGGTTTTTATATAAGAAACGACAATATTTTTAGCTCAAAACTGCCACGTGTCCGCCATTTCGTGATTCCATCATGTCTAATATCATTTCCATATGACGTCATACCAATAAGACGAAATACGTGACAACAGTATCCATAAACAAAATTCCTGAATTCTGATCGCAAAAGGTCAATTGAAACTTTACATACTACCTCAGAATGATCTCATCAACTCTCAATAAAATTATTATAATGATTGAAGATCAACTGAATTAGTTATTCAATGATGATAATGTACCCCCTGTAATTTTCCTTTTTAGGGTCAAAAACCCCATTTTGACCACTTTCGCCCCGGATACGGCGCGTCAGACATAAATTTTCTGAAGTATCACATAAAAATACATAAGAAACAAGTAATTTCAATTTGTTCAGACACCGGTACATTTTTCGGTGCTAGCTCACATACTAATAGGTTAGTCCATGATACAACATGTTGGATTGAATGCTCATTCTTCTAAGACTTACCTTTCAAGTACAGTATCATCTCTAGGTTCCTCTAAACTATCAATTCTAACAGAAGGATACGAGAATCTACTACTCCGCGAGTCTATTCTCGTAACAATCTGACCACTTGGACTTTTTGCTGAGTTTGCACTCAACCTGCTGGCTGACCTTGAATTTGATTGGCTGGCTTGGTTGCCCATATTTGGTGTGGTGTCTGACATCGGGCGTTCATGCTTCCATGGATGTGGAGGTGGCAGATCTGAGTGGCTGCTTTTGGCACTTGTGGGTCGACTAGATCGCCCGGTTATGAGCTCACTTCGTTGACTAGAAGTGCAGAAAGGTGACATGCATGATGGGATGTGTGATGTGATACACAAAACATATATAAATTACAAAGGTACTGTCCCTCAAAGACTAAAAGTGTACTTGTAGAAAATATGTCCCTTTTATAACCAAATTTGTTTCATATTTCCATATCTAAGACAAGGACAGGTGTCTAAATAATAGAGAGATACTAAGCCCAAAAACAATGAAGTATTCTGTCATGGCTCTACAAGTAATTTGGGGACCCCTAATTGAGAGATCCTAACCACTTCATTTTCTAACTTATATGAAATCAAACCCCAAAATATACCCACTGATAGAATGATAGAAAAACATTGTTTCCATGACATTCACTGTGGTTGCAATTGGGACAGGAAATGGTCTTAGATAAACGGTACCTTTTTGAATGACATGGTCACATATTTAAGGATCTTACATCATGCAATGCAAGTAAGGAATCATATCCAAATGTCAACAGATGTAGAAAAATATAATGAATCTTTGTTTAGTTTAACCCCCTTCCCTTTCATAAAATGAAATGTTGCTTGACTTGGTTTTGCCTACAACTGTCAATATTTGGATATGTCCCTTTGTAGGACTTCTATCAACAACAAAGCTTTCTTATGTCATGCATGCAATTTGGTGGTGAACAGTTTTCCTATCTTTTGTTTTTTCTACAACTTGTGATTGAGCTAATGTACTTTAAGCAAGGGTCTACAGCTAAACAAATATGTGGACATTCAACATAAAAACTTAAGTTCATATTTGTGCATAAATAAATTAATAAACTAAGATGAAACCTTGTTAAAGACTCTAATTCTTCTTCATCTGGGGGGTAGTGGGTGTTATTAGGCTGGGGGGACTCTCCAGAGCCTGACCCCAGACGCGATGGTGGTGTTATCTCAGAGCTTGGATATGTTCCAATGTGATTGGCATACAATTCTGGCATACGTCCTAAAGCTCCTGTTTTCCCTATAATGCTCCCTTGCATTACTTCCCATTGGCGCTGAGCATTTTTTATTGCTAGTCGTCGCTTTTCCTGAAGTACATAAAATGTTCAAAATATTTTAATCAGCATGTCTAGTCAAACCGCAGAAAAGCGTATGTCAGGCACTATCTTATATAAACCATTGTAATGAATAATTTGTTTGCAAACCATAAACCCTAAAATTAGTTTTTAGCATATATCTACTTAGGCATATGTAGGTAAAATATAAACAAATTGATTTTTGGACCTGAAGTTGGGCATTATTGGTCAGATATCAAATTTTGAGCTTTTTTCACTCGTATCTCAGTTAACAGTAGGTGAATTTTTTTCAAGTATGTTTCTATACTATATAAAAAATACTCAAAAATATTATTTGAGCCACCTTTCTGTCTTATTTGTTTTGCAGGATCCCCCACCCCCTTACTACCAAAAGAACACTTGTGGTCTATAAACATGCAAACACAAAATAAGAATAGACATTAGCACAAAATATGCCACTTCTCAGAAATCGATATATCTATAGGAATTACTGATGATTCATCAACTAGTAAAAGGGATTCCCTTATGTTTGGTAGATGCTATATGTTCCTTAACGCAACCAATAAATAAATAATTATTGACACATAATTATATTCTTAGACATTCTCAAAATATCGATAAACATAGCCAGTAAATTATGAAAAATGAACATGCATGTTAATGGGTAATATTGACCCAATCAATTAGTAGCAAGGCTTTTATTTCTTATCTCGTGTTTGTTTACATAGTCCAATAAAATGCAACTTCTCAGAAGTTGAAGTCTGAACTGAGAGTAGGGTGTAGTTTTAAACTCACAATAAAAGAAATCGTCTACTAGAAACAATTTTGATGTTTTGCAACAGAGAACAATGATTAATACGGCAGAGGTCATGCTACATTTCTGAACACAACATATATCAGAGATAAAATCTTTAACCAATATCAAAATGGCGATGGCACGGGAGTCTACTGGTAAACGAAGGAGCTGCATGCAGTTTGCAGACTGTGAGGACAGGACTACAGAACACAGGAATCAGTTCATACACAGTTCAGACATACCTCCTTTTATAGACTATAGGTAGGATCTATTTTTAGTAAACCTGGTATTGAGGTCAATGCGAACTCCAGAAAATAGTGATATTTCAAGAAAAAACATTTAAAACTGCCACCTTTTCACTTTTTCAAGTTCATCAAGTTCTCAACAACATTGGATTGTCAAAAATTAACTTCTAGTCATCTACTGTAACACTAGATGCTTACAAGGATGCTTTTCAGAAAAAAACTTGAGGACACACAATTAGTGCGGATCCAAATCGTCTGAATCCCATTGGTCTGAATCCCAATGGTCTGATTCCAGATCATCCAACTCTGATTTGTGCGAATTTCAATCATTGGGATTCGGACGAATGGGATTCGGACCATTGAGATTCGGACCAATGAGGCGACCCCAGGAAAACCCTATATAATACCACAATACAGGCCAAAACCCTGTTGAAAAATATTGACTGCCATCCATGTTTAGAAAGATGTTAATTCACTCTATTGCTGACATCAAAGAGAGTAATAAAAATGAAAAAGACTCTATGGGACATTAATCATCATACATATGTTTTCAGTGATCGCCCCCCATGTTGGTACTGGGAGACTTGCTATAGGCATGAAGGCACAGAACATATGACAAAATATCTTCATCCCTGGGAGCTAGGTAAACTCATACATACTTAACAATCCTCATAAAACTGTGAGTTTCCTCAGTATTATCATATAGCTAATGGCCTAGTCACATAGCCCGGCCGATGTCCGGCATCGGTAGAGCTCGGTGGATTTTTTTGGTGCCACCGAACTCTCCTCATCGGAAGCAGAGCTCGGTGACGTGAACGGACTCCGTCCGGACATCTTCAGGCGACCGACCGAACACCGGCCATGTATATCCAAAATTATGGCATATTCTATACTTTCTATACTTTCGAACTGCTTTTTTTAAATGATACTTTTTTCAGTCTTAGACGATTGGACTCTCTAAAGTCTATACATGTCTATACTTTCTATACTGTCTATATTTTTGATTTTGGTGAATTCCCTATATCTATACTTTCAATACTTTCTATACTTTACATTTTGGTGAAATCCCTATGTCTATAGTTTCTATACTTTCGATACTTTCTATACATTGTAAAAAAATATGTGACGTCATAAGTTTCTTGGTCACTTTCGATTTTGGTGAATTGCCTCAATGTATTGTAAAAAACAGACAGTTATGGGGAAAAGTAGATAGAAAGTATAGAAACTATAGACATCTGATTTGTCGAAGACAGTTATGGGGAAAAGCAGATCGAAAGTATTGAAAGTATAGAAACTATAGACATCTGATTTGTCGAAGACAGTTATGGGGAAAAGCAGATCGAAAGTATAGAAAGTATAGAAACTATAGACATCTGATTTGTAGAAGACAGTTATGGGAAAAGCAGATCGAAAGTATAGAAAGTATAGAAACTATAGACATCTGATTCGTAGAAGACAGTTATGGGGAAAAGCAGATCGAAAGTATAGAAAGTATAGAAACTATAGACATTTGATTTGTCTAAGACATTTCTGGGAAAAAGCAGATCGAATGCATCTGATATGTTGAATACAGTTCTGGGAAATAGCAGATAGAAAGTATAGAAACTACAGACATCTAATTTGTCAAAGAAAGTTTTGTGAAAAGCAGATAGAAAGTATAGAAACTGTAGACATCTGATTTGTCGAAGACAGTTATGGGAAAAAGCAGATCGAAAGTATAGAAAGTATAGACATCTGATATGTCGAAGACAGTTCTGGGAAATAGCAGATAGAAAGTATAGAAACTACAGACATCTGATTTGTCTAAGACAGTTATAGGAAAAAGCAGATCGAAAGTATAGAAAGTATAGAAACTATAGACATCTGCTTTGTCAAAGGCAGTTAGTATGAAAGGGCATTTCGAAAGTATAGAAACTATAGACATCTGATTTTTCAAAGGCAGTTGGTATGAAAAAGCAGTTCGAAAGTATAGAAACGTCGAAGGCAGATAGTATGAAAAAGGAGATCGAAAGTATAGAAAGTATAGACAATGTATAGAAAGTATAGACATTGCCATAATTCTGGGAATATATGAAAACATAACATGGAATACATAATTCTGGATACACCGGCCGGTGACCGTACGGAGTCTGTCTCAAAATGGTAGTTTTTTCTGCCGATGTGGCAGCAACTACCGGCCGGTACCCGAGCAGGTAACAGGACACCGTGCGATCGCCGGCCGGGTTAACAGGCTTTGAACAGTGACCGGCTGATGCTCTGTCCCACATCGGCCGGAGCTCGGTCGGAGCTCGGCCGCTGTCCGTTAAAAACCTCGTCCTCTGGTTGTCTCAGATGCACGGGACACCGGCCTATACTCGGCCGTGCACCGGCCGACGTGTTTTCCGATGTGGTTACGATGGGGCTGCGATGACATGATGAGGGAACTTGGTGAGAGCCCGGTGAAATTTAACTCCGAAGTTAAAATTTCACCGAGCTACCACCGATGCAGTTTTAAGCAACAAACGCCACGGATGTCCGGCCGGTGTTCGGCCGAGTTTGGTGAAAATTGCATCGCTGGCTCATCGTAACCTCATCGGCCGGGCTATGTGACTAGGCCATTAGGCTCTGAGCTACATGTATGAGTGAGCTCAGTGGTGGTACTATTAGCTCATGGAGCCTAAAATGCTCACAGTATGAGGTCTTGTTAATTCCTGTGGTAACTAATGTCCAACATGTCCAGAAGTATAATGATTTGTGAAGGATATGACAATTAATTGTTTTTTAATAAAAGGTAAACGATTATTCATACATTTTACACCATGTATATTGTATTTTGGAGACAAATGCTAAATTGCCCTATTGGAAAGATAACATATTTTCACTCAACCTTCTATAGGCAATTTTCAATGTGTGTCACATTATAATGTTCAGTTGAGTTAATACCTCCTTTTATAATTGATATGATAACATGTATTTTACCTTACATTGTAGAAAACAGCTCAATGTCAAGCTTGCCTAAAGAAGAAAGCCAACAACTGAGAGATGCATTAAACCAGTACTATGATAAAAAGGTCAAGATACCACATGATGAGATGGAAAGAAACAAGGCAATTGTAGAAAAGGTAAAGATGATGATAAAAGAATATTTTGCAAAGAACAGAAATGTTAAGATCCTAGAAATAGAAGATATGGGAAGTGTTTATGAAGGGCTGAAGGTTGTTGCAGCAGATGAATTTGACCTACTGATGCTTCTAAAAGCCCATGCTGACTGGGAGGTTATCCAGAAGGATGATTGTGGATTTTGCATCATCAGGAATTGTCCAGTTGACATTGTTTTAGAAAGTATTGGACCATTACAAGACCCACTAAGACCTTATAAGGACTGTATGGTAGATTATAAAGGAGATGAGGTTCTATCACCAAAGAAAATGCGCAGCTTGTTTCAAAGCTACTTTCAACAATGGATCGACAGTCTACCTGGCCAGGGTTCTCTCCCAGGGGGCGAGTTACATTGTAAAATGAAAACTGGTGGTCCAGCAATTACCCTGGATGTCTTGGAAGGAAATAAGAAACTGATGAGCATCGATTTCACACCTTCCTTTGATATCGAGGATGATTTGGTGATTGCCATGCCACACCCTGACCTGAAGACCCCAAATGCATCAAGCACAACGAGATTGTCTGTTGAATTGCTTTGGATGCAGTCTAACTGTAGAGAAGAGAGAGTAAAGATGCGTGACATTGATACTGACAATGGGTGTCGTAAAAAGGTCACAAAAATCCTGAAAACCGTCAAGCAAAATGATACACAACTATGCTCTCTTAGCTCCTATTTCTTCAAGGCAATCCTCCTTCAAATGCCAGAAGGAGCAAATTGGGGTCACAATGCTATTGCCGAGCGATTCATTGATTTGATCAAACGCCTTGAAAAGTGTCTTGGGGAAAAAAGACTTGTAAACTTCTTCAATCCGGCTATCAACCACTTTGCAATCAAAGATCCCAAGACACTGGAGAACTTACAGGGATATCTGAATCAAATAATTCAGAGGAACGCTTATGTGAACCTTTTGAAGTAACAATCAATGACTCATCTTCTGTGATCATGCAAAATATGACAATGGTTGAATTGGACATAAAACTGATTATTATATAATGACAAAACACTGCTCTTTTGGGATTATTTCTCAAATAGGTACAAAATTTTAATTAAGATTTTTTCCAAATTTGATGAATAATGCCAATTTTCATGTTTTTTATATTTTCTTCTCATGGATGGACCGGATCCAAACCTATTTTTAAAATATCACCCAGTTGTTTCAATGATTAGCAGATCACAGAAACAGAAAGTATATAGAAACGAAACATTAGCAGTCCAATAGACTTTGAGGGGTGATCTTATTTCATTTTGAAATTATAAACTTGAATAATGAGTAGATTTAGTAAATCAATTTTCATCTCACCTTTTCAGTTTTATAAGTGAATTATTCAAAGTATGTTCAGTTAAAGAAATAATTATCTGTATTTGCAATACAACAATCAAAATGTTCAAGTTTTCATGATCATATAACACATCTTATAACTATGGGGAATCTACCTGACCTATAAGACACATTTTCAAAGAAAACTTAAATCTTTAGACCCTCTTGCTCCAGATTGAGAACCCTGAGATGTAATTGTAGATGTAGATTTCAAATATGATATCACTGCGAATAAATTTGGAATATCTAATGGTGAAAATCAAGTTTATTTCTTCTTGCATCTTGTCTTCCAAAACTTTTTGGAAGTTATGATTCAAATGACTCGTATAACTTACACTGCTAGCAACAGATTATCAATTTTTAATTGCTTTGCTCTTCAAAGATGGGCTCTTATCTTTTTTGTATGCCTTACAAAACTAGAAATAGGAAAAAGCTACATTCAGCTAAATGGCAGATATCAATTAGATCATAATGAAAAGTATAAGACAAAGTGCAATCTTGCTCTCACCTTTAACTGAGCAGCTTTGTTACTTTCTCTCTTTTTCTCTTCTTCCTTGCGAGCCATCACAGCTGCTATCCTCCTCTCCTCCTCCTAGAAGAAATGAATTCAAACATGAGTACCCTGAATCTCAATCTGCCAGTTATACCACCCTTGACAATTACTCAGTTGCGAGTAGGTAGTTACCAGTTTTGCCACCAGGTGGCTGATTCGGGGGAAATAACATGGCAGGGTATTACAAAGTTCCCTTAAACTTGAATATTCATCAGTTTTAGTGATTTACTTTTCATATTACCCTTATGTATCTGATAGTTATACAAATTAAAATGTGTCCAGTAAAAGAAAATATTATCTGCCCAATACAAGAAAAGATATTTCACTTTTTTTGATTTTACAACATGGGGTCTATGGGGAATCTCCCAACCTAGAAGTCACATTTTCAAAGAAAATTAAAGGACGATTCTCGGTTTGGAGAACAGTCTCCTGAGCTAATAATTTTTTTAATGAAAAATTTAGAAATATTACCCAAATTAAACTATGAATATTCAAAAGAGGACATTTAAATCTACAAGATGTAAAAATAACAAATTGGTCTGAAGCAGGGATAAGGCTCAATTTGACAGATTCAATAAAATACAAGTCTCGATTTGGGGAAAGAAGTTCATCAGTGTACTGCGCTAATATTTTTTTGCGAAAAATCTAGAAATATTACCCAAATTAAATTATAACTATTCAAAAGAAGACATTCAAATCTATATTATGTAAACAAATCAAATTTGTCCGAAGCAGGGATAATGCTCATTTAGATTGATGAACTTCGTTCTCCAAACCGAGAATCGTCCTTTTCAAAGTTGATAAACACTTTTCAAAAACACATTTCTAGATGTAATTTTTACATGTAGATTCCAAATATGACATCAGTTTGACTGAACTTAGAATTTTTGATGAAGTAAATCAAGTTTATTTCTACTCTCACCTATTGCAGATGATGCAACAGATTTGATGTAGATTTGTATGTGAAATGAATGCCAGGGTCTAATATGTTGTGCCACGAGTTTCTGACTACACAGTCTGATCGAATATATGCTACATTAAAGAATCATCTCTAATCTAAGAGTGTAGACTAGCCAAGGGTTATAAGTCAAGGGTTATAAGGTGTGTATAATAACTAAATAGATGCTAAAGTCATGGTCATCTTCCATTAACCTCTTGAATCCCAGGCTCTAAAATCGCTTGAAACAAGAGAATTTTTCATTTTTGCCAGCTTTTGACATTTTACTACATATAATAGATATACAACAGATGATGCTCATTTTAGTATGAGTAGATGGCAGAGATCATTTCTCAGGGATTCATGCTAAATTTAGTTTATCATTTGTTCATTGGCCCCAGTCTAATAAAAATTTCGAACGGAATGCGTGACATATATGTAATTCGCGTGAAAAGTCCGAACGAAATGCGTACATTTTTTTCCGGCGTTCGCATTTTTGCTGTGTAGACGATCTTTTTTAGAAAATTTTCTACAGAAATATTTTTGCTTGACAATTACCAGGTAAAATGCGTATTTGCGTGACATTTTCTGTCACGCAAAAATAACTGGCGTGACTTCAAATTCTTCAGCAAATGCGTGACAAATACGCAAATTGCGGGACAGTTGACAGGCCTGAAATTGTATTAGGAAGCTAACTGGTCTATTTTTAAACATAGGATCAAATCCAAGCAGTTGAATAGACATCTCCAGGATCAAAAGAGACTGGCTCTGGGCCTTAACAGAGTGGCACTTATGTCACAACTTTGGGAAGGTCTATTACCTTGATATAATATATGACATCATGCATGATTTGTTAATACCTAATATGTAAAAACTTACTGCAACTCTCTTCATATCCAGCTGTCTGAGCTGGTGCATATGACGTAGTACAGTCTGCTTGTAGCTGGCATCCTGGGCAAATGGGTTGCCATCTAAGGACACTTCTGAGAGACTAGTGCTCTCTGCAAGGCAGCTGATGTCTTCGAAGCTGAAAACACACATGATTAGAAATATAACTCTCTATAGCAATCTACTATCCTTTAAACACTGAAGCATTCAAATGGTGAATCATAAAAAATGTCCAACAGCTATTGCTCATTGGAAGAGATTGGCCCCAGGTTTAATTCCCATTTAAGCCAAAATTCATTTGTAAATGGACCAAAACTCATACAAAAGGCCATGGTATGCTCTTGTCTATATGAGTATCAGGAGACTGAAAATAACACAGTGCTCATCGAGGAGGGGTTTCTGGGTCTGTCTTCAAGACTTCAAAAAATGCTGAATGAGGCTGCCAAAATATGGTGGTAACCAAAATACAAACAGACCCATCTGTACCAACTTCTTAGTCAGAATGTTAAGAACAATGAGATTATTCCATATGGGAGATAACACAGCTCTTTAAAGGAATATTCCTTGCCAGACCCTTTCTCTCTTGATATGGTAGCTATAATCATATATATAGTTTCCATATTTAGCAAAACATGGGAAAATGTTTTAATATGGTCAATATTGATCATTTAAAAATCTAGTGCTTATTTCCAGTGAGCTGCCATCTTTTAAGATTTCTTGCAGGAAGTGATGTCATCAACTCTCAACTTCTATACCCTTGCCCATAACAGTATAGGAAAGTAGCACAAAATCACTTCTAGACAAGTGATCATTACTTTCTGTGCAAAAATATTTTCAGGGCTTGTCAACTTAGAATATAAGAAGAGATTTTCAGAAGGATTAAATAAGATACAAAGTTGAAAAAGAATATTTAGCTGATTTTGTAATTCTTAATAGCTCCTCACCTAATGCTATATGCAAAGTTGAGAGTCGATGACATCACTTCCTGTGTGAAATTTTAAAAGATGGCAGCTTACTGGAATTGAGCATCACATTTCTAAGTGATCAAATTTGACAATATCAAAACATTTTTGCGTGTTTTGCTAAACATGGCAAGCATATATATGGTTATAGCTACCATATGAGGAGAGGGATGGTTTGGCAAGGAATATTCCTTTAAGAAGAATGGGAGCATTTGATAAGGGAGGCAATCAATTAGATTCAATATTTTTAATCCTGGAATGTTTTTTTTCTGAATGTATACTGTACAATTTAATAATACATAATATATTATACCCGGTACAATGTAAGGTTATATTAGTTTAGTTCAAGATAGCTATAGACACAATTTTAAGCCCAAAATAATCAATTATAACCATCCTAACCAGAATTGTCTCTTCTACATACCAGTGCCTCTTTTAACGTTTCAGCTTACAAAACAACCAGTGGAACTAAACACATGAAAGTAAATGCATGCAATCCAAGAAATTGTTATGCATGATAAACTCATTAAAAGAAACCTTACCAACCAGTTGATGAGATGTCATTCACAATAGTTCTACCATTTATTCAAATCCTTAATAGTTAAGCATTTACAATGTATGCATACCTTTTTCTTGGCAAATAATTCCGTTCTAATTTCCTCTTTGGCTGAACCTGTACATGATATTTAGATTTTAGTGTCTGTCCCTTTACACCTAATTTTGGATGTCCTGACATACACACAGTATCCATTTTGTCCCGTGTAATGTCTAAATCCTGCCTTTTATTTAAAGGACTGTTCCTTCCATGTGATACTGATTTCATGACATTCTGATTTTCATAATTTCTGGTGTGATATTTTCCAATTCTCTCCTTTTGTATTTCCTTTGGGTCTGCTACTATGGGTTGCCACATACTATATGGTAGAAATCATACTTTTGAGATGAAATGACTTCGAGTCTAATATTTTGAAGTGACTTGATAAAAGTGAAAATTAATTTAAAGAATACTGTATGCCACATTCCTAATAATTCAGTTGATGATTTGCATACAACCTTTCAGACTTTCAAAGAATGAATCTGCCAGACGAGGGACTAGATATTCTGTACTGAAATTCTTGAGTTGTACAACCCTTTATCTCAGAGAAATTATCTTAAGTAAAGACCTCCTCAAATTCCAAATAAGTATATTAGCCATTTTGTTATCTGTAATGTTTAAACCAAACACAACAATCTATAGAGAACTTTCTAACCCTATTAATTTTCATAATTTATAAATGCCTCTCTAAATGGAGAACATGAGTTCTAACTCAAGAACATTGAGAAAGGGAAATGAAATTTCAGTTACAAAAGGTTATTCAAATATTGAATTTTGGAACTGGATGTTTCAAAGAAGAGCAAATAATACTTCAATATATAAGTGTTAAATTTATCGCCCCGGTTGAATTCTTACCTTTAAGAATTTGTTACAATTCAAGTCTGTTTTCACAATGGTCCAAAAATATTTACATTTGATTAAAATAATATCACAAAACTAAAAGTTGAGAATGAAACAGTTTTGACACCAACAAAATAAAATCAGAAAATCACAACCAACTAAATAAAAAAATACACTTGTATTACTGTATCGCTACTGTGAATTTTCTTACCTACCCAAAAACTAGTTTTTCAAATTTAGATCCGAACATTTCACCATCCATTTTTGATTCTAAAACAAATATTTCAAAAAGTGCACAGTGAACCAATGAATTTGAATTTGTGCTCAGGTGGCAGATATTGGAGTTTCTATTAAAAACAGATTAAAAACATTTTTTTACAAATCAATATTGCATGAATCGTGCAAGAATCAGCTATAAGGCTAGGCTATACAAACAAATTGATTAGCATACCCTCTTTATTGTATTCCCAATGACATGATAATAAATAATACATGTGGCATTTATTGAGCGTTCTCAATGTGTTTTCAATGATGTGGATATTAATTTATACACGAGTAAAATACTTTTTACATTTGTCACTCATATTGTCTCTTTAGTCATTGATAGTTCATCTTAAAAAGTTTTTATTAAATCAGTTTATTTTTAAATATTAGGAGACAGTGAATGTCTTTTCCACAAAGTCAAATCAGTTGGTTCACATGATAATTCCAATTTGTGTCAATTCTAATAATTAGCTTTATATGAGATATAACGCAAAAGTTTCCACATCTTAAAACAAAAACAGTATGGTAAACGCAAAATTAAACTATGATTGCCTAAACCCTATCACTGTCTGTTAATTGCATGTAAGGAAATCTCATATTTGCCTGATCAGGATCAGAGTAGATTAGCAGGGAATATGCAATTAAGTCAAAATCAATCCTGGAGAAAAAATAGATGAAATGAGAAAGTCATACATGGAAGAAATCAACTAATAAAGATCAAGATTGTTGCAGCAACTTTTCATAATTTTGGTCTATTCTAGTCACATTTTGCCACTTAACAAAATCACTTTTTTGTTAAAACGGAAATATTCATCAACATAAACAGATATTCAAGGAGCCCATTCACATTTTGAGAGACTGAGCTCTATTATATTTGAATATTATACAGTATGTTTGAATATATCACTCTACAACATCGATATGACAAGGCATTAGCATGCAAAATGTCACCACCTGCCATTTGTTAAAGACAACAAATACCAAACAGAGAATACCATTCATAAAAAAGTTGGAGACTAACAATATGTCCCACTTCAGTTGGTGACATAAAAACAATGGTAGCAGGGAAAAGAGAGAGAGAGGAACTTCCAGGAAAACAAGTCTCAAAATATGATATCTGACCTACAGAACATATCAGAAAACAATTTCATAATGTCAGTACGTAACATGCCCGTAGCCAGCTTTTTGTAATCATAACCACAACCCCTCCCCCAAAAAAAAAATTCCCCATGCTAAACCAAGCCCCTTTGTATTGTAGAGGACAGTGGCGGATCCAGAAGCTAACAAGGGGGGGGGGCACACTTCAAGTCAGGAAAAAAATCAAAAATCATAAGGCCCTAAAACCAAAATTTGGGCCCAAATTTTGAAATTTTATTGCCCGTTCTTTGAAAATTTGGCCTAATTTTGAAAAAATAAGGCCCAAAAAGAGGCCCTACAATATTTTTGGGCCAACATTTTTTACTGGGCCCATCCTATGGCCACGTGGAAAACCTTTTAGGGCCCTAGAACCAAAATATTGAAATTTTATGGGCCGTTTTTTGAAAATTTGGCCTAAAATTGAAAAAATAAGGCCCAAAAGGTCAAGTAAAAAGATCAAGTAAAGGCCAATTTAAGAGGCCCTACAATATTTTTGGCCCAAAAGTTTTTTCTAGGCCCATACTAGGGCCGAGCGTAATATTTTTTAGGGCCCTCAAACCAAAATTCGGGCAAAAATTCTGAAAATTTATGGCCCGTTTTTTGAAAATTTGGCCTTAAATTGAAAAAAATAAAGCCGAAAAAGGTCAATTTATGCCCAAAGAGGCCCTACAATATTTTTGGGACAACATTTTTTCTGGGCCCATCCTATGGCAGCGCAGACAACCTTGTACGGCCCTTCAACCAAAATTTGAGCCTAAATTTTGAAGATTTATGGCCCATTTTGGAAAATTTAGCTTAAAATTGAAAAAATAAGGCCCAAAAAGGTCAAGTAAATTGGTCAAGTAAAGGCCAACTAAAGAGGCCCTACAATATTTTTGGCCCAACATTTTTTTTATGGGCCCATCTAAGGGCCGCGAGTAAGATATATTAGGGCCCTTAAACCAAAATTTGGGCCAAAATTTTGAAAAAAATAAGGCTGAAAAAGGTCAAGTAATGCTCAATAAGGCCCACTTAAGAGGCCCTATACAATATTTTTGAGCCAACATTTTTTCCAGGCCCATCCTAGGGGGGGGGGGGGCAAAATATATCCACAAAAAAAAATTGGGCCAAATTTTGAAAAATAATGCCCAAATTCGAAAAACAATGCACAGTAATGCCATTTTTTTAATCTTAATTGCCCAGTGAATGTGGGGAAGAGCAACTTTTTCTTCAAGGAAGCAAAAAGGTAGGTCCACATTTTTTTAGGAGATATCAGGGGGGGGGGGCTCGGACGAGCTCCCAGAGCCCCCCCCCCCCTGGCTACGGGCCTGCGTAATCATATTCAGTTCCACCAAATAAACAAATAGTGAAAAACAAATAGTGCTCAAAAACAAGGAACCAAACATGAGAATCTAAAAATAATCTTAGTTGACTAACAAATGGAATCACATTAGCTAAAATTAGCTAAAAAGCAAAATAATTAAACTTAAATAATCTTAGCATATACCTATCTCCTTTTGTCCATGTGTAAAAGAAGTATGGGTAACTCATGCTGCCCTTGTTTCAACAATACATGTATTGTAAATGTATATAAATGTCTGTAATCCTCTTAATGATTTCCAATCAGAACTATATAATCAATATGTTAATCCTACTTTTACATTTTTAAGAAAACTAATTCAAATAGTTTTTATTGTTGAAGTGGTCTGAGATGTTCGCCTTTGTGCTTTCTCACATACCATCCACTCTTAAGGGAAGATGAACTGAGTGTAACTTTCTAAAAAGTTATAGAATGTTGTAGAGGGTCTTTTGCCTGTCATTTTGAATTAGTATAATAGACATCCCTCTTTTCAATACTTGTGAATGTAGACATTAAACAATCATAAATCTTCCATACTAGGTCAGATATTTTAAATTCTTTTATTCACATAATAACAATTGTAAGAGACACATTGGCATGCTTTTTGAAGATTGCTTCTAACAATGTTACACTTATTATTCTTTGCTGCCACTTTAAGACACTATAATCTGACTGATTCTTTTTTCTTTGTTTTATGCGATATGTTTTAGAGCAGTCTGGATTGATTTCTCCTATCTAATGTTTCCTAAAGTGATTACTTTTGACTTCTTCATCTATCCATCTGAGATTATAAGAAAGTTTGTGTCCTCTTCCTATAGATGGCATTCATGAAAAACAGCCTGTTTTTTCTCCATCCTTCGACCTTTAATTTTAGTTTCAGATTTATTCTAGCACATTTAGAAATAAATTGTTTTTCTCTGAGACTACCCTTTATCACAGGAGTGTAGCTATGTGCATTAAGCATGTAACACAACTTCTGTATCTGAATCTGAATCTGCATGTTTTATATACATGTATGTCTGAGAATATGTATCCGTCCTTTATATATCATCGTGTATGCAAGATTTGAATTATATACATGATATATATGTAAATCTTTTATCCTTTGAGAATACTGTAATGCCAGCAAAGTGTATCCTTAATCCAAGCATATTTTACAGATACAACCCTCGTGAGATCATAACTTCATGTTAACTCTTTAAATAAGAGTACTCTTTGATCTTGACTATATCCAATTTAATCAGAAAATCATGACAAAACCATTTTCCCTGATGATAAGTCATCATCACATATCCAAACTTCAATAAAAGGCCATGAAAGCTGCATTTCAAATCTTATTTTAGATATTATCAGCATAAATACTGTAAAATCAGAGGGCAGTGTAACTAACTGGTTGGGGATTTGGGTGCAATAAGAATGGATTAATACCGATTCTTGTAGAGAATTAGATATTGGAGAATGTAGGTAACAGAAGAATTGAAAAAGTGATATATTGTTATTCAAACACTAATTATAGTGCTAATTGAGGAGAAATGATAACAAAACCTTACAATTTCTTTTATGTAATATATGTATATGCGAAAAAGAGATCTTAACAATATACACATATATTGATAAATTAAGATTCATATTTCTGTCATTTATCTACTGGTTTCAATCCTTTTTCATATATGAACACATCCAATGATGATTCCTATTAACACAAGAAATCGTCAAGGGTCAGTTACAAGTAGCACTCTGTGCGAGTTTAATTTCAGCTGTCAATTACATTGGGATTCAAATTCATAACAATAAATAGACTAAAACCCACATTCTGATTTACAAAAGTCCCTCTTTATCTAAAGTATGTCATAGTAGGACTGAGAAAGTCAAATTGATATACCAGAGATTCCTTCAAGCTCCTACTCACAATTTAATTAAGAATATTCATCATTTAAATCTTTTTTGAAGTTTTAAAATCGAACTGAAAAGCAAGTTTACATATAAATATTACAAATACTATATGTGTTTTATTAGCTATTCATTATCCTGAATTCGAAATTTGTATCTATCAAATGTATTATACAACTCCACCTATATATACTTTAAAACATTTATACACTATTTGTCTCTGAAAACATCTGAACTTTCAATTAGTCTTAGATCTAATGTGATGAACTTTGCTATTGGTGCTTCAGAAAAATAGGCTGGTTATACATGTATTGTATTAATGTCAAATACTTTAGTTGTCAATCATAATTGTGTATTTTCAGATTGAGGTGTTAATTAAATAATATCAAGGCCCCAAACAGGTAAATTGTCTGTTTAGGAAAATATATAATTATATACCCAGATTACATGAGTTTTTTTTATTCTAAAATTGTTTCAATACCAAAATTAGAGGAAATGGTAGTTTTCCCAAAAAGACAAGAAAAAAGATTTGGCCATTGAAATTTTGGAACAACCATGGAGGTACCACTAAACAGACATTTTCTATTAACTTACAATGGCCTTAAGTATTTAGACAAGGTGCATGCTTACCATGTTATTTCATTAAAGCTGAGGAACAATCTTTGTAGGCTAGGCAGGTTGTCAATGTCAGCCTGAAAGAAGAACAACACATATCATAACTAAGGATTTGTGTATGAGTTAACGTAGCAGTATGATCAGATCAATCTAGAACATAAAATGCTCATGATACGATGTGGTCTTGGTAGTTCCATTAACAAGATATAGTATAAGAAACACAGTGACCTCCAATACACCACTACACAATCTTCAGTTTTCAAAAAAACATTCACTTACCACATGAGTGATTTTGTTTCGTCTAAGATTAAGTTCAGCCAGTGCATCCATTCCCATGAGGCTGTCTACGAGACTAATGTTGTTCCCCGCCAAATTCAACACACGCAGCTCCACTAGATGGCGCAGTTTCTCAATCTTATTGATCTGAAATAATTATCATCTTGCATCTCTAGAATGACACATTATGTAATGGCCTTTTATTTTTTCTAAATTAAAGACAAAAACCTTTATAACAAGCACTAGAGGCTCTTTTAAATCAGAATGAGAATGATAGATAATCCGTAAAAGTACTTTTGACAACAGTTTCCTGATTATCACAATTATGGTATGTAAGAGCCTTTTATATTATATGTTCATGAACAATTCCCTTCCATTCCCTTTTTAGAATAAAAACCATTGCAATTTCTTGTGAGAAATATAAACTTCTAAATGAGGTACATGTATATTTACCATGTTTCCATGTAAGTCTAAGACATCAAGCTTCATAAGTGGCTCCAGGTTCTCAATCTTCTTGATCCTAGGAAATACAAGGTGCATTCAATAAATTGATAAATGGGTTTTGGGTTTTTTGGCAGAATAAAGAACGATCTTCGTGGAATTCGTCATTTGACCTTAGGAGAACTTATTGCATCCATACAAGGATCAATAACCTATAATTTCCAAAATGGATTCCGGCATCTGGTTGAGGAATGGGTAGTGAGACATCAGAGGTATTTAGACCATGATGGACACTATTTAGAACACCTATACCCTTGAGATCTTGTTAGTAAAATAAATAGGACAAAATGAAAAAAAGTGTGAACATTCAAACAAAACAGATCCTTTTTGCCTTCTCCGCCTACCCCTGACTCATGTTACGATAGCAACCAGATTGACTGACAAACAAAAATTTTAGAGTATTTTTGCAAGAACTTCATGTATTTCATTCACAATTCATGATATTTTCTCAAAAACAGGCCCTGACTGAGACTTACCTATTTTTGCCTAACATTAGAACCCTGAGTGACTTCAATGCACTAAGACCTGATATTTCCTCAATCTGGTTGTCGTACAAATCTAGGAAGATGAGTCGTTTGAAGCTGCTGAGATGCTGTATCTTTGAGATTAGGTTGTGCTGATAGTTTAAAAGACGTAGCTGATCCTCCCCCTCTAGTATGGGACATATTTCCAGCTTACGCCTTAAAAAAGAAATATGTCTTTGTTAACATAGTATACAGGGTGTCCCGAAAATGTGATTTATTAAGTCACTAAGGACCTGACTAACCCTTCCATTAAAATATCAGATTTAAGACTGATTGTTGAACTGGACTGAATTGAAATAAAATAGAAAAATTTAATCTGATCCCTATAAAACAGCTGAGATGAAAGTTAGGATGAAGTGTGTACAATACCTGTCCAGGTTGAGTCTGTCTGGGTTGGCACTCCTCTCTTCTGGTGTACGGTATACAATGGGGACTCCAGGAGCAGAGGGACTCTCAGCAAACACAACACGGTCACCTAGCAACAAACACATGTTCCACAGTTACAGATGCAAACAATATCATTCCCTAACACACCTTGAGTTACAGATAAAAACAACAAGGTCACCTATCAACACACAAACATTTTTCAAGTTTATATTTGAAACTTAAATAGTTGCTTACTTATTCTCATGTGGATATTCAATGTTCAACGTTTAAATGTTATTTCATTTGTTTTTCTGGTATTGCCCCTCATGCTGTTCAAAAAAATTCATATCCCATACCCGTCCTGTATTTATCTTGTATCCATCCCAAATATTTGTACAAAATAGAATTTCTTCCAAATTTTGGAATTCTTTTATGTGATATGCTAAAAGCATAGGATAAAAGGTGATAAACTGGTCAAGATTGTATATGGACTTTATCCTTTGGTTCCCCTCAATCAGATATCATATCATTCCTCGTGATCAAGCCCATGTATACCACCCTCCTCCCAATTAACTTCTGTCTGCACTTAGTGACAAAACAAACATGGTCAAATATTGGGAGACAAGGGTGGAACATTAGATCTTGTGAACAAACCTGTTTCAAACAAATGTTCTGGAGCTGAATATGGATATATAATTTTTGGCTTAGGATAGTCAGGAAAAATCCTGCACCCTAAATTCTTGTATTCTGAATCCTGAATGGCTGTGGAAAATATATGAAAATAATTTGGACTTTGATAGGAGATACTCAATATATTCAGGGTCAACTTGCAGGGAAAATATTCTGGTCAAATTAAAGTTCCCATCACTCAAGATCTAATGATATAATATAACCCCAGGAACAAACAGGCACCAATATTTTCAGTACTGTTCAAAGGCTGAATGTTAAGGATGTTAGAACTAAGAGTTAAAAACAGCAAATCAAATTAATTGCACTCCATTCCTGTAAACGATGAAATGATTCATATTAAGAGATAGGAAATTAAAGCATGTAAAGTGAGAATCAAAATTCTATAATAATCCTCAAAAGATATTCAAATCAATTCTCTCTTTAATTCCTCAAATCACAACAGCTAAAATCTAGTTTCTAACAACTAAAAATAAAAACAAAGCACAAGAATTACAGTACACCACAATCAAAGCTCAACCTTACTGACCTGGTAAAATGACCCCTGATCTAGATTCAGTTCGAGATTTTGACCTCGACTTTGACCTCATTCTTTTATCTCCAGATGATGCACTATATGGCCTTGAGGGGTCACCCTCATCAGAGTTGACACTTGTTGCGTTTGTAAGATCATGTGCGACTGCAGATGATGGCGAGTATTGTTGACGTTTGTTTCTATTGCGTTCAGTTTTATCTACAGTATCTAACATCAAACAACAAACAACTAACTACCAAGTGTATATTTATAAACTAAAGGAAAGGGTAAAATGTAAAAAAAATATATAGCATTTCCAAAATAATAAAATTAAACTTATTGAAGGCAAATCCTGGAATTAGTAAAATGCTCATCTTGATTATAATACTCATTCCAGGTAAACTGAAGCTACATGTAAACTGCAAATCTTTAAAGTAAATTTTAAGTAGCATAGTACAGAATTAAGAAATATAGACCATAAGAGCAGGGGTAATATTGTCGAATACACCCCGCAGGGCTAGGCACATCGTTTTCTGTACCCCAAACACCGAAGGGAGTGAGGGGTTCAAAAGCTTTTGTACCTAGCCCTAAGGGGTGTATTCAACAATATTACACCTGCTCTGAGGTCTATATTATGATTCGAACATGAAAACTCACCAAAATGTTTCGAATATTCATTATGGTCCGCCATTACTATGGCCCGCCGTTATGACGTCACACATTACACATATTAACAGGGGTTTTGTTCGCGAATATACCCTGGGTGAAATGTTGACTTTGTTTACAGTTTATAGAAGGCGTGAATACAGTCATGTTCGAATATTGAATAAGACGCATAAAATAAAATTTGAACCAAATTCTGTTTCTGATACAATCAAGCTGTAGTGAAATAAATCTAACATGGTGAACTGAAAGAAACTGCACCAATAATCTCCACAGGATTTTCTCAAGCGGGTGTATAACTCTGACCAAACTTGGCCACGTCACAATTTTACATCATGTTTATGATTTAATCATTAAATAAGATTTCAAGTGGGTGCAAATCCATTTTTAAATTCACAACTGGGCAACACCTAGTAGCTTGGTTTAATGCTGGAGAGATCACTAAATGCACATATTTATGGGTTAACAAAACAATAACGAGGATTTATCAGCCATTACCATCATTGTTAAAAAGCCATCGGCAAGAATAAGACCATAACCAGAGGCTGATAAAAATTGTTAAAACTTACGTGTCATTTCTGCGCTTTGAGAGATTCTTTTGATGAGACTGTTGTTGTTGAGCAAGTCTTGAGGTGCCCGGGTTGTCCCCACATTCTGGGCAACCTTCACCTCAGAGTGCTGAATATACAATCATTATATACAATGACCATTGAGTGCTGAATATACAATACAATATATACAATAACCATTGTAATTTAAATGAAACTCAGACAGTCTCAAGCAAACTTACTACCCTGTCTTAGTTTGAGCATCCAACTCCTCTTATTATAAAATCTAGAGCCAACGGTAAGAAACTTTTTGATCGGCCCTTGTATATTAATCAGTGTTTTGTATGGTTTTATTTTAATGAGAGTGTTAAATGTTTATCTATTTAAATTATGGAATGCAAAAACTGATGAAAAATGACCATTCTCATGTCATTTTTTCAACAATTTGACGTTTAGCTGGCTTATCTTCACGAAAAAGTATATAAAAACATCCTGTAAGTTTTAATATTGATGTACTATAATAGAAACCTCCTTTTCTGTTAAAAGATCAAAGATTGTTATATTTTTTAGAATATTCAGAGTACATATTTTACATTAAACAAAATTACAAAACCAACGTACAATATAATTGATGACATCTTTTGATATCTCCCAACTTTTTGGTAATTTGTCAAACCGAACTTTAACAGTCTGTACACGCCTGGCCATTCTATTTTCTCTCTTTATGCCTCTAATGATTTGATGAGGTACTCATCAGAAATGTGCATGGAGAATATTGAATAATTTATTTAAATCAAGGTATATAATTTTGGCAGTTATCCTCTATTACCCAAGACAGCCTCAGCTTTGGGACTGCATTGATTATGCATGTGTGCCTTTACTTCTGCAAGCTTGATATTACATGCTGAGACTTTTATATCCTTAAATATGCACCTTTTATCCTTTTTATTACATTCATTAGCTGTTTTATTAATGCACCCAGAGCAACGTCTATTGAAGAATGCCACGTAATCTTATAAAAAACAGTACAGATATTTCAGAAAAATCCCTAATATCTTATTGTAATTAAAAAATATATAAATTTTCAGCCGACTCCATTTTCCATTTCTGCCTCTTAATATGGTCCATTTTCCTATACAGGTACATATATAGAGAATTCTATCCAAAGACCGAACCCAGAAACATTCCAAATTTCCTAGTGTATATCCATGAATGCACAGATCAAATGACCACCATACAGAATATGGTGGATGTTATAAAAGAGCAGGCTCCAGGGTACTGCATGATCTGGTTTGCACATGTAATTGCAATTGTCGAAATTCAAGATTTTAATTTGAGGCCTTTTAAGAATGTGTTTTCCTTAGAGATCAATACATTTTGAGTTATAAGAATCCACCTCAGTTAAATTCAATATGTGCAAGCAATTGCTAAGCTGATAAAATGATTAAATTCATTAATATAAACATGTTTTATATTATATGTTTCAGACAAGAATTAATAAACAATACATTTTCATTGATAACATAAATTAACTGCTAAATGGATCATACAGAATTATTCTTCTATAAAAGAACCCCAAATTAGTACCAGGTAATTTTTCAAAGAATTAGGATATGCGATCCCAATGATTTTGAGAAATAAATTGATATTTTAGCACAACAACGTTGATCTCATAAGACTTTTATTGTCAGAAAAATGGGATTAATTTCATACTGTTGGAATTTGCCTATAGAATGCGTCTGAAGTGGCAAGGGTCAAATAAGTCTGTTACTGATCCTTTGTACATACAAAACAATACTAGGAAACTTAGCCAAGTCAAATTAAACATTTAAAAATCAAAAGACATCCTTCGACCATTGGCTTGGTAGACTATATATTTTCAAAAAAGTAACCCTTGAAGACTTTTACAATGCATATAGCAAATATGGGTTAAGCAGACATTGCTAAAGACAACATGCCACCGGCCAAAGACCTAGGCATGTCTATTTTGAGAGGGGGTAAGTTTTTAAATCTTGCTTCTTGAAATACTAAAAATAAAAGCTTAAGAAATCATGAAAATGTGTCTTACTAGCATTTTATTGATTCAGATTCCTTTCTTATATTTGGAACAGATTTAACTTAAGGTATATTAGGATCATAAGAGCTTTTGCTCAAATAATGTTCTGATCATGAGATTATTTACTCAAGGTAGGTATGTTCATTTCGTTATTCAAGAAAGATGGTTATGACTAAATGTTTTGATAAGTAAATTGAATACTCATATACAATATATATTATTAATTTACCGTATCCCCCCATCTGTCTTGCTGTTCCTCAAAAATGATTCAATTGAACATTTCATGTTTAAGTTGCTTCTATCTAAAATCAATGTACATGTATGTTGACAAATCACAATTTCTACCCTTTCCACCAATCAATCTAATTACATTTACTTGCATATTTATTAGGCAAATATGTAACACCCACCTGTCTCTGTAGACGTTCGTTTATAGCACTACCAGATGCTTGAAGTCCTAAGCCCTGGCCCTGGGGTCCATACACTATGTTCTGGAGAAAGAAAATAAATTTGGAAGGAAGATATTCCACACTCCACTTCTTATGAGAATTAATTTTTCAAATCTGCATGTCATTCATAGCATCCAATTGCATAGGCAAAGCAAAGTCTAATGTCTCAGTTACATCATATATTTTCATTATCTACAAAGAAACCCCCTAGATGAACATTATTTCAGCTGATATTCCTCTTGAAAATATTGACCTGATAGCTCAGAAAAAATAATATTTTCTCTCTACAGTCCTTGTTGCCCCTTTAAGCTCAAACTTCATTATCATAAGGGTTATCATTATATCAAAGCTGTCATGCAAATAGCAGAATTTTTTGGGGGGATAAGTTTATACCAAGACAAGATAACATAAAGTGAGTCAGGAGAGACAGCCCAGAGCTCACAAAAAATTAACATCTGGGTTTTGAATGTACAATACTGTATCTATACTCCCATTGACACAAGAGAAAGCAATGCAAAAAAGCAAAAGTTGAAAAAAGGTGCGCCAAAAAATTCTACCACTCTCATGGAATTGGAAATGTCCCTTGTAATTAAGTCATAATATTATGTCTTTACATGCTTTACTCAAGTCTCTAGCCAAATTACTTGGCTAGACATCATCGGATGTGGAACAACAGATGAAGACACCCTTTATCCCGTGCCAGGACTAAAGTCCTGAGAACGTCTCAATCTTTTGCCTGTACGATTACAACATGGCAGAATTTTCTACGCTTCTTACACTTAAGATACCTACTTCAATAGATTCCTTGGTATTTTAGCATTTTTTTTCATGTAGTTGAATCCACAATTGTCTGGGTTTATCGGCAGAACGAAGAAATTTTCGTTTTTGATCGCAATATTTCTGTGTAATATTTAACTTAATTCAACCGTCAAATTCCTCCATTTATTGGGCCAGTCAAACGGGGAATCCCCTTTTAAATCCAACCGCCATCTTGACAAGTGATGGAATCTCTCTCAATGAAAAAGAAAAATGTTCCCATTCTGCAGATATACCCAGATAATTGTGGATTCAACTACACGAAAAGAATGCTAAAATACCAAGGAATCTATTGAAGTAGGTATCTTCAGTGTAAGAGGCGTAGAAAAATTCTCCCATGTTGTAATCGTACAGGCAAAAGATTGAGACGTTCTCAGGACTATAGTCCTGGCACGGGATAAGACACCCTGTGACCGGTAGAATATATCCTATTTAGATCTAGACTATAGTTTACTCGAGTCTCTAGCTTACAGCTAGACGAAACTTCATTGATTTCGTATGTACTGTGTTACACGCACCTACACGCATCTAGAACTCATTTTTAATAAATTTTATAAATATTTTTAAGAATATTAATCATATTTAGGATGAAGCGTTGCTTGTCTGGATTTAGATATTTCAAAATTTCATTTCGGAGTTTCAATACATGGTGAAATTTTCTCGCTGTAGCTAAAAATGGCTTCCGGTTCTGGACGTGAATAACATTTGAAATTATTCTCGCTTAAAGAAATCAAATATAACAATAGATTCAGACGGGGATGTGAGCTGGTGTTCTTCAAATTTATACATAAAGGTATATTTCATATTATTATGCCATATTTACTGTGCGTGTGACACAATGATTTACAATATTTATAATACTAAGGCAGCTCAATCTTCCTCCTCAAAGCCGGAATATAGAGAAGGCTTTGGACCGAAGTAAACTATAGTCTGAATAATATTAGAAATCTATATTCAGACTTCTATTCAGTCTGTTGGATACATACTACTGACAAATACGCAAATTGCGGGACAGTTGGACAGCCTGTGTATCCATTAAAGTAGAATATTGTAAAGTCTATAGACAGTAAACTTTACCCTTGTCTTAAGCTAAGCTTACTGTCGAAAAAGTTATCATTTATCAGAGGCCCCTTTGCTAAGGCTTACCTCTTTTGGGTTTACAGATGTTCTTGGGTTATTCCTGGGCTTGCTGTAATGATACATCACTGAGTGTGGTACTCTTGCAATAGCAGCACAACTAAGCACTGACAATTTCGCCTATAACTTCTATAAAAATCAAGTAGTTTAGAGTATTTTATTTTGGGAAAATGACTTGTCCGCCATTTTTAAACAGGAAGTGAAGTGACGCATGCGTAATTGATTGAATAGAAACCGCGCAAAAGGTTTTTGGAAGTTTATAAATATTTTTAGCTTATTTTCCGAAAACTGATTCCTTAAAATTATCTAACAGATTATTATCGCGCTGTTTTCATTGTTTATTCTTCAATAAACAATTTGATATGATACCCGGGATACAAAACCGACATATTTCGTTCTGCGCCTATAAATCTGACCTTGACCTCTAATCAAAACTGAAACTGAATTTCAGAGAAAACATACAGCTCAGAATTACAGAAATGTAGGTATCCTAGATCTTTGACGATCCTCCTGAGTCCTGGCACTGGACAGCAACAACAATTGATATCTCTTATTCAATTTGCACTAGACTAATTGAATAAGAGATATATTGCTACATTTATAACGAGCATTGGTTTTTGGCTAACCTATGGTTTGTTTTTGGGTCAGTAATAAGCATGTTTGATGGCACTGATTTACTGAGACTGCTAAAAATAAAGTTCAATTTTTGGTTCAAAATTATTATATGTCAGCGTTCCCTGACACTCATACTATAGCTACGAGAGCTACAGTCTGTTACACTGCTTCAAAGGCAAGCAGTTGAACCTGAAAAACAAGAAATCTATAGACCATTGTGCCATAATATATAGAAAAATATATTCATATTGCACACGAATGACATTTGTATATTTCAGATTATTTAGTGTTTAGTGCAATAAGCCTGTGCCCTCTTGTAATTTGAGGTCTGTCTGCCGTGTTATTTTTTGAGCATAACATGGTAGAGAAGCATCAAAATATAAGAGGGTACAGACTTTATGGGGTTTGTGTAAAAAAACGGGTAACCGGTCGACCGGGGACCTAACAGTTCCACATTTCCCCCGATATATAGAAGCAAATTGACTTGACAGACTTAGCCTACCGAGTGCACTGCTGTCGATATTTTTACCCTATACGAGACAGAGCACTTTTTAAAATAATCGATCCAGCAAACAGTGACGTCCATGTCACATTGCTCATAAGTAACATATAAGTTCCTAGAAGACGTTGCACATTTTCATTCTTTACACATCGAGGCAACGCAAATATGAGACATCTATTGATGGTACAAAAAGAACGTTGTTGTAACGTGTCGGCGGTAAAGTTCGTCAGTGTGGAAAACAACAAACAGGAATGTTTGATTTTTTACTTCATTGGTCCATATGTGACGTAACTCAAACGTTAAAATTCAACGTTGTCAAAACAGGCTTTTAATATCAAAATATTTGTTGGTGAAAAAAATGTGACAAAACTGTTCTCACTAAGTCGGTTCATTTCCGACGTATTGTTAACGTTAAAATTTAACGTTGTCGAAACGTTTTTTCGATTTGAAATAACCTCAAAACGTGATGTCAATAATGACATTCACGGACCGTATTGATCTGACGTTATCTAAATATTCAGCAAAACCTCGATGGATGGTTGAAGTTCAACATTGTGGAAATGGCTTCAAATTATTTGTGAGTTAAGGAAACGTTACAAAGACGTCAATATGTTCTCACTAAATCGGTTCATTACCGACATTATTTTAACGTTAAAAGTTAACGTTGTCAAACCGTTCTTACGATGTGAAATAACCTCAAAACGTGACGTCGAAAATAACGTACATGTATCGTCAAGATCCAACGTTATAAATAAAAAAATCCTAACCCTGCTAGGAACGTTAAGTACCCGGTTTTTTACACAAACCCGACTTTATGAGTCAATTTACAAGCAATCCAACATATACAAATGTCATTTGTGTGCAATATGAATATATTTTTCTATATATTATTGCACAATATTATTTAGATTTCTTATATTTCAGGTTTAACTGCTGGTCTTAAGAAGCAGTGTAACAGACTTTACATGCACACGTGGCATATATCTACAAAGTAATAATAGTGGTATGAGTACATATAGCAAACTAGTGTTTTAAGTACTACTTTTTTATACAATGAACTAAACAAATGTCACGAGAGTTGCACTATGCCCTAATAGTGACAACTTTGAATTGAATCTAGCAATCAAAGTACCAGAACAAATTTGCACGAGCCCTCGATAACACAGGAAGTTACCAAATAGAAATATTATATGTTTTACTGGGTATACATTTCACAATTTATTTGGTTATATAATTACAGCTCCACAATGAGTGCTGAAAGTGAAGGACTTACTGGCCAACAATGTGATGAGAGATGTAAGGAGTTTGCTAGCATCACTGGAACCGATACTGCTTTGGCAATGTTCTATCTGCAGGATAGAAACTGGAACTTAGAGGTAAAGTATGTTCAAGAAAATATTTTTGGGAAAAATTGCTCATGTTATTTTCAGGTACCACAATAAAGTATGTACATGTAGACATGTGTGTATTTCTTAATTTTTTTCCTTGAAAGCATCCTTGTTACATCTTATGTTCATGAGTAAGAAATGAATTGTAGGCAATTCAGCGTTGTTGAGAAACTTGGAGAAGAAATTTGTTGTCTCATCAATTAAAAGAAGAAGTAAGGATAGAGATGAGTTGGGAGTTTGTCATAATTTTTACGATATTGTTTTATTTCATCAGCCTATGTCATCATTGTTTGTATATTTTGTAAAAGACTAGGCAGTTCTGACTTCATATCAGGAAAATCGTTAAATTTTTAAGGTTTTCTAGGAATAGTTTTAAAAAATGGAAAATCCTAATCTTCAATAACTCCTATAATTAAAGTAAGTCCCTTTTCAGAAAATGAAATTAGGATTATTTGAGAAACATCATTACACTAAATAAGTAAGCAATGCTTCAAATATTCTATATTCCCTGTCCCAACTACTTTCTTTAAGTTTAAAGACTAATATCAATTTTTTCGAAATCTACAATCAGCATCTACTTCTTTATTACAATTTCATAACATATACATACATTCGACCAACATATGTATCTTTAAAATTAAGATGATCATTTTCTTATATTCTAGAGGTCTCTGGATGCATTCTTTGAAAGTGGGACTGGAGACTCAGCACCCCCCATACCAAGTGTAAACCAAAGTGCAGTATCAGCAGAAGGAGCTTCTGATACAGCGAAAAATCACAATCATGGCCATGATGAAAGGTATTCAGTCAGATCAATGTTTTGTTTGATTTGCAATGTGATTTGATGTCATTAAGCTGGAATGTAAACATGGATAACTGAGAAATCTCAAATAAAAGAATATAATAGCACAAAATTTACTGGTACATGTGTATCAATATCCTGGGAAGCATGTACAATGAACATGTCCTAGTTTAATTATCATGGTATAGCTGTATGCTCATGGCCACGCTCTTAAGTTTCTTTTTTATGGCCAGAAAGGATTGCTCAAAATTCAATGATGGTTTGAGAAGATCCTTGTTGTACGATACTAGCTATATCTAAAGAATCCATTATGTACATGTATATGCAGAGGTATGAAAAGAAGTGCTGCAGTTGCAATGCCAGAAGAGGGGGAACCAGACACTGACAATAAGAGGATTCGATTGATGTCCTGGAACATCGATGGGTTGGATGAAAAGAACCTTGAAACAAGAACTGATGCTGTTATAGATACCATACTAAGGTCAGAAGGGGAGAGGCTTTGTCAAAACATATTTGATAGTCTTTAATAAAGATCAATTAATTATTGTGTGCTCAGACTCTTATGTAGTTTTGAAAACGTTTATTTCTGTTAGTACTTAAAAAAATCCTTGTAGATATTTGTTCTATTTCTTTACACAGACTTTTTATTTGTTGGAGGGTATCATTGTGTTGTAGGCCAGGTATTTGCCATATGTTCTATGTGTTAAAAGGCATCCCCAGATTTTGTATTGTGTAAAAGGGATTTCCAAGATCTTGTATGTGTTGTAGGTAATACCTTGATGTTGTATGTGATGTAGAGGAACCTCAGATGTTTTAGGGAATTTCCAAATGTAATAGGGTATCCCAAATGTTTTATGTCTAAGGAATTCCTGAATGTTGTATGTGTTGTAGAGAATCTTTGGATGTTGTATGTGTTGTAGAGAATCTTTGGATGTTGTATGTGTTGTAGAGAATCCTCAGATGTTGTTTATGTTGTTAGGGAATCCCCAGACATTGTGTTCCTGCAGGAAGTGATCGACCAAACACAGACCCAGATCAGAGAGAGGTGTTCAAACTATGCTATGGTCTCTGCATATGACCCTAATGCAGGTAAACAATGTCAGTGCTTGACTTATCACCCAGCATAAAGGTTAATGCTCGCAGTGCACCCAAATTGAAAGTCAGAGCATGAGTCATAATGTGGTGATGCATAATGAATCATTTTGTGAATATTGGCATGATCAAGATCAACCCATTAGGAATCGAACCTCAGACAGTCCTTTCGACTGATTGTTTTATTTATACTATACATGTATAATATATATCATTGTTTCTGTACTGTAGGTATGGTGGACCAATACTTTGTTTGTATCATGATGAAGAAATCAACAGTGAAATGTAAAAAAGGAAATATTGATTTGATAGAATTCCCAAACTCTGTCATGTCTAGAAACCTCCTTAAAGTCAAGGTAAGACATCTAATTGTATGTTAAATTTTTGTCAGGCGTAAAATTTTTCAATTGCTAGGCCTCATATGAACTAATAGTGTGTTTGTTTGCGTATTATTGAACCAAGGGGCCATAAATACCCAAAGAAATACCAAAATCACTGTTCATCCTAGTTTACAGTATATAAACATTTGATATATCTGTAAGAACTGGATGGAATGTAATGGATACAGATGTTCCTAGGTTGATTAACAATCAATTATGTGTTGAATTTAGTACAAACCCTTACTCTTATCAAATGCTATTGCAGGCCAAGGTGAAGGGAGTTGAGTTTACATTAATGACCAGTCATCTAGAAAGCACCAAGGACTACAGGAACGCAAGAGTAGCTCAACTACAGATGGCATTCAAAGAAATGAGAGAAGCTCCAGATGATGATACTGTTGTATTTGGGGGAGACCTCAACCTTAGAGATAAAGAGGTTTGTTTATATTGTATTTGAAATATATCTCTGTAAATCTGTTGTAATATTAACGGATCAGTAGTTTAGGTCCCTTACTCAATAGTAAAAAACTTAAGCAACCCATAGTGATCTGTAAATGGTCAATGACTTTTTCTCAAAATGGAACTTCATTCTCAAAAAGTGAACGAAAAAATCAAAGTTCAATGGACTATGTTTCAGTGAATGTTGATCCACCTTTTTCATTATTATTGAAAGGTGCTGTGCATGCTATTCTCAAGTGGGTTTGAATTGAATACTTGGTTGCTCATATGAAACATTTCATATAGGCAACCAGGGTACCATGGGCAACTGCATTGAATTTTCCAATATATAAACATTTAATGAAATAAACTATAACTAATAAATCGCCAATATGGGATGAACGTCTTGTATCGCATCTTTTGCCCCAATCTTTCAACATTTTCTTTCAGGGAAGTGGGTAGCGACTACTGTTAACCCAATCAAAATACACATTGGACATGACTTTAAAGCTCCCAGCAGTAATATCTTTGCTTTTACACTTTCAGGTCCCTGACATACCAGATGGAATAGTTGACTTATGGGTCAATACTGGGAGTCGACCCGAGGCAAAATACACCTGGGACATGACTAGAAACATTAATCTCCCACAAATGCAACGATTCAAACCCCGCCTAAGATTTGACAGACTTTATATGAGGCCTGCAAAACAAAAAAGGGCTGTGAAACCAGTATACTTTGAACTTATTGGACTTGAGAAGATCCATAAATGTGGTAGATTTCCCAGTGACCATTGGGGCCTCATGGTCCACTTTGACAACCTAGTATAGAATTATATATCTTTCTTTGGTAAGGGGTAATGTACAAAGTTTTACATCACCACCAAGAAGAAGTGGAAACACATTGTTATGGCTTCCATTTTTGGGACTGACATTTGATGGTTTGCAGTGTGCATTTGGTGTCTGTAACAAATTGTATGTAGGCAGGTTGCATGTTTGTCAAGTGAATGTCTTGTTATTTTCATAAAATAACTGATATTTTGGTTATTAAATAATTTAAAAAAATGATATGTTTAAATGATCCCAATGTCATGATCATCAGTGCAGTATAATACAGGGTGACACAAAAATGAACAACTTTGAGATTTAGAGATATCATATTCTCCATTCAGGCATGCTCATGATGAAATCGTCAAAAATTCTTCAAGAAACAATTTTCTGAAATTGAGATTTATGTCCTAGCCATTATTTGAGTCATTTCTCTATTGTTTTCACTAGCTTATACATATAATATCAATAATGTCTTATCTACTCATTTTTCTTGAATAACTTTTCTTTAATAAACTGACTCGCATATTTGGTAAATTTTAAGCAAGACAGATGGAATCTACATTTTTGAGTGATTTTGTGCCAGAGCATGCCTCCATGGAAAATGAGATATCTTAATTTCCAAGTTGTTGATGCTATGCAAGCTTACCAATCTTTTATCCATTGAACACTCTATCTACACATAAAACATCATGAAGATTCCTTAATTATTGAGAAAGTAATTCCAAAATTAGTGGGTGGGATTTTTTTGTGTCACCTGGTATGATCGTTATTGTATGGAACAACCAATTCCTAAAAAATGTGCAATTTAAGCCATAATATCAATTTCATTATGATGTGGAACCCGATCATAATATGTCACTAAAAGTGGAATAGATCATTTTTATCTCTGCCTTCGTTTCACCCTCTTCCACATGTCATATCCTCACTGATGTAAGAATGGGATGTCATGATGTCATTAGTTGATATGACATCAAAAAAGCATTTGATCATGAATTCATCCCATGATTATTCCAAACTTAAATGGTTTACAAAGAAATATTTTTTTAACTGATTTCACCATGCATATGTAAAATGATGAAAAAAGAAATCTGAGACTGAATAAAAAAAGGAAGGACAGATCTAAACTTATGTCTTTAAAATATTTTTGACATCTCATCGCATGTCTAACATCAAAAAAAGGACCGGAGCATTGATAAAAGGTGTGCAAGGGATAAAACTATCAAAATGAGTGTGAAAAACAGCCTGGCTTTTGTTATGAGAATAAATCAAAAAGTGAGAACATATGGATCCTACTTTTTCAGAATTAGATTTGAACAAAATTTATGCCAGGCAAATCTAATTCTGAAAAAGTAGGATCAATATATTCTCACTTTTTGATTTATTCTCAAAACAAAAGCCAGGCTGTTGAAAAATGTTTGGTTTCTTTGGTCCATATGTCTGTTTATGATATGTGAAAACCAATACAATTCAAGTTTAAAGATGAATATTATATGATATATGTTAAATCAAATGTCATGTATTATATACCATTTTAAAGATCATGCTCATGCACAGAGGCTTCATAATGGCATTTATGAACCTGATAGAAGTTACTATTGATGGTTCACAAAATACTACATGTAGTGTCAATTGGTTTACAGAACCTTACGTGTCTCTCATGAACACCTGAAATAGTTCTCATTAAAACTCATTCAAAAATTACCAATAATTTGGTATACATGAAGGTATTTTTATACTTTTGGAATATTTGTTTTGACACATTATTTTTTGTCATATTTTGGCACTCCTTTTTTAAAAGTAAGTTGCAAAAGTAGATCAAATTACAAATACATGTATTTCATTGATAAATCTAACCCATATAATACAGGATAACTTGCAATGCTCAATAGAATTAACTCCTCATTCATTACAAGAGTTATATAGCACAATCCAACCTTTTGCAAAATGTAGAGAACACATAGAAAACTGTGGTGTAGTGTGGGTGTTTTGTGAGCGTATTGCAAGAGTGAGCGAAGCGAACGAGCTTTCCTGCAAGAAAACTTGAAAATGAGATTGCTATTGAAAAATTTCCAGTATTTTTAAAGTGCACACACAATGAAAAAAGCCATTTCTCCAAGACGGAGCAAAAAATGTCAGGATCAATTATGATGTAAATTACCTGCATAGATTCCTATTTAAGATGGATATGATCATAAGCTCAGGGAAATAGCTTTTAAAGTGGCCAATAATTTTGAACTTTATCAAAGAAATGCTCACTTGGATATCTATATATTTTCATAATCTTATCAAATTCTAAGCTTTTTGAAGAAAATAGTGAATATTAACTTGAAAGTAGGTGCGAGAGAGGTATATCTTAAATTCTCAATTGTGTGCAGCTTAATTATTTTGAGGAAATATACTCCGATACTTGAACTATTTAGATATAGAAAACTTATTGGTGGGTTTCTGAGGAAAAGCTTCCACTTTGAACAAACAGACAACGACGCATGATTTCAGTACTTTTTAACTTCTATTTATTTATATCCAATCATAATATACAATTCTTACCCTCATGTGTTGAGTGTTTGGCATATTTTACAATTACGTTTTCTACAAATTCTTTTTACATCATACTTCATATTACTCTTGCCTATACATGGGTATGAAACAACAGAAAGTAATAGGCCACAATAATGTGATTCAGAAAAAAACTTAATAAGAAAACTATGATAACCTGACGTTGAACTGAGACATGTCAAACCAAGACAATTTCACAGATAACAATTTAAGTATAAATTTCCATTGACTGAATTTGCTGGTCAAACAATTATTTTTACCTTCTTAAAAAATCATATTTTAAGCATACTACAGTGACACACTGAAAAGCTGATTTGTGTCAGATTGGCCTAAAAACAACAGGGACTTAATTGGTAGTCTCCAGTGTGAGTGATTTCTACTGCCAGATCATACCTTACACCTTTGGATTGTGTCATAGTATAACCAGGCTGCTGATACTACCCACTCTTACATAAGGCTAAATTACCAATCCAACATCCCAATTATACTGCGAGTTCAAGTAACTAATTATGATTGGGATGTGGATACAACTTATGACATAACATAAATGATGAGAGTATATAAGCCAAATTAATGTTTGTTTGACAGCCCAATATGGACAAGGATATATTCAATGGATATGATCAGTACACCAAAGTATCTTTTTTACAACAATAAGCCAATTATTTGACTAACCAGTTACTGAGTGCTTTAAAGCTTTAAAAATCATAGTTTTCTACAATATGTTCCCATAAATAACACTCACAGGTTATAAAACGTAGAGAATAGGTTGTACATGTTCAGTTCACTATGAAGACCTGCCAACTTACATGCACAAATTCAGATTTGATAGTATCACCTTTGTTCAACATGCATAGCTGTGATTTAATAGATGTGGCCTTTAAAGCTAAAAATTGCACTGTACATTTGTATTTATTATAAATAAGACATCTTCAAAACTGAAACTAGGATCTACTTGATTTTTAAATGCTTAACTAAACATAACAAGATAAGAACAAAATAGCATCCTCCCAATGCAGGGGTCCACACATAATCCTACAAATGATGGAACAGAGTAGATGATGTTGGGACTCATGTGTTTGGAGGATGCAAGATAAATAACAATTCATATAAAATGAAGAATGCAAACAAAATGCAAACAAAATGCATGCACAATGCACATGTACATGTATTAAAAATCTGATAGAAATCGGATTTCCAAATCAAGTCATTTCGTAACACATAGTTTTGCACTTTTTTACAGTTTCAAGACTTATAATAATATAAAGCATATATTACACAACTGAATATTGCTGCACAACCTCAGAGACAGAATAGTGAAAATTAGAAACCAGGGTTCTTCCAAAAACAAATTCTCTGGTGCAAAAATTCTCATTTTACAGATTCTACCAAGTCAACAAAATGTCCAACTTTTCTAAATTCTCATCAGGGAACATGTGGATTTTCAACTGAGTGTGAGGTAATTTCCAAATCCTCAACTAGGTGTAGCACCCGAGGAGATCCCTAGCGAAACTTTGCTAGAACTATACATGTAATTTGATTTTAAAAAATGTTCAAAAAGATCATTACAGAACTAACATGATAATAAATGAGAGAATTTTTAACTTATTCATATGATTTGGCTAGATGTGATTTATGTTATTGCAATACACAAAATATTCATATGGGATTCCTTTCAGAACAATAGGAGCAATGCTGCAATAGGATTCACGTAAGCATACAAATGCACCACATTCTCTCCATTGCCCTAGATTTATCTCTGCAGATGATGAATCAAATTGCACTAGGCCTACTTTTTTTTTAATTTGATGCTTACATTACTGTCTTCAAGTTTTCCTGATTATTTTCTTATTCAAACATGTTTTATATTTGTATTGTTATAGTTAATTTTAACAGGGCAAATAATGCCTAGGCGTAGGCCCTGTACTTCTGTATTGTATGATTGATTATCATGAAATAAAGAAAACATGAAAACATTACTTGAGTGTAAGTGTGGTGAACAAATCCTAAAAATACAGGAATTTTCAACATATGTACTTCGAAGTTATTTTATACCAATGAGGAATGTAGATTTTAATATCCAAGATGTTTTACTTTTGATGTAAGGCTTACAAAACCTTTCGAATCAAAATCCAAGATTTTGTAGAGTTAAGGCTGAAAGTTGAAACATTTACCTACGACATGGTCACGTGTGAACTGATTTAAGATTACATTCTCAAATCATCCATGGAGAAAAATGCATGAAATTATTCACATATGGCATAGTGACAGGCATGGAGGTATAACTTAAAAAGAAAAACATAAAATCAAGAATTGGCGAATAATAAACAAGACAAGACCATAAAAAAGTTTTTACACATGGGGATGTACAATACTAAATAAATGAGGGGTTCTTTGGACCTTGATATGAATTATAAATAAATTACTACGCATTTTTGTACAATATACAATGGATCTATTGTTTCAGTTTACAATGCATTTATTGCATGGCTAGAGTAATTCAATTCTATGTTTAGCAATTCCTTTATTTTCGGATAATGATGATGTTTTCTTTTTTTCAAATTTCAGTCTTCTTTTTATCTTAACTTAGTTTTACTAATTATGAATAACATAACTTGCTTATGTCAAAATAGATGAAATATGATAAAAGTATATGGTTTATTTTCCACCAAATGCCACACTTGGCATATCATTTCTCAAATGTTCAAGTTTAAAAAAGGAAATCTAAAGGAAGTCTAAACATTTTATTAATTACTCTAGCCTCACTGAAACATTGTGGAACACTAAGTACTCAATATTTCTAAATAGTCTACAAATGTCTTGAAGCCTGTTCCCATCAACTCTTCCACAAGACTGTATTGGATCGTGGGATCATATCAAGGAGATATTGCCTATGTGCATTATCCTGTGGCTTATAGCCTACTTGGTAAGGAAAAGTAAGACGTGGATTATAAGCTGGGATATTTATATGAGACCCCTGGGAAGATGACGGTCGGGAGCTATGTGCATGCGCGGGTACCAAGTTCTGATGTGCTGTTGATGTAAAAGTGGCTGAAGTTGTGCTTGGTGCTGATGTTGCGTGATGCTGTACTGTTGAAGATGCAGCTGCAGCCGCAGATTTCTGTTGCTGCTGCATCCTTTGCTCGATCTCCTGCTCTTGTTGAAGTGCTTTCACAAATGCAGACTTAAGACGATTTGTATGCTCTTGTTTTAGGGCCTTTTTCTGATTGGTCGTGACACACTGCTCACATATGACATTCTTAGAACCAGGTTTATCCCGTTTCCAAACTGGAGTGAAATCACTGCCACATTGCACACATGTGAAAGGATTGAAAATATATTTAACATCTGCCATCTGACCTTTAGCCTTGGCATCTGTATCTGTGATGAACTTCACAGCCTCTTCCAGCCCAATGAGATAAATGAATTCGTTGCTTGCCAAGCTTGGCACAAAATTCATCTCTGGGGGTGGAGGTTTGGGAGGAGGGATCTGAAGCAATGTTTTCTCTAGTTGCTTGCGTAGAGCTAATTTGGCGGCTGCCTGGCGCTGGGCAGGAGTTTGTGTGTCAACAGGGGGTGTTGGTTGTTGCACAGGCCTATGACTCTGCTGTAGGTAGTTAGTGGCTGTGGATCCAGAGGAGTGCATGTTCTGCTGCCTCTGGGGTGCCATTACTAAGGGAGGAGGCTGTGTAGTTGATCTTGCTTGGGCAGGTTGCTGGTGTGCTCGGTGTAACTGAGGTGGCACATTAGGCTTGCGATCACGGTCTCGATCACGATCCATTGGTACACCCCCACGTGTAAGAGGGGGCGGAGCGGGGCCACGTGGGATCATTTTAGCTGGGGCAGATTGCTGAGATTCTGATGACGCTGGCACGGACTGGCTTTGTCGTATCTTCTTCAGCAGCACTAGTTTTGCTTCTTCATTGCGTAACTCATTCTGACGTTTGCGAATTAGTTTTTTCCTTTCTTCAATTTCAGATTCGGTCATATCCTCAAGCCTTTTTGCAACAGCTAGAGAGACCTCATCGCTTGAATCATCTGAGAGCATAATGATATCAGGGTCTGAGGCAGCCTTTTTGGGCTTTGAGCCTACACTTAAATCCATAGGTGCACTGAGATCCATTGGTCCATCGGCATCCACATTCTCTTTATCACTATCACCATTCACACTAACAGAGACTGCCTTTACAGTTTTTGATTTCATACTAAAATCCTGAGGTAGTCCTAAATCGTTACTCCCCTTTGCTGGAATTTCATTGTTTTGGTCGATATTGTCATAATTTGACTTGGATTTATTCTCCTCCTCATTGCTGGCTTCAGTTTTATTATTGCCAGGTGCAGCACCATCTGTTTCATTTGTCTTATTATTAATAGAATTAATTTCAGTTTCTTTTTCTGACTTAGTATCCCCATTAGAGTCACATTTGTCCAATTTCTCTGATGTTGACATAGAGTCTCCATTTTCCATTTTGTCTATGTTATTATCTAACTCAAATGTTTTACCATTTTCTTCTGGATCAGAATTAGAGTTGGAGTTTTCATAATCAGCATCTTTGCTGCTTTCCTCACATTCTGATTTTGAATCCCCATTCACTTGATTGTCCTTCTTGACAAGATTTTGTACTTCATCCATCTTAGCCCTGGAAAACATGAAAAAGAACATGAGAATTACATGTATCATCAATATAATGACAGATTACATTAGTGCAGAGTACCTCGCCTCGCCTGGTGCCTGCTGCTAATGAAGTCACTGTTTATGTAAGATATCTGATTTATTATATCTCTCAATTTAAAGGTTTAAGATTTCAGTACTTTGCTACTCAGTGCTAGGTCTATTGAGATGAGGTAATACTGTACTTAAACCAGTGCATGAAATAAGGATTTTTTTAACCTAGACATTTTGGCAGGCCTGCCAGATTTTAACAAGCCATATCATTTTTTCTCAGGCCAATTTTTGGCAGGCTGTTTCTTCCTTCTCTGGCCAAAAATTTCACTTACCATATTTCTCCACAACCACTCTAAATTGAGATTTAGTTTAGTACAATATTAACAAAGATAAAACTAATTGCATATTGCATGTCATGTATCATTCACTATACTGTACTTGCTGACTTAACCAACAGCCTGAGTGTGTTGATCCCCCCCCTAGAATCACCTTGCAAAAACATGAGGAACATGTACATATTGATCAAACTAAATTGTACTGATTTTGGTCGGTTTAGAATTGCTCAGAAATCAGAAGCTTCAAGGTATTAAAAAAACACATATTATGTACACAGACTCCACTAAAATTCAAGGTATATATTATTGGTGTCACGGTCAAAAGAAATCGGTACGGTTTGGATCGGTACAAATGGTCTCGGGATACGGTACTTTCGGGACGGGACGGGACAGACAGAACACTAAAAATGATACAATCGTCTGATGATGACAGTTTCACTTTCACTTTCAGTTTCACTTTTCAAAATCACATTCAGAAATACGTCAATTAAATCAAATATAAAGCATCTGCCGCGAATGAGATCGGCATTTCACATAGTCTGCATGGTGTACTATCACCAATTCGTTTACCTTGTGATATCGGAGTCCCAAAATACTTCCAAACTGCCGACTTTTTCGACTTAGATGCCGGCTCGATTTTTCAATTTCTTTCCTACATCCGGCATACTGATAATGCACTCGATTTGCGAACGACAATTAAGAAATGAGTCTATCATAGCCAATCAAAATCACCGTAATTTCAACAAACAACAACAGCCAATCGAAAGTCACGTTATATCTTGTGCTTCGGTACCAAACAAAAATATTTTGAAATGTTTTTTAATCTTCAACAAAAGTCATGAAATAAGCCAAAAACGCAGGGAATTCGGAGGATTTCCGGACTGATATGTAAGTTCTATTCATGGGCAATCTAACGAATGCCACAAATGTCTAGCAGGCCAAAATGTCTGGGTGTTTTTATCAAAACAAGCCATCTATAATTTTGTCAGGCCAATGGCCGATGTCGGACGTCTATTTCGCGCACTGCTTAAACCCATTCAAATGTGAGATGTAATAAGTCTAGAAAATAAGGTATAAGAAAACCATACACCTCCCATTGGGCCTATTTCCCCTCTGTTCATGAAAAGGGGACCTAGACCGACCCGAAGAGGAACAAAGTAATCTACTTAAAGTTTCATGTGATGTATTTTTAAATGATTCATACTTCAGATTTTAATCCTAGGATAAACAAAACTGACATTCAGGGTTTTCGTTCTGCTGTTTTGTTCTCTTTGCATCACTTTGCTTTAGATTGAAATTTATTGTCCTTGATATAGCATAATACATTTGACATTGAGGTATCACGCTGCTTCATTACTTGTGCATTTCAAGCCTAATATGACTGATTTGAGCATTTACTTAAAAATACTTTAAACTTGTATTGCTCTGGATTCAAAATAGCCCTACCCTTGCATATAATTACATTTATAGAGAAAATAATTAATGCAACAATATATTTACTTAGGACAAATGACAGAAGACAGGTTAACATATGGTAACAGAAATATAAAATGGCTGCTTTAAGAAATCAATAAATATCACAGCAGAGAGACTAAGGTTATAATGCATATATGACTGGGGGCTCTTACAAAAAAATTATGTCAGATTTAATGTTATTTTTAGTTTAATTTGTATCAATACAATTCAACATAGTTCAGTTTTGAAATTATTGTGGTGGCTGTTTCATTTTCCTAAGCAGGATCTCATTGTATGAATTTGATTTTGAATTTTTTAAAGGAAATCATTACTCAGTTCAAGTATTAAAAGAAGGAAGGGAGGGTGTTAGCTAAATATAGCAACCTTCTGTTTATACATTCACATTACTTTCGGTAACCATTCTGCAAATATACATGTATCTACATATTTACACAGTATAGAACATGTAGTTTGTACAATCTGAATTTCATTATTCTTTTATCAGTTCTTACAGTTTATTCTATCATGTCCCAAATGAAACAAAGTTGATATAAATTTTCTGAAAGTGAGAGCTGATACAAAGTCACAAAGGGCAATATTAAAAACACTAGTATACAAATAGTGACTGCCATTGAGGGCAATAGTGTAAATTATTTCCCCGAGGGAATATCCTCTACAATGTACTATTCCCGAAGTCGCAGGCTGAGGGAATAGTACATTGTAGAGGATATTCCCAAGGGGAAATCATTTACACTATTGCTCGAAATTAGGCAGTCACTATTTGTTTTATTATATACCCTATACTGACTCTTGTCCCGTTTCCTCTGCGAAGGCCAAAAAGGCTTAGAAAGCCCCCTCCCCGGGTCCATTGTTAGCATTATAAGCTGTGACATCATCAGATGCTCAACAGAAATTTTTGCCTCTGAGACTCTCACTTGACAAATTCAATCCATTTTTCTGTTTTTCGTCTGCGCAGTGATGATGCGCAGACGTTTCCAAGGGTAATAGAAGTTGCAATTGTGACGTCAGCGGGCAATAGTTCAAATGTATATTCCCGCTGACGTCACATTTGAGGGAATATAACTTTCCGAGGGAAATAGTAAATCTATTTCGGAACACGTGACTAGGTATTGACCAATCAGGATTAGTGTTACATATTGGGTATATAATAATAATGTATGTTTTCATCAGTACAACGACTGCCCTTAATTCAAGCTGCTTGGTCCAGTAATATATTCAATTCTAAGGATCTGACATTCGGTATTTTACATTACTTCGAAGATAGATCATTTATTTACCTATACTTTAGCAGCAGTTAAATTACTAAAAACTTAAATATATACAGGATGGTCCAAAAAAGTGAACCCTTGCAACAAGCTATATCTCAATTATTACTTGCATTAACGGACTAAATTCTCACATGTTTTAAACAGTCGAAATGTTGAGACATGCGCAGACCTCTATTTAGTGATATTTTCATTTCAAATATGGCGGCCAATCCGATGTCTGACGACCCTTACAAAGAATCTAGGCAGTTTGCATTTTTACCTCCTGTGAAATAACAAGTGGAATTTAGTCGTTGTTTTGTGTTTTATTATCATTCTGCATCGTAATTCTATGTGATGTGGTGTTGAAATGTCAGCAGGAATACATATCCATACGATAATCGAGTGAATCAGATAACAGATTTTTCGAAAACCCGTCTCATGCTAAGAGTGTAAAAACTTGTATTAACATGCTCAAAAGTGCCAATGAGCACATCAATGTCAAGCTAAATCAATGTTTTGTCTAAAACAGGTACCTGATCTACTCAAAACAGCTTGTCATTCACGTATACACGCTTAGCAAACACCGCGAAATGATCTGAATCTTGGAATTTCGTTCTAGAGCTAGTAATGTTTGCTCCGGTCTTCGTCATAAGTGTCATCAGACTTCACGCATGCTCAGGAGAAAAACCATCAACCAATAACGTTTTATAAATCAATTTTGCGCATGCGCCTTACAACGGAAAAGAAATTCGTATTTATAAACGAACCAATTTGAGATAATCCAATATCAGTCGGAGAAATCTGACGATCTATGAAACTCACTTCAAAAAATCAAATGCGGACTGACGGCGTATTCTACTATGTTTGGATCTAAGATTTTCAGTATAGATAAAGTCTTTTATGATCTTTCGAATGAGGTAAGTCTCTAGTTCGAAAGACAATCGTATCAACTTGAACAAAAGTTGAGTTTTGACGAAAAATTTTAACATGCGCAGAAGTCCCATTTTCGTTGTACCATATTGACTGTAAAGGAAGGTCTAAAGATTTTATAAGTACCATAAATGTTATTCAGTCTTAAATCTTGCAGAAGTTACATGGCATCAAGAGACATGCCTGATTAATAGAAGGTGTGCTCAATCCATGCTCCATGAATGTCCTAGATACTGTACTTTTACTTGAAATTTAGCGCTACTTATTTTGGTGGATTTGTGCAATATTGAAATGTATATACTATACAAATTTACAATTGAAATATTGAATTTAGTGCTACTTAATTTGGCGGACTTTAACAATTTGATAGATCCGCCAAATTAAAACAGCTACCAAATTAAGTTAAAATAGAGTGACTGCTGCAATGCGAATGTTGAATTTCACTTCTTTATCCAGGATATCTAGGGGTATTTTATATTTCCAATGCATTAAAAGGAATTTTTTTTTGAGTTATCCAGAACGGTAGATCATGGATTGAATACATCATCTAATAATCATGGTCTGTCTGTCAATGCCATGTCACTTCTGCAAGATTTAAGTCTGAGTGAAAAGACCTTCCTCTTAAACATGTGAGAATATTAACCTATTAATGTGGGTAATAACCCAGATATAGCTCGTTACAAGGGTTCACTTTTTGGATCACCCTGTAAATATATCTGGAGTGCTCATTGGACCAATCCCATGCTTCAACCAGTTACAATTTGGAAATGACTGCACCAAGTTGGAAATCTATTTGCACCCAAACAAAAACATGGGTGCAAAATAAAATTTAGATTCAATAGAATTTTCCCTATTTTTGGGGACGAGTTGAGGTTCAGTTTGAAAATAAGTAAACAATCAATCTTCATTACATTTCATTGTAATCTCAAATATAAAACAAACAAAAAACATCTTAAAATCAAATCATTTTAAAGATAACCCATGACGTCAAGGTTGTTTTAATCTCTATCTGCAATATACAGTTTTTAAGTCAAAGCCTACCTATAATATGCTCTTTAGAGCAGGTTTTGTGCAGTTATTCATAGAGAGCCTTGTTGCTATTGACGACAAAGAACAATTACTCTTTCAAAATATACACATTTATGAAATAACCTAGGTAGTACAGAAAAGCCTGTGAGCACTTATACTATTATAACACAATGCAGAAGATATTCATGAATTTAATTTAATTTTAATTGACCTCACATAACATTCATTGTAGAGACAGGCGCTTAATTGCAAGGGTTTATTTTAATCATTATATCCATGCAGGCTTGTCAATGCTTTCAAATGCACACTTATACATATATGCAATCAATGTATTGATTTCACTGGAGAAGGGCTCTGTTCTCCTCTATAGCTTATAGGCCTTATATGATACTGATGCAAGTAAGGCACCTTGCAAATTTGACTTGGGGACGATATCACCCAAATTTACAAATTAACTCAGAGTAATTAGCAAGACATATGTCGTTGGGTGATCAATTGAATTGAAAATCTAAAGTATTGAACACTGAACACAGTAAACTCAATGTTTCTGATTGTGAACTAGCGATGGGGTGTTAATCTAAGACAAAATATCACAAACTGCAAGGGGCCTCTGCATAGTGCAGATATTGTGTATGTACACACCAACTTAAACATATATTATAATATCGAGCATGCTCTGTAAAAACTGACATCATCATATATATGGAATACATGCTATATTCACATGATATTTTTTGATTAAAAGTAACTGATTTACTAGAAAGGATATATATAGGACTAGCTATGGTATATATTGTCATTTTACCTAATATGTCTGTGAAATATAGTAAATCTTTATTCTTATGGTTTTTCATATTCTAAACTGCGTAATACAACTGGATTTTAGGCAGAATCTGATCTATAGGGGGTGACAAAATTACAAGCAACATGTATGATTGACCTATCAATCTATTCCTTACAATATCAAATACAATATCTCCCAAAAGATTCACAATATGTTATAAATTGGTGAAGTTATTAATGATTCAAAGTGCAAAAATGTTTAAATTCTCCCAAATAATAAGAATGGTAACCATTCTTATAGAAAAAATAATACATTATTGTAAAAATCTTTAGTTTTCCTGGAATAAAGTATGCACTTTTGTGATTTTTAGAAAATAGACATGACAAGGAATGACATGAGCCAAAAATATTCTTAAATTGAAACAATTTTTTGTTTAGCCTGCTCGCTATATCTGATTCTCTCTTTAAAATGGGTGAATTTTGGGCTAGTTTCAAATTTTCTACTGTTTACCATGCCAATAACATTGCCACAAATTATTGGTGGTCACATATAAATGTTATATCTTCTTTTAGCTGCACAAACCAGAAATAAGGAGAAATGGGATTTGCACAAATCTCTTAATCATAACTTCATAAGAAATCATAATCTTAATTTTCTTCATTTATTGTTATATATAAAAGAAAGATGTGATGAATATCATAACATGAGAGTTAGATTCACACTGTTGAAAATCTGTTTGGACCTATTACCTCAAAAGCAGTCTGCATCTGGATGGGAATTTGAAACTTATCTTGCAACCTTTGGACTATCTATTTTCAAATACATTTAATATTCTACTATAGTAATTATTTCAATCAATTGAATTGAGATGAAAAACAGCACCACCTGCAAATGGTTACAATTAGAAAGTAACAATCGTTACAGATTCTGACACAGACTGTTGCAAATGCTGCTCACAAAAATGTAGTTATAACAATTTACACTATGCCATCACTTGGTGGTTGTGATATATAAGACAACTACAATGTAGCATTTTCAAAAAGTAAGATAAAAGTGAATATGATTATTTCCATTGAGTGGTAGATGTTACGTATACCCAACATTGGTAACAACAAATTTCTAAGAATTTAAAGCACTGTAATTCTTTATCATTGGCCACTATCTGTTTTAAGTTAACACATTCTCACAATCTGCTTAATTCCATATTCAATGCTTCATTCATATTTAGATGGTAATACTTACTTTTTCAAAGGCATTTCTATTTCTGTATCTCCATTACTTAATGGCTCAGAGTCTTCCTCCCTGGGACGCTTTCCGACAGTCACACTTTCCGCCATATTACACCTTAGAAATACAAATTTACAATTTTCATTTCTATATTTAAAGCACGATTGCCCGATCATTGTATATTATTAAGACAAAGTTCTCATGAATTGCATTAACGATAAACATTTCATTCTCATCTGCCATATTTTGATTATGGTAAAAATAATTTAACAAGGCATTGACATGCAAAAAATCACCACCTGCCATTTGTTACAGACACCAACCAACAAAAGGATGCCATAAAAAAGTTGGGAGACTTTTAACTGTTTTCACAAACATAGCAACATAGTAAATAGCTATTTTCCAGTAGAAGTCAAGAGGTATGTAGCTATCAAATGGTTTGTAACATTTAATTTTAGCAAATTGAATTTTACAAGGTTTACAGTATTCAACGTTTGTATCAAACTTTGTGTCATGTAACAGAAATCTCCCATTTTCCAATGTGATTTGTCATCTACACACTTGTTCAGTCAAACATGGGAAGAAATCTTATAACTAATCTGTTCTTGTAAACAAGCCATATTCCTATTCTAGCCTCCTTCACAGAGTAAAAGCGGGAAATTTGAACTAACATTTTCATTTTAGATCTAATATTACAGCTTACACAATTTCTCCATCTTCTATTATTGTCATTCTTAATTTAAAATGTCTATAAGCCTAAGATACATTAATAGAACATAAGAATCAATTATGCCAAATAATTATCACTATACAAAGTCTTATAGCCACCCTCCCACCCTCTAAAATAAAGATTTTTAATATGTAATATGCTTGAGCCTATCAGACTTTAGCACACATGCCACTGCATGACCTTCAGTCAATATCACATTCCATGCAAATGGCGTACATCCAATTAAATTATGCGAAAGTATATATAGAATCTGATAAGTAATCCATGATTTTCCCTTTCCAAGATTCATCTTTCTTCAAAGGATTAAGTAAATTTGTATTTGGTAATAACATCTAGATTTATATAGTTACCTGTGGAGCATACATAGACAAAGAAATCAGTATCGACACAAAATGAATGACCAAGCTATGCATACATGTATAAAAGATTAACCATTTGATTTCCAAGGGTCACAAATATAATCTTCAAGAACAAGTGCTTATGGCACAAAAATTACGATGAAATTTTTGCAAATGTGGTCAGTTTAGTATAGAATTTACTCTATATGATTTTATATTCATGTGTGACAGTGACAATCTTTGATCAAGTAAATTCAAATATCAAATGAAACATCCCTACAAACCAAAATTTTCTGGGACAATGGCAGGAAACATGCAAAACTTCCCGAACAAATCTTACCTGCTAAACTTACTCAAACTTCAAAGCTCATCATTTCATCCTAATGAGAAGACTTTCAAGACACATGTGATACTATTTACAAGTAGTTAAATGCGATATATCACTTGTAATCTTGTTTTATTTATCGAACTTCCCTTTGTCTGTTAACCAATTTTGAAAGGCCCCTTGGCATAATCATAAACCTCAATGGAGCATATCACTAATCAAACGCCGATTATGTCATAATAATACTTCAATTATAACAATTAACATTAACAGAATTGCATTCCAATAAGCCTTTTCTACCGAACATCTGAAATAATCCATATAATTCGATACATTGGAAATCGATCACGAAATCAATCATTTTTTTACTCACCGATCAGTCACTGTTGACAAGGGATGCTGCCGGTGTCCCAAGTTGGATACTAAAATCAACGAGCAGCTTGTTTCACTTTCTTTCCCTTTTGAATCTTGGCGTTCATTTGGAAATCTTTTGCTAAACTGTTGTGTGTTGAGATACAGAGTACCCCAGAGATTATTTGTGTACTGTTTCGAGTCAATGAAAATCCGACACTTTCCCCAAGATGGCTGACCTTATACATGTAAGGGGTTTCCACTTGTACATCAAGGATCAAATAAACAAATTGTTTACTACTAAATAATATCAGCATCACTGATACTGGTCAGAAATACCCCGTGTAACATATCAAACTTTGGGATTTTGAATTTTGAGTTGAACTGTGTAAATCAATTTTAGTGAAATCCATGTAGTAGGGAGAAATTATATTAATTTTATTCTATGATTAATTAAATAAACAAATAAAATTGTCTAATATTTGAAGTTGGCTATTAGCCAAGTGTGTACAATAGCGTATCTGTTTCTGTATTGCAAAATGGAGGATTCAGTGGATTATATAAATACACTTGAAAAGTCACAAGTTAAATCAAATTATTTGTAAGGGCTCAAAGTGTGAAGTTTTTAGAGGTCTTTCAAATATCAAGACAAGGGTGGGGCATTTTCTCTTAAGGGGTCTTGTTTTGAACAGTTTTCAATTTATAATGTGCCATCACATAAAAGTAGAACAAATGAGGACTCCAATCATGTTTTTTCAACAATTTTGGCCTTAAAGTAATGGCTGTTTCTCTTATGGTGGACTAAATTATTTTAATGGTATGGGTATCACTAGATTGATAAAAATAAGAATAAAAAAACACATTTCATATATAATTTAATTCATCATGATGTATTTCATAAAAAAGAACTCTTCATAGTTCAACTAAATTACAGGCATTTTATACACTATAAAAGGTCTACATTTATCTACATTTTTATTTACAAGTATATACATTTTAAACATGTAAAAGACAATGATTTTACTTTACAATATAACAAAAATATGTATTTGTAATAAAACTACTTTTGGATTCATAGATGGGACGTAACATTATAAATAAATAAATGAAATGAAGAAATGAACATATTTACAAATGATAATATGATTCTCACATCATTGAAAATGCTGGACATAGTCAGTTAGTACTCAGCACACTAGAACCTTCAAAAACATACTTGTTTTTAGGATGCAATCATGATCCTAAACCATGCACATGATTTATAAGTGATTTATTTTTCTTACAAAATAATCTCCCACAACTGCATGAAGCAAAACTAAAATCATTTGAAAAGGCATTCCTCAAAGGAGTCCTTTTGGAGTTGAGGCAATTTTGAAATGCTTTTTCATTTCAGTATTGTGGACCAATCTATAATGGCAACAATTTTATATGAAGCACTTATTGAAGAACTATGAACGTCCTGTAAAGAGGACTGACCACAAAACTTTTTTGGTTTATTTAGAGCCTCAGTCAGCATTTCATATTTTCAAACTGGCATATGCAGCAATGTGAATCCACCTTCTAGTCTACATGAATTTCACTAAACTTTTTCTGCAAATATATTATTCAAAAATCAGAATTAAGAATGTTACTTATAAGAAGTTCAATGACTTATGCATGAGGGGTGATAAATAAGTAATGGACGCTTTTTTACACAGATATGGACCAATCCCTTTGATTTTCTTACCAGTGATACATCATTCAATTATCTATCAATCGTGAAGATTTGAAGACAAAATATACAATACATGTTGATATATCCTTATTTCCGTGAAGGAAGTACATGTACCCCGGGACCGACATTTACGTCACATATTCAGTTTTTAGCCAGTTTGGCAAATTTCAGTAAGATTTAAACTTTTTTTATATGCAACAAGTGTTGTGTTGTTAAAAATATTTTGCTGACTGGTAACACACAAACAGTAAGTATTGTGATGTCAGCGTGTTGTATGGTCGGGGTTTGCAGGCCAATTTGAGGAAGCATTGTAGAAGAAGGGGTTGGTGAGAGAAGGGAACACCCTACTCCATATGGACAATGTACCTGCCCACAGATCTCAAAATGTTCAGAAAACAATATCCATGGACCTCAAAATTGAGCCCTTGGCCAATGCACCATAGTGTCCAGATCTGCCTACATCTGTCCACATGTGACTTATTTATTCCTATACTACTTATTTCTATAGAGAAGGGACGCAATGAGGAATTGTGTACATGTAGCACATAGTGATGATAAAATATTCAAAATCAACTATGGCATAGCAAAATGGGGTAATTCATGACCATAATGGTTTGTTTTGTTCAGCCTGCATTCAACTGGGTTGCATGTTAAACAAGCTAAAATAGCTCCTTCATGGAAATAAAGATCAAAATATATTACATGTTTTGTTTTCAAATCTTCAGAGTTGATAGATAATTGAATGATGTATCACTGGTAAGAAAATTGAAGGTATTGGTCTATAAAAAGCATCCGTGTAAAAAAGCGTCCATTACTTATTGATCACCCCTCGTATGGTCAAAAAGAGTGTCACTTATGACCTCCTTTTACGAGTTGCCTTTATTGTCTAATTTGGTATACATGTTTATGTTTCTTTATTTAGACCATAGATTGATCATAAAAATTCATTTGATAATTCAATTATACAAACATGTAAAAATATGGCAAATTCAAAATGTTCACCCTATTATAATTTACCAAGCTTGCCAAAAAGTCTTGCCTCCCTAGTGTTCCCCTGCATCTGTCAAAATCAATCTTTTTCACCATTACCCCACCCAGCATCTCAAGACATACTTTAAGAGTGATAATATTATATTGCCATGTGAAATTGGTATGAGCTTATCTGACTGGGTATCCTGTTAAACACAGAATAGCTATTTCTCATGCTTTAATGGTCATTCATAAATTAAAATAACAGTAATAATTTGAGTAGCAGTAGTAGAAGTAGCATAATATAATACAGGACTGTTTCCAATCAAGTTCAAAATACCATTTTTGAACTTATTAAATTTGGGGTTTCCATTCAGAATCACCACTTTCACCAATTTTCTAAAAATTTGTATACCATCCAGCTAAATATTCAACAGCACCTTAAATATGAGTTAACATCTTCCAGCTGGTATGTAAAGAAATAAACATGCATAACATCTCCCTTTTAATAAAAATATCAAGGCATAACTAAATCTTCCTTTCTTATTACCAAAACTGCAATGTTTAAGTTTTCGGATTGAATTTGAATCTTAAGAAAAGTTTGGATCTTCAAATTGTGCTGATTTTTTTGACTGGCTGTCTATTATGACTTATGCACAATATTCACACTGAAGCGGAGATTTTGCTGACTGATTACCCAGTCGATAAATGAGCTATACTACACTGTATGATCTCATCCAGCTCACTATTGACCACTTACACAAATCACTTCAGAAAGTTTGCAAGTCCCAAACAGAGAGTAACAAAACGACAATGAACAATCATATTCATATGGAAACTTGATAGCCAAATATTAAACTTGAATACTCACTCAACATGTTTACAATACAGTCTAGAACAAAGTTACAATAAAATATGACCAAAAACCTTAATGCTGAGGATTTACAGTTATCAAAAAGAGCCAATCAATATCTGGATTCACAAGTATTAATCATAAGAAGGTTAAACTGCATATTAAGACAACTAGTGTTGAACATGTAAGATTTCTGCCTCCATTGGTTTTTTATACTAGTCATTCACTAGTCATTATTATAGTCAAGTACCGAGGGGAACTTATCTCTAGATGAACATAATTTGACGCATTCACATACAAGTTCTCTTTAAATGTATAGCTCCACCCCCCCCCCTCCTAATATCACTTGTGCAATTTTTCATTCATTTGTGGGATAAGTTAGCCTACTCATTCCACCCTGCCTACCTTTAAGTTCTATCATATAAACCAGTTGCAAACTCTCAATTAGGCACCATCTTTAATTGCACTGACATATAATCAACAAACATTGGATGACTATTACTATACTCAAACCAAACATCACACTCCCACAGTAACATTTGGAAACATATTTAAACAAATTAAGGTAAATTCATTATATAGCAATCTTTCAAAATATCTTCTTTAACTGTATCTCAATCATGTGAATAAATCTATTAAACTGTTTTTGTCATGGATAATTCTGTACTAAACCTCACAAAATGTGAATTAAAATGGACAGAGCGAAGAGAATGGAGAATAACTCCATGTTGTATGTATATATCAATATTGTCCAATTATAGAATCAAGAAACCATAGAATCACTGTAAATCTTTAAAAATGTGTTGCCTGTTTTAGTGGCGAATTAACATAATATAAAGAACATGTACTAAACTGCTTATGAACATTTCCAATGAGTTTATGTGATGTTTGGATGAAACCACCTTTAGCACTTTTTCTATTTGAATTCTTCAAGCAAATTATGCTTCAATATATTTTTAGACATTTTTCAGTATTGTTTCATATTCATGCATTCGAGAAATTAAATTAAGAAATTTTAAAAATCAATGTCATCTTGATAAAGATTTTCAAAGTTACTTTCCGAACTGTCTACCATTCATTGTCTGGTGCGGATAAACTATTGTCACGGAAACATAGGACATACGTATACTGCAACACAAAACAAGTTCTATGACAGACACAAAAACATGAGTTGAAGTCCAACAAAATTTAACGGAAGTAGATCACAATGACTATTGTTAGAAACTGTTCATGTTTAGTTCGGTAAAAGCAGGTCATAGTTTTTAACACGCAGTTTCTTCTGATACAAATATACTGATAGTAAAGATGTCAGTATTACCTTCTATCTGCACCTATCCTACTAACAAGGCTGTAAATAAAGGGTTGCTTTGCTCTTCGCATAATAGAGTAAGCACTAATGAACAATTTGTGTAAAATAGGCCTTGAATCTTGATGTGATACATTGATCACAAGAGTGCACTTAATACATTAATTGTGTCTATGATTAACAAAAACTGTATTACAAGTATATTCTTCCCGGGCAATACACAGTAAAATCTAATCAAAGATGCAGTAGCAAAGACCATTATCTTTTTCTTATTAAACACATAATATCATTCATACTACAAGGGGTGATTCAAAAGTAATGGACAAAATATTATAGCAGTGATTTCATTAACGGCGTCCTTCAATGGAGAGGACGTAAATCAAGATTTGGTGGATGTAAATTAAAAAAAATAATTATGTTTATGGGACGCAATTTGAATTTCGTAAATCACTTTGTGAATTCACTAAATAATTGAAGGAAATTCTATTTTTAAAAGAAATAAATTTTCTTTCGAAGTTTCCTTCCCGGAAGTTGATTTCTGATCGAAATATGAGGCATGTGATAGGACAAATAGTTATCCAATGCTCGATATCCGAGCAGTAATCAGTACGAGTCTTACGATTGGCCGCTAGCTGAAGACCCGATTTAAACCATTTTCTATTGGTCAAGTGCGATCACAAGATCATTATTTAAGAATACGCATGCGCAAGAAATTGAACCAAAAAATTGAACCTCACGCAGATTGCAGCTAAACTAAAGCAAAATCAGTAGCTAATTGCTTCGAAATACGCAAAGAAAATGTGTTTCTAATGGTTGAATATAAGTTATACCTCACAAGTGATGGTATCTGTATCATTCAATGACATACTAGACTCGCCAGAACACTGATTTATACCGATAAATAGCAAAAGCGATACAAAATTTCATCAATTTTATTTTGGTTTGTGTAAAAGCGTGACTTTGAATTCCCGGAAACATTTTTTCAAGGGACGCAGTTTTTTGAGGGGAGACACATTTTTTGAAAATCGTTATGTCCCAGGGACGCAATCTTGGACAAACCTACTGAAAACACTGTATAGCCTTACTAATGTTACCCAATCAACTTTTTCAGAGACATTAGAGAATTAAATTATCTATTAAGTATCAAATCCTTATTGCATTAATATTGTTTCGGCTATATGTAACCATGGTAACAAGGGTACATTTATTTCTATTGTAATAAAATTAAATAAATTACGGATAATTGGTTGATTTTCATATATACCAAATTTCATAGAGATTGGGTGAAAGTATAAAGTATGCCTATACAATTTTGTCCATTACATGTACTTCTGAATCACTCTTGTATATACCTCATATTTAAATTGAAGAACCAATTTCTCGCTCAGTCATTTCATGCTTTGGCTACAAGTTAGGGATGTACTTTTGAATTGTTTAAAATTGTAATTCCTTAAAAAGCTATGCAATTTCCACTCACATCCACTCAACACAGCCAGACTGGCAGACAGCTCCACATGGCCAGACTAGATGGCAAATACCGTATTAAAACTGGTTATTTTGTCTGATATATTTGGCATATCAAACCACTGAATTAAGCATGTTTTCATGTATTTAGAATAATCTAATTTGCAGTATTTCCAGTCATACAGTCTGGATGGAGCTCATGCAAATGAATTGAGGACTTGAACAGAAGGATCCCCTTTACCATCTCCCATGGTACCCAGTTAATATCATTCATGTTTTTGTTCATTTGATCACTGTACTTATTGATACCAAATATGTCAAAACAAAAGTGCCCCACTTTTGATTTTATCATTTTTGCTCATGTTGGTTGCCAACCCTTTATGTTCACCACATAAGCAACCCACTATGTCACCTCTTGAGTAAGTGTTGATGTTTTTAAGCTCATTGCACAATTCTCAATTCACTTAGTCTGACTTTTAGTCCCAATTGCTTAGACCACCTCAATTTACCAAATTTTCCAAATATTAAACCTGGCGCAAGTGAACTTTCAAATGGCTGTAAAAGGCAATTTCCTATTGTCAACTGGGCGTAGCACCCAGATGCATACAAGCTGGGGAGATCAATGTGAGTAAATGCAGTCTGCCTTCAAGGTCTGCTATGCTAGTATTCCAATATGAGTCGTCATATCTTTTCTGGCTAGTATTATTCCAATATTTCCATGCTTCTACATGCACCATAATATTTCACACATCATTTAAATTCATGTCACTATGGGGAAGCTAGATCCCATAGCACGAATGGTTATGGCATTAGAGAGAGGTACATTAGTAACCTAAGTTGGTTTCTACTTGTTCATGCATCCTTTCCAATTGGTGTTTATGACTAGTCTAAGGAGCCTCCAAACTTCCTGGCCATTTATTTTGCTGCCTTGATAACACAGATGTTGCGATTGTATGGCGTTTTGCTACAATAACCCTGCAGTGCCATTTGTTGGAGTTAGATTGTTAATTGGGCATAACCCATCAGTCCACTGGAAATAAAAATTATATTTGATTAATGGTACAACAAAGTCCAAAGAGTCGAAAGAAACTTTAAATAGTCACAATTTTACAGTATGTTGTGTTCAAAACATCCCACAGAATGTCTATTTTAATGACATTTCAGCATTACAAATTTTCATGTCTGGTCAAATATCTCAACATATTCCGGATAATAAGATCAGTTTTGTGTGGGAAACATTGAAATGCTTTTCTTGAAGATTACTTCCAACATTTACAATTTATATTTGCTACCATTATTTAAAAGTGACTATAATTTAACTTGCTCCAATGAATGTGTATTTCAATTTATAATTACTTTGTAACCAATTTGGTGATGCTCCATGGAGCATATTTTATTCATTTGAGTTTACCACTTGTATTAGAGAGTGCTCAGGGAGCTAAGATAATGTACTTACTTGTATTAGAGAGTGCTCAGAGAGCTGAGATGATGTACAATGGTCTGTTAGTAAAGACTGTGCAAAACTGTCATGTAACCTGAAGCCCTCTTCTTCTTTTGCTGGGTCCCCTATATACCTGTACAGATCTAGAAACACAAGTATGCAATCAAATAGAATGTGGTGTTAATGTGATCCTAGCTGAGTGTATACCACAACAATTTTTATATTTTTTGAATGTTGTTAATCCTTGTTTTTCACCATTAGAAACTCTCATCTTCAACAGGCCACAGTGTTAAAATCATACTTGAAAAGCCAACTGCCACCTTGTGAATTACCCAGCATGCAAATTCTAATTAGACTTTAAAACTCATATGATTTTGCATGTGTTTCCAGTTTTATTTCAAGTGAAGTTTTCAATCTGACAAGATTTCTTGTGCCTCTCATCCCCATCAGCACAAAACAATGATATGCTACTTTACAAATCCAATAAAACAGTTTCAAACATCTTTGAACATAGCTCACATTGGCAAGGGCAAAATATCATGTATCAGTGTTATTTTTTGCTAATTTCATCAAAAGAGAAAAAAATCAGGTTTCATTATAAAAACAATACTGAACACTGAGTGGAAAATAACAACCTCAATGTTCATGTGAGTTTCATGAAAGGGGTAGGGGATCTGCTTTAGTTAAATTAGCCAATGAGAGAAAAGAATGGTGATATTTTGGGCTGGCTCATATAATGCAGTTTTGGAAAATATGTTCAGTTTACAGAGGGGTTTAACCATTTTACTGCATGATTAAGATTACTAAATGATTACCTTTCAAAAGAGCACTAGCCCAGAGTTGGACGTGGACATCTGGTATTTTACTAGCTAACTGCATTGCGGGGGTGACCATATTCATTGCTTCCTGAAAACATATCAACATTACTAAATGTAATGAAAAATGGAAATCATAGCTCATTTAGAAAGCACATTTACAATACATGTACATTTATATTGTATTTTAATCCAGTTGAAGTGAATGTATTTCTTACATGTGAAAACAAACTATATTGAGGTGCTTTGTATCAAGCTTGCCTCACAAGCATTCTTTCTTGATTTTTTCATAATAAATGCTACATTCTTGTCTATCTTTCTCATATTTTCCTTTTAGAACATTCCTTGTACATGTACAATATTTTCAATTTGCAACTTTGATTGATGATACATCTATGCATGGTACCAAGGGATGGGTCTGGTAATATTGAATGAAGTTTCAAATGCTACACTAAACTAAGTGTCTTACACGTTGCAGTTTATGTTTTCAATCAAAATGTAATTGCTAAATAAATCTATGAAATACACAAACATTTCTAAAATTAATGACTAGGATTTCATTAATTTCCATTGAATGTCAAAATAATAAGATTTGTGAGCCTCACATCATTTAATGAATAAGTATGCATAATATCATACACAACTAGAAAAACAGCAAGTCCACGGAGTAGCAAATTAATCCCACCGAACAAAACATATTATGCTTTGTAAATGTTGAAATGTTTGTGCACTTTGTGATAGAAGCATGAAATTTGGCACAAAGCTAGTTTATACCACTGTGAACTAGGCATCATCATATAAAATTTCAACCAACTCTGTTCACTGGTATTTGAGTTATCAAAGATTACGTTTTTTACAAAAAATTGCCGCCATTTTGAAATTAAGTGGCCATCTTGAAAATTTTTTGTCGAACATAGCTACTGTGTCTCTAAGCATCACCATATAAAATTTGAACCAAATCCGTTCACTGGTATTTGAGTTATCAAAGATTACATATTTTTACGAAAAATGGCCGCCATTTTGAAATTAAGCGGCCATCTTGAAAATCTCTTTTTGTGCGAAACTCCTTTGACCCTAGGCATCAGCATATAAAATTTGAACCAAATCCATCAACTTGTATTTGAGTTATCAACGATTACATTTTTTACGAAAAATGGCGGCCACTTTGAATTGAGCGGCCATATTGAAAATTCCTTCTCGAGCAGAGGTCCTACACTCATAAGGCATAAGCCTATAAATTTTGAACCAAATCCGTCAACCGGTATTGGAGTTATCGCCCGGACACACGGACGGATGGATGGCTTTTCTATATCCCCCTCGAACTTCGTTCGGTGGGATAATAATTCATTAAAAAGACTATACTTACTGCACTATTGCCTAGAGATAAAAATATATGACCCAAAAGAACCAGCGAACAGGAAGTGAGACGATTCAAATCTTCAGCATTTGCCATTTTTAAAGTTTCCCTGAGATAACGCCTGAAAATAAAACATTCTAACATTTATTATGTGAAATTCTACTCAAACTTGAATTCAACATGCAATCTTGAATTCTCAAGAAAAACTTGGCTTCAATTTTACTTCAGCTAAAATGTAAGTGCCTCTCATTGTCCGCCTTATACTGTCTTCACAGATATCATATCAGGTGTATCAACAAGTATTAATCATTGAGGCAGATCCACATGCCATAATATCATATTTGTACCACATGGCAATACTTTAAGAAATCTTACATGATTTCAATATCCAATCAAATTCCTAGCATTGTCGGCAAAGTGAACATGTTCTGAGTCCTGATTAAAAGACGATATCAATATTACAAAATAAATGTAGATTTTGATAGCTCTCTATTTTATTTAACTTATATGAAAATTATTATAGATTACCATTTTCATTTTACTAAGTTCACTTACTTTGCGTCATTGTATTTGGTTTGGAAGAAAGACTGCAGACCTTTGACATAGAACGATGAGGCTTTGAGACTATGGGTGCTGGAATAGAATACAAAGATATCACTATTACACAATCAGAAACCAACTGGAAAATCATACATTCTAGATTCTGTAGAATGCAAAATTCATACAAGGATTTTTGCACAAAATTCTGAAGAGTTGTATTCGTTGTTGATAATTAATCTTGAGATGTATGTGATTATTGGATAAACATTATTACATGAATTGTTATAATAAAGATACAACCCTCTGTTTTTGTCTTTTGCATTGAATACATCTAATATAAATGCACATATTAAGAGACTCCATAAAACACTCAATGCTTAGATGTTTCGATAAATGATAAATGAAGAGATAATCTGATTTTCTTCATAGGTGTGTGAGAAAACCGAAAAACTGAATTGAAACTGAACCGAATCGAGAAATAAAAAAATCATCTGAGCCCTAATGGAAATACATATACATTACTATGTCCCACAATGAGTGATTGAGTGATATCTTCATCACAATCGAGAAAAAATATATTACAAAATTGAAGGTTTCCATTATTGTGTCACCCTTTATGGTATTTCATACATATCCACCCCCCTCTAAACTCATGTATGTAATATTGCCATCCTTTTATGTTATACAACATTTTGAGCAAAGTAGAGCTTCCGTATATTAAGCTAGAATAAATAATACCACTGGAAAGCTGAGTGTCAGTTTTATGGATATAGTTTACTTTCTAGGATTCACAACTTTGTCTAATTAACAAAGAGGTTGAAGTAAATTCGAATTAATTTTACAAGTGAATTTTGGATATCAGTGAATGTGGGACCATGTACCAGAAACAATTTGAAAACTAATGGTCCTACTTGCTGGTTAGCATCAGAGATCACGATAGTTGAAAAAACTTGTTAGCCATTGTGGCTAAATCTTCCAAAAAAATTTTCGCCAACCAAAATATGAATTAGCCATTTTGAAAAACCGTAAAAAAGTGAACATTAAAAATGATGCAATGTCTGATGATGACAGTTTCACTTTCAGTTTCACTTTTCAAAATCATATTCAGAAATAAAAAAACGTCAATTAAAATTGAATGTAAAGCATCTGCCGCGAATGTGATCGGCATTTCACATAGTCTGCACGGTGTAATATCACCTATTCGTTTACCTTGTGATATCGGAGTCCCAAAATACTTCCAAACTGCCGACTTTTTCGACTTAGATGCCGGCTCGATTTTTCAATTTCTTTCCTACATCCGGCATACTGATAATGCACTCGATTTGCGAACGACGATGAAGAAATTTACGAACAAGCATTACCATCTACCTGAAATCGCGGGTCCGTTAATAACACTTTTCAATGCAAAGAAGTGTAAACTAGGTACGAGGTAAGTGAAAATATTTAATTTTTCAGAACGAAGTCGGAGGTGTTCCTCGCTATTTATACACGTTTTTATGCATTCTAGGGAAGGAATCTATGTACCGATATTAACCCTTTCTGTCCCATGTCCCGAACCGAAGCATCTGGACCGAAATTCGGTCCAATATCGGGAAACCGTGACAACTCTAATTCGCCATAACTGCGAAATACCTTTAGATATTTTTCGCCACCTCTTTCGAAAATTCACGATTGGCGAATGGCGAACGTCTACCGTGATCTCTGTTAGCATAATGCCTGCATGGAAATTATGAAGGTCAAAAACACATGAAAAAAAACTACATGTTTTTTGATTTTCTTCAATATGACTTAAATGAAATATAAATATTTATGTGTTTTGGAGTTGGCTTAGATCACTAGATATTCATACAGGTATACCTATCTCTTAAGTGATGTATAGATGGCACAACTGCATAGGTGAGTTAATGTTAATTAACAAAGATCATGTGATAAGGAGGAAATGTCACGTGACTACAATTGGCGGGAATCAGTTTGCGAACTCACAACCTGGAAAGCCCACCAGCCTCCCCAGCACCAACCAAAGTACATGTAAGGAACAGGTTAATGTACTGCAACTAAAGTAAGTAAAAACATATATCAAATATATTGTGTATTGTAATATATTTCTGAGCGATAGGGACCCCTTCGGTATAAGAATATAGTATTAAATTGAGATAGATTAACTTATGTTTCTGTAAGAATTATGTTGAAATCATGTAAACCCAATAATTGATATAACATATTGGGTTAAAATAGTGATCAATCGACTCCAAACCGCACACAACTCAAATAAATATAAAAGGTCATATTGATTTTTTCTTCAAAAACCATTTTATGAAAAAGAATTCATTTTTGCAGAACTTTTTCTTTTCAAATAATTTCCAGATTAAGAAATTTTGGGATTCCCCCTATTCATGAAAGAACTATTAACTAACTTAGTAAATATCAGAAGCCCATGTTATTAGATCTTATTCCTGACGATTTCCCCTTTCCAATGGTATATAATATTCAATCCCTGATGCAGATAGCTTAATTCATTCTTTTAGCCCTACCTTGCTCAACTATGTAGCATGTACTTACGTTTCTGGCAACCGATCTGGATCAATTCTTTCCACTAATCCTAATAGTTCATTAACTCTATTTGTTCGAAGATATACTATGGCTAGATTTAAATTTACAAATGTCCATAACTCTTTTCCTACTGATAACTGGAAGGGAAAATAATACAGCATTACACAATAGGTAATTAACAATAGAAAATACTCAATAATGAAACATACGACATTGCCTTTCTCAAAAATAATTTATTTAAATTCTAATTTATTTGAACAAAACTGAGCATGTAAACAAATTTTCCAAAACAAGCCTAATCATTTTTTTCAAACTGGTCATCTAGCTATTGACGAGCACACATTTGTAACATAACAAACTGAATATGAGAATACCTCTCGAAGATGAGCTTCTCGAAATGTGAAACTTGAATTTCTCACCAAATTGTGACAATTTTACATGACCATGACAAGAGTCAATTTATAAATTTTACATTCTATAAATGTAACTGTATACTGTATAATGAGTGAACTGCTATTACTGATTAGTTAAGCTTTATACCCTAAGTGCTGTATTAAACTGTGCTTCTGAGGCATCCATACAGTTCATAGACATTGCATACAGCCCCTGAAACAAACAAGATTATAAATTGATTAAACAAGGCATTAACATGCAAAATGTCACCTCCATTTGTTACAGACGCCAAGCGCTGATCGCAAACTGCCGTCACAAGATAACAGAGAAACAGTAATCTTAAACAAGACTGCCTTATAATGTAAAGGCTGTTTTTTTTTTATCAAATAACTAGTCACTTTGGTCACATTAATAACAGATGGAGATGGGAGGGGTTTAAAAGACAGGTTTTCACTGTAGAAATAAATTGAACATTGAGTGGGAGATAAAGTGATTTAAATGATAAGTGTTAATGAAAATTGCTCTCTGATAAAGTATGGTAGAAAGGTGTTTGTATTGTTTCCTTGTGTATTAAATAATAGTTTGGAATATTGGGAGTTTATTTTTCCTCATGACTGGTTGTTCTCTTAGATACCTCTCTTTCTGATCATGTTTTGTAAGTCTTTTGGCAGCATTGCTTACATATTCAAACAAGGCATTAATGCAAAACATCACCACCTGCCATTTCTGATAGATGCTGACTGCCAAAAACAGTCCACAAAAGTTGGAGACTACAACAATCTGTCAACATTTGTGATGATATGGGTCATTATTTGTAAAAAGGTAAAGGTAATTGATGTTGAGTAAATGACCTTGGGATTCACTTGGCCCAAGGTGGGAATGTCATTTGTGTGACAAAACTAATGTTGAAATAATCCACCCCAGGTTGATTTTGACCTTGTGGTGCATGCAATTGTCTGTGGTAAAGATGATTTAGGTTGAAATGACCTGAGGTTGAGATAACCTTAGACTTATATGACCTGGGACCTTTTGTTGAGATTGATTTAAATCACCGAAGGTTAAGATTGATTCAGGTCAGGTAAAATAGTTGAGGTTGAACTGACAAAAGATTGAGATGATTTAGGTTGACCTGTTCTAGAGTTGATTGTATGTTGAGCAGATGTAGAAGATTTGAGATTAATAAGGTTGAGTTGGCCAATGGTTGAGTTCATCAAGGTTGAGCTGACCTAGGGTTGAAATGATTTAGGTTGAAGTGACCTAGAGTTGGCCAATGGTTGAGGTCATCAAGGTTGAGCTGACCTAGGGTTGAAATGATTTAGGTTGAAGTGACCTAGAGTTGACATGACAGCTGACCTAGAGTTCAGGTGATTCAGGTTGAGCTGATGTATTGTTTAGATGATTTAGGTTGGGCTGACCTAAGGTTGAAGTGATTTAGTTTGTGCTGACATGAGACTGAGATCGTGCTGGTCAGGGGTTGAGACAATTTGAGTAAAACTAATCTTGGGTTTAAGAGATTTCAGTCTAGATAATGTGGGGTTGAGGTGAATTAGGTTGAGCATGGGAAGAGTTAAACTGACCTAGGGTTGAGGGGATACAGCTTGAACGGAGAGAGGATTGATGTGATTTATGTTAGGCTGACCACAGCACACAGGGGATCTATCAGAACCAGACAAGGTTGGTTCATGGTTATATGTAATATCATAAAATCTTACCAATAATGTATGTAGTTGTGCACCATGTGACTGGAAAAGTTTTGGTTGTTGTTGACACACATGGCAAGCTTGGTATATCTGGAATAAACAATTAACATGTACTATTATATACCAAAGCCTGGGTCATCTATCCTTTAGTTACCAGCTTCCTCTTTAAAACAGTGCATGACAGATAGCGCAGAGTATGCATGCATGATGGCAAATATTTGCAAAATAATGCACTTTAGATTACATGTACAGTAGAACCTGTGTAAGTGGAACACCATTGAGACCACAAAAAGTGTTCCACTAGGGAGGTGTTCCACTTACAGGGGTTCATTAATATGGAGTAGGTAGGTCATGGGACTTTAAAAACACTGTTCCACTTGCGAGGTGTTCCACCTTCAGAAGTGTTCCACTTAGCAGGTTCTACTGTAGTTATATTCTGTGTTCAACATTTTTTCTAAGATAAGGGATATTATTTTTTTATTTCAAGAAAATCTACCTAAAGAAAATAGCGTACAGTGTACAGAAATTTTGCAAGTTGGGCCAATATGAACAATGTGAATAGGAATTATTCTGTTACCTTGTCATATACAACTGAACAAAGTACAAATTGATACACTTATTACTTCAAATTGCAATAATGCACCTACCTCTTGGATTGCCTGTGATTTATTTCCCATTATGAGTCGACATTGGATTATATTCTCTAGGAGCATAAGTTGGAATGTGGATAATAATGGATGGGCTTCAAGCACTGGAATATAAAATAATAAAATTAAAAAAATTAAAATAAAAAAAACATACAAATCAAATCAAAATCTACATAAAATTTCATAATTACAATAGTCTAGTATTTTGGAATGAGAATGGAAAACCCCACACATTAATAAGGGGCCAGATCAACAATGTTTTCATCTAATTTCTTTCCAATTTTAATTAATGTTTAAAACTGAACATCAAAGTTACATAATAGTCACCTACACAATGTTCCATGATTTTCACTGGAGATCCACTCGATTACGCTGGTTACTGAAACTGTTCGTTTCGGTTACAAAATGTCGGAACATTGAAGCTTATTTCCTTATTTCACACGTTGTAGGCAGAATTCTCACGACATTTTTAACACAAACTTGTATCAGTATCATATGTTTAAGAAACGGTATTTCGAAAAACAGTTAAGATCTGCACTTTTAACCCAAACCGTTTCTGTAACTTAAGTGAGGAATTAAATCAATGATTCTGTTGTCTTTTGAGCTCTTTTTTCGCAAACATGTACATTTTCTAAAACATATGATACTGATAAAAATTTGTGAGAAAAAACGTCCTGGGGATTCTGCCTACAACGCGTGAAATAAGGAAAAAAGTAGTCGAGCGGATCACCAGTAATATTTCTATATAACACTACTTTGCATCTACCAAATGTAATTAGTTCCACATAAAAATGCCACACTGACTCAAATTATAAACAAGGCAATAACGTGCAACAATTGCTGAACGCTGCTTCATACACTGAATACTAACCAACAAACACCTTCTGGTGGTAACATAAATTTAAAAAATCAAAACAGAAGTGTTTATTCTAACTCATATCCACGTGTATTTGTAGTTCAAGTACTTACTTTTAAGTTTTTCTATTTGCATCAGGGCTTTATCAGTATATTTTTGTGCTTTGTCCATGTACCCTGCCTGCATTGAATGCATCACAGTAAGCTGAAAGAGAAAATTTACAAATCTCAAGTATTGGCACAGTGCACTTTCTAAAATACAATGTATATTTAGATGGTCAATATTAACAAAATAATGTGCTTTAGAAAAGTAATATTCCATGTTCTGCATTTTTAAAGAAAATTGACCAAGCCATTTTTTCTTCTGTCATATACCTACTTTATATGTTGTAGTCTAATGTAATATCTGTCCATTTTTAGAGAACAAAATAGACTGAGGCCTTTAGATATATTTTGCTTCATATTCAATGTACGATAAGACAACATTTCTGTCAAAATAGTTTCTATGAATTCTATATGAATGTATTGACCATGCTGTGTGTAAAGCAGGGAACACCTATCTTAACTAATTTGTTACCTTAAACTAAATTCAAAAATGAAAGCTTTACTTACAAGGTACACTAAGACACACATGTGTTCTTTAGGCAACCAGTGGAAGAGATCAGAGGGGTTATTGGAACCTGGTAAAATATCTACAAATAATTTAAAAAAAATCCAATTAATGAATTAAACAGTTGAAATTTTTGAAATGATTTTGTATAAAAAATATCTGAAGGGAGTGTTGTGTAGGTGGATTCTTTGATTTCTCTTTTGTTTGTGGTTTCCCATAGCAGAGTTATAGCTAAAAAATTCACACCACAAACTAGTTATTATTAAAGCTTTGAATTGATTCATTAACAATTTAAAAAAAAATTTAAACAATACTTTTTTTAATCCCTTTTTGTTTGTGGTTTTTCAACAAAATGCATTGACTGACTTCAAATATGAACTGTAACTCATACAGCATTTTGTAAGGTGAAGTCTTAGCTGAGACCAGTAATTGAAATTGTTAAATGCTACATTGGAGCCTGACTTACCTTCATCTACATTCAGGGTGGTTATGGTCTGTATACTTTGCTGAAGTTGTTTTAAAGAACCTTTCACACTTTTTACCTGAAATGGAAGACAATGGCTTTTGATTTACAAAATTACAAGTCAATTTATCCAAAAGAATTATAATAGTGATCTTAGAGCAAATTGATACTGCATCCTGTTGTAAGCCTTCAACACTTAGACACATTACCACACGGGGGAGTAATTATTCAGATTAAAACATACAAAGCTGTGTATAATCATATTGGCTTTTAGGTCACTTCTTTCACTGTAGGTTTTAGAACAGCCAGATTCCATTTAAAGTCAAACCAATCCTGAGTTGTGAGCCAAAGTGTAAAATTGCCCGCAACTCTTTCAAAATCTGTTGGCAACCAAATTATGTACCTAGACATTTGACTAAAACAGGTGATATTCAGATTAAGAACCTCATTGAGAAAAAACCCTCAGGAGACCAATTTAAGTAAACATGTTGAACAATGAACATGTAAACATATAATGGGGAGGTTGTGGGTTTGTATTCCCAAACAAGTATATAATACAATGGTTGACTTGCATTAAAGAGGGACATAGGGTATAAATAAGAGGACATTGAATTGCTTCCAATTTTGCTATATACATCTTTCAGTTTATATTCTGCAGTTAGATTTTAACTTCATCATTTTGTTTGGTTGTGATAAGACATTTAAAAACAGAAATTGCATTTTTCAAATTCAAAAGTCCCCAAGCTTAACCAATCAAAATTGAGTATTAAGCAGTGATGTTAATTAACTTACTAATCCTGGGTTTCTGTACCATGTTAAAGTAAATATTAATAACAATAATACTTTTAATGAGTTGTTAGCAAGTTTAAAACCATCATTTAAAGCAAACCAGATTAAATCCTTAAAAGATTTAACCCTCACCTAACCAGGCATGATAAAATGACTGTCTTGCAGCTCTTAAGAAACCATTAACCCTCACCTGACCAGCCATGAGGAAATGGCAGACTTGTAGCACTAGAAAAAACACTTTTAGGGATTCTTTCTGTACTGCAGGACCCAACCAGGCTTCTGTCAGTTGACCAGTCAGTGTTAGTACTTGGTGAACTTCTTGAAACTTTTTGTCTATCAGTAACAGCTAAAATTAAAACACAAAAAGATGAAAAATCAGACATACTTATAGAATGGAGAGAGGGGTCAAACAAAAACTGACACACAGTTCAATTTACAATGTATCCAGCTGCAAAATCCCCTTGGATGAGGTGAGAATATGAAAATCAAGAAAACTGATAATTTTACCAGGTTCTTGGTAAGAGATAAATGGAAATTTTGAAATCCTGTGAAAGGATCCAAGATCTTATCAATGTTTTAAAATCAATATGTCAACAATTCATGATCTAGAAAGGACAGATCACACTGTCATATAATAAGAGTACTTTCAAAATTTCTTCTTCACACCTTACTAAATAATAAAATTAATTCTACATACCATGCCTTTACTTAGTAAAAAGAGTATCCTGGTGAATTCTGATCGCTTCATTTCTGCATAATCTGCCCCATGTCCCAATAATGAACATGCTAGAGAGTATTCATGGTCAACTGCATACAGTTGCTGAAATATAAGCAACAATTCTAGTTTGAGTTCAATCAATTTATCAATTAATTATATCAATTAATAATCTTCATGTTACAAATGTGCTCAAGTGATGTTTTGTTTATTGAAAAATAGTCGAAGAACAATCCACTTATTTTCATCTCTTCTTTAAATTAGGTTTAAGTTATAAGGATGACTTGCGAACTATGAATTTTTCATTTATGTATCAAATGTTTAATTCATGTTAAAAAATCCTTACTGCTAACTGGAAACAAAGTCTACAATGCCAGTATGGGGACTGCTGGGATATGTCTATGGCCTGTTGTAGCACTGGTTTAGCCTGCGCTGACTGGTTCTAGAAAACAAACACAAAATAACACATGTCATTTGCATAAATCAATACTGTTGCAAAAAATATTAACATATTTGCTATTTGAGGACAATACAGATGTAGCAAGTGTTTTCAAGTACATTGTGTAATTAGAAAAGTATTTAATAGTGATTAATAAATATTACCAATGGGTAATATCAGATTACATGTAAATACCATATTCTGTTCCCTTAGTGAGATAACCTTTTTCAGATATATTGGCATGTTTGAACCATGTTTGGCATGCATCATAGTCACTGAAGATCAACTGGAAACAAAAACATGATACCTTCGTTTCAGCAGAGACATATAAAACAGTGTTTTGATGATTATTGTTTTCTAAATTTTATCACCTTTATCCTTTCAGTCTCATATTCGGTAGGTGTACAAGTCGCAAAGAAAAATAGAGTTGACTTGTATATGAGAAACTGACTCCAGGAGTTAAGAAAAAACGCGTCTTTTGATGTTTTAATTTCTGCAAAAATTATTGAAGAAAATTGCATGAATTCAATTCCAAAACAGTCTATTGATGCCTTAGTTAACACAAAGATTGTTGCTATATTCTTTCAATGGACAGCTCTATTTCTCCTAAATTAACATTACACTTTAGTCATATTTTTATTTTCTTCCACGAACATCTAAAATTGTTGTCATAAATCTTGCTATAGCGACTTAAAACAGACTAAAGCAAGTTGCACTTATGGACCCGATTGTTGACACAATTATTCTAGACCCTCAATGCATCGATTACGTGACTCTATTTCAGAACCAGAACCTATGCAAGAATGCGCCTAATATTAAGTTAAGATTTGAAGGATAGAGGTGATAAAATCAAGAAAACAAAAATTCTTGCCAAATTCTTCGACTGGAAGTTCAGTCATGCTGAAACAAAGACATTATGGCAGATAGCACTCACCTGTTGTTCTAGTAGTTGTGCTAGGGAGCTTGCACTCTCGAAGCTGACATCTTCAAATGATGGGATCTGCATGGAGTCAAGGATATTTAAGGTATCAAGGTTAATACCCTACCTCAATATTTAAGTACTTTGAACAAAGGGGGATGATTGATTGGGGAAGCAAAATTCTATTCATGACTTAAGTTTTAATCAAAGGGGTGCAAACAGGTTTTCAAAAGAGCACAAGGCTGAAATATAATTCTGAAGTATATCAGAGTTGTTCAAATGCTCCAGGTCAATCTTAATTTTCATTCAGAGATTTTGATATTTTGAGTCAATGTTATATCCAAACATTGGAACTATGTAACTTTTTTTGGAGAGGACTATACACAGGTTTCAGTATAGGTTAAGCCCCGTGGTTTTGTGATGTAGGGTATTTCTAATGAAGGCCCATATTTTTTACAAATAGTATGGACGATTCCAAGATATTTTTTAAAAGAAATCTAATAATCAATTGTCTAATATATTCTTACAAAAGAAGACTTATAATTGACCAGAAATTTGATATAGATTTGCTAGACTTTACAATTATATGATGCTGTGAAGCTGATCTCATACAGTAACCAAAATATGTCTACAATACAGAAAAAACGACTTCCTTTAGATACCAGGGTGGGCAAAATAGAAAACAAAGAGGAATAAATATATTCACAAACAAATGAGGTTTAAATGCAGCACACGTGAATATTGGCATGAATTATGGGAGAAGTCACTGAAGACTGTTTCTGCAAGATTGCATGACAGCTTGTGACGATGTTTTGGATCACGCCGTTCGTTCATATAACTGTTCGCCATAACTGTTTCTCTCGCAAACCTTACAACGCAACATATTGCATTTCCTGCATGTTTTCGTTCTACAACCAGGACCTTCATCAATATCAATCTGGAGAATATCCTAGGTTAAATACTTTTGTCTTGGAATTTAGGCTATGCCTTTGAGTTTGATGGATTTCTTTGGAGGTCCGTTTTTGCACTCGATTGAAAAGGATACATTCTGTGCCATGGTCCACTGAAAAAGAAAACATTGAAATATCAATGAAAAGATAAATGATTTTTATTATTTCACAATAATAGCATTACTCAATAAGAAGGTGATACAACAATGATAAATGAATTCAAACATACCGCTTTTTCTAAATGTTGCCGGGCCAGATCAAAATTTTTTGTGTGTCGGAGTAAAATTGTTCCAAGTTGAAGGTGCGTCCTGGCTTCTATTCGAGGCGGAGGCTTAAAGTTAAATATTGTCTTTAGACAATGGATACACATCTTTATATTTGGAGGATTAGATGTCCGGAAACTTTCTGCTAAACCCAGTAATGAGAGGTACCAAGAGTCTTGGTGAACCGCGGCCATTTTGCTTTCTTCCCGCTGATGATTCCGCGAAGCATTAAAAATTGCATCGGGCTAAATAAAGACCCCTGAAATAACCATAAAGATTATTGATGCACAAGTCAAAAAATTGTTTATTTGCTCAAATAAGATATAAATGACGTATTTTTAAAATGATAAGATCAATAGTGCTTTTTGTCTGAATGAAATTAGCTTTGTAAAATAAGTTTTTCTAACTAGGTCAAGTTACACCGTAAACATTTGAAAATGGGAACACTTCAAAAAATTATACAAGTTGCCTTAATCGGCTCTGTTTGCTGCTTTTGGGGCGGCACAATGGTGTTAGGTCTACTATGGACACTCATTACAAAAGGTACAGGTGTTTTTCAAAAGAAGGAACGTAAAGAAGAGCCAAAATGCCTACAAGACCCAGGTTTAGGTGCACATCATTTTGTTCAACTTGAGGTGAGTATAAAATTGCGGGAACTTTGAACCTTTGTTTACTTCCGGGTTGTGGTTTACATGCTTCATCTACATGTAAGTTGTAATCATTGAGTGTCCAGATTGAAGTATTAATCAAGTCTTCAACTAGATAATCGAGTAATTCAAAGGTAGATCTATTTGTCTCATCTCGACACATACGATTTCAAGGCATTGACATTTGTAAATTGCTGAATCATCCATCAACTTAGACCATATCCTATTTAGAATTGTTTTCATGGCCTGAGTTCGTCGCTAACATGCTAAATATAAGAGTTAGCTGATGTTTGGGAGTCTGACTTACCTTCTAAAGGTTAAAACCCGAATCTTAATGAAACCATATCACCTTTGTTCTGTCAACCATGGAGCATTTGCCGCAACATCCAAGAGGTAAATCATGGACCGTGCCATGAATGATTTCCTTGTAAGTTCCGGAAGTTTCAATACGAAAAATTACCGAACATATGTGAAAACCGAATATTTGTTCGTTGTTTTCACGATTTACAGGTTCGTTTGTTCTTCAATGTTTTGGTCTAAATTATAAAGCATCACCAACAGGTCTTACTCTATCAATCGACTAATACAGCAGACGGCTCATATTTCTATGTAGCATTTCGTTCAGACCAATAGTGGGAGTGTAGATCAGGCAGTTTCGTTCGTTGCGTACTTCACTTGAAATTGGTAATTTTAAATATTGGCTACTTCACTTAGCTTGGCGGATGTAGAACATTGCTTAATATTCTTTTAATTTTCACACCAGACATGCTTGGTTGACACGTCAACAAAGTAAAGTTCAAGGATCAATGCGTTATTTCGTGATAACTACAACGCCTTCCCGGAAGTCAACATTGATGAAAAATGAAAAAGTCGGAAAAGCATTTACACTAATTTCTATCAAATGCTGTGTTTATGCATCATCATCGACGCAACAAAGGTGATATGATTTCATTAAGATTCGGGTTCTAACCTTTAGAAGGTAAGTCAGACTCCCAAACGTCAGCTAATTCTTATATTTAGCATGTTAGCTACGAACTCAGGCCATGAAAACAATTCTAGTCTGAATTATATTCAGACTATAAGGCACCTATCTAAAGTTTGGTAATATGAAATATTTGTTTACATACGAAGTGCTATTCAAAATGGCCGATTGGTAAAATTAATTTGCACATTTTTACTTCAACTAGCTTTATTTCCACTTGACAATGTGCTGTGTTACTTTTTATTGCATTTAATTGTACCTTACTATTTAATTGAAATTTTGTAATGTTTATTTTATTGAAGAAATGGTTCCTCTAATTGATAATTATATGCAAAAAATTTCACTGCAATTTCCACAGGAAAGTAATACATCATAACAGACTGACTTCTACAGTTGGGGACAAAAATAAATGACAGGTCGATTTTCGATCACCATTTCCTAATTATGGTGGTCTGAAAGCCCATAATTTCCAATATTGTCTAGATACATATCCCTTAAAATTTGTATATTTTACATTTTGTATAATCTCATCCACTGATTTATGGCCTCTTGTAAATTCTCTTATTTTTAACATGGGAAATCCTCACTTCAGCAAATCCACCTGTCATTTATTTATGTCCCCAACTGTAGTCAGTCTGTTGGATACATACTATCCATCAACTGGTTTCTTGTCTTTTCTGTAGTGCTACTGCTACAGTGGGGATCATAAAGAATTGCAAAAGCTATGAAAATTACATGCTGTCGCACATGTAATAAATTCTTACCTCAGTGTATTCAGTGCTCTATTTTCTGCTCTATATAGTGGAATTTGTGTCCCTAATGACAAATAAGAACTTCAAAAGTTGAAGTGGATATTCACATGTTATGCCGACTCTTCAAATGTTGAGGTGATTTTGTCGCCCGATTGCGCAGGAACGGAGGATTGGCACCCAGAATGCAACATCACACGTGCCAGCTTTCAAAATGCTGTTCCGCCATTTTGAAACCTGTCATGAGTAAATATGGTAACTGATGTTGCATTCTGGGAGTCAACCGTCCTTGGATAACAAACATGGCGATTCATGAAAACATGCATTCGATTTGGTAGGGATTTATCCATTATTTGCAGGTATGAAGCTTTGGATTCATTTATTGTGCTACTTTAGTGAACGGGAATTATTTTTCTACCGCTTGGGAGAGTTTGAGACACGAAACTTGGAAATTAGCTCATTGTGACAACTTGTGAACGTTGAGTTTTATTTTTGTCCCCCACTGTAGTCTTACTTTATACCTCTAGAAAAGCATAAGATATTTAGTTTGTCTAAGTGTATTTGAAAGTACCGTATTAAATGGATAACAAGGCCTGTCGAGAGAAAATAAGAAAATTTTAACTTTTATTGTCACCACCAAAATATGGTGACATATTCAGGCCGTCCAACTGTCCCACAATTTGCGTATTTGTCACGCATTCCCTGGAAGTCACGCATGCGTCACGCAAATACACATTTTACCTGATTATTGTCCAGCAAAAATGTTCCTGTAGAAAAACTTCCAAAAAATAATCGCACGACACCAGCACTGGTCGTGGGGGTGGGGCTGCAAAACTGTTGTAATATATAAATATATGTCTAAACTAGGCAGAGGGTAGTTTATAACTAGACTATGTCTGCATGGTTCATGTGAATGTGATGTTTTAATCAATAAACATATTCCTTGTACATCTTGTTTATGTGAAATAACAAGATATAGCCCACACCTAATACAATCTACATCTTACACTCAGGAGCATTTCATTTGCCCTTTAAACAAAGCTGTGATAATTAATACATTCTGGTATGAGAGGTTGTTATTCCATGATGAATTCCTAGTGACTACTCATAGCTTGACAGGAGGAAGGTAGTGTTACTGAAGCTTATAACTGTAGCGTGTTGCAATATGTACCCCCATGTATCTACAAACCATTATTTTAAAATATGTAATAGGTCTCTTCATGCCACTAAAAAGAAGTCTGCCAAGATTTGATGTAGGGGTTGTGGATAGAGGTCTATTTGCTACTTGTATTTAGTTTTATCTGGCTTCTTCTATGATGTTCTTTGATTTAGGATGTGAAACTACATTATGTGGCCAGTGGACCTGAAGATGGCCCTTTGATGGTTTTTGTACATGGTTTCCCAGAGTTCTGGTATTCATGGCGTCACCAGATCAGAGAATTCCAAAGCAAGTACAGGTAAGAATTAGAAGTTTTAAAGAAAAGAATTTGAAGTAAAGATGAAATACTTAAATGCAATACGGACGTGATTGTATGATGTCTGCCATCAGCTGACTTTTTCAGTTATTTCTCAATTTTCCTGCCGAAACTGTTTAAACATGAAAATTAAAAGTGCAGATTAGAATACAAAAGTACAAGTAGAAGTACATGTAAAATTTTCCCTTTGCTCTCAAATCAATAAATGAACACTGGTAAAATTGAACTGAAACAAAATCAAGTAACTTGTATATTTCAGAGTTGTATCCATCGATATGCGCGGATATGGAGAATCTGAAAAGCCCAGCAATGTATCTGATTACAACATCAACAAATTAGCAAGTGATATAGCTCAACTTGTGTCACAGCTAGGTAAGCAGTTGTTGGTCTATCTACTGAAATCAATGTATAAATACAGTACTTAAAGGTATACATGTACTGTTCTTCACTTTGCAATTGTGGGTTGCCCTCAGAGTCCCCAAAATGAGGTTTTGGTCTTGAACTTGAATTAGTTATGTACCAGTTTTATGTATGACCTTTATGTGTGTGACCTTGATAATAACGTGTGGTATTGATCATTCATGACCTCAATTTACACATTTAACCTTTCAGGTGACCTAGACCTAGATGTGCTGTAGATCATTTATCCCTAAATTTACACATTTGCCTTTTCAGTTGACCTTGACCTAGATGTGCTGTGGATCATTTACACATATGACCTTGACCTATAAATGTGACCTTATGTTTCAGGGCATGAGAAGTGTGTGCTAGTTGGTCATGACTGGGGTGGTGCCGTATGTTGGCAAGTGGCTATATCCCACCCAGAAGTAGTTGATTGCCTAGTCAACTGTAACATTCCACACCCTGCTGTATTTGCCAAATATATGCAGACTCACTTCAAACAATTCATGATGTCATGGTAAGGAATTGATTCATTATATTACTTTTCATATTGATGTCACATACCTGTAGAGAACTTCTCCATTTTTATCATCATTCAAGTTAAATGAACAATGTTTGAATTGCTTATACTTTTCATTTGCTCATTTGAAGTTCTCATGTTTATAACACAGAGTTGCATATCCTTCTCTTGAAAGCCCATGGTAGACTAAAAGTCAGTTAAGAACTTGATTTTTCATGATTTATATTAAAAATGATGTATGAAAGCCCATGATTCAACTTAACATCCAAAAATACATCCCAAAATGTGACTTTTGAAATATTTGGTCAACTTTGATGGAATTTGAATGAAAATTTTAAGGCAAGGATCTTAATATAACAATACACAAATTAATATATTTAAAGGATTGGTATCGATATGGAGAACTGAATTCAACAATAGTTTTCTCTTAAACCAATCATTGAAAACATTCTGTAAAAAACACGGTATTTTATGTAATGTTGACTTATGGACAACAATTTAATGCCAAACTTATATAGAACTATTTTCTATAACTGTTTTTGTTAACATTTTTTGTTTTTTTAGTGCAATTGTTTTTGCTCCTTTCTACCAATTATGGAGAATGAAATAAAATGTCTTTCCGAACCTTGTTAGAACAAAATAGCATATGCAACATGTTTTAGACCTCTCAATATTATAGTTATACAAAGGAAATTTTGGTTGATTTTAAAAAAAGTATTCAAAAAATTAAAACAAATCCTCCAAAAATAGATAAAAATCGAGATAAACCTTTTATTTTATTTCATTAACAAGATACTTTTTTAAAATCAACCAAAATTTCCTTTGTACAATTACAATATTGAGAGACCTAAACATGTTGTGTTTATGTCGTTTTGTTCCAATGAGGTCGGAAATATGTTTCATTTCACTTTGGAAACATGATACCAAGAACAAAACAAGTGTTTGATGTGTTTTCTAAAAATATACAGTAGATGAAAGAATATATATATTTTTCAAATTATATTGTTACCACCATTAAATTGACACTGTAAAATTTTCAGAATTTTTTGATGACTGGCCTAAGAGAAATGTGTGTTCAAAAAGTTCGCCATATCGATACCCATCCTTTGATGACTTCAAAGGGTGTCATGCAGCTTTCACACATCTAAAAAGTCTATATTTATTTCTAGGTATATATTCTTCTTCCAATGGCCCTGCCTTCCAGAGTTATTCCTTGGCATGAATGATTTTGACTTCCTGAAACAAGCATTCAGCTCTAGGAAGATGGGTATACAGAATCAAGACAACAGGCTTACCGAGGAGGACCTTGAAGCATTTAAGTACACATTTCAAAAAAGTAAGTGTGTATTCCAGTAAAGTGATAACGCACATTCCAGAAAAAATGATTAGGGGTGTCATATGACAAAAAAGAAATACATGTAGACAGGATGGTTGAATCAGGATGGGATATTCGAGATGGAGAAAGATTAAGCAGAGATACATGAAGTTGAATAATAAGTTTTAATCAGTATTTAGACTATCTTGGATATTTAGACTATATTTATTAGCCTTGGAGTAAATGTTGTAAAAATTGTTGTATTTTGTTTCTGAGTGTAGTCCTGCAGTTTCAATAACTCAATATAAGATCAGAAATGGCTTCTAACAAAATTCCTTTGAAATAATGATTTAATTATTTAACCATCGCATAATGTTGTCTGAGAATAAGCAGCTTTTAAGTTAAACAATACAGTCGAAATGTTGACACATGCGCAGACCTCTATTTAGTGATATTTTCATTTCAAATATGGCGGCCAATCTGATGTCTGACGACCCTTACAAAGAATCTAGGCAGTGTGCATTTTTACCTCCTGTGAAATAACAAGTGGAATTTAGTAGTTGTTTTGTGTTTTATTATCATTCTGCATCGTAATTCTATGTGATGTGGTGTTGAAATGTCAGCAGAAATACATATCCATACGATAATCGAGTGAATCAGATAACAGATTTTTCGAAAACACGTCTCGTGCTAAGTGTGTAAAAACTTGTATTAACATGCTCAAAAGTGCCAAAAATCAAATGAGGACTGACGGCGTATTCTACTATGTTTGGATCTAAGATTTTCAGTATAGATAAAGTCTTTTATGATCTTTCGAATGAGGTAAGTCTCTAGTTCGAAAGACAATCGTATCAACTTGAACAAAAGTTGAGTTTTGACGAAAAATTTTAACATGCGCAGAAGTCCCATTTTCGTTGTACCATATTGACTGAATAGATAGTGCAAAATTCTTTATATTAATGAAATATTATTCTCCTGAACTTAACCAAATTATAGATTCCCACCCTGTAAGTAGTGGAGCGATTTTGTTCATATTTGGTATGTGAATACTATAAGCATGGCACACTGTCTAATGACACTTTTGGTAGAAGGCGGCCATTTTGAAAATGGCCACCATTTTAACATATTTTACTATAACTGGAAAAGTATTGGAGCGATTTTGTTCATATTTGGTATGTGAATACTATAAGCATGGCACACTGTCTAATGACACTTTTGGTAGAAGGCGGCCATTTTGAAAATGGCCACCATTTTAACATATTTTACTATAACTGGAAAAGTATTGGAGCGATTTTGTTCATATTTTGTATGTGAATACCATAAGCATGGTTCACTGTCTAATGACACTTTTGGTAGAAGGTGTATGGCCGCCATCAAAATGGCAGCCATTTTAACATATTTTACTATAACTCGAAAAGTATTGGAGCGATTTTGTTCATATTTGGTATGTGAATACTATAAGCATGGCACACTGTCTAATGACACTTTTGGTAGAAGGCGGCCATTTTTCAAAATGGCCACCATTTTAACATATTTTACTTTAACTCGAAAAATAGTAGAGTGATTCTGTTAATATTTGGTATGTGAATACTATAAGCATGGCACACTGTCTAATGAAAAATGACTGCCATTTTTGCTATATACTTTGTTTGTAAAAATGGCAGCCATGGCTGTTCGATGAGATTTGCTACGCTTTGGTGTTGCTGTTGTCTAGTTATTAGATGTTGTGATTATGTCGGCTTGTTCATAATCATTTACCTCAGTCTTAAATATTGTACATTATATTTCCTTTATATCAGATGGAATGACTGCGCCAATCAACTATTATCGTTCTGCAATTCGAGGTTCTCTTACACCCCCTCCAAGAAGTACCAAGACTCCCCTAGAAATGCCAGTGCTGCTCATCTGGGGAGACAAAGATGGCGCACTTGCAGCTCCAATGGCTGATTTATCGGGGCAATATTGCAAGGATTTCACGCTGCAGTATGTAAATGGTGCTAGCCATTGGGTTCAACAAGATGAGCCTACTGTCGTCAATGAAGTCATGTGGGAGTTCCTCAATAGAGCATAGACTTAATTATATTTTTATTGATTTTGTGCACAAGTTACTTCAAAGTTTGTGCCAACTTATTATGAATAGTGACTGGTTTTAACATTCTTATTGAGAGATGATATCATTTTAACTGTTTTGCCATCCAAATAATTAACTATATTCTTATTGATTTTGTGCACAAGTTACTTCAAAGATTGTGCCAACTTATTATGAATAGTGACTGATTTTAACAGTCCCATTGATAGATGATATAATTATAACTGTTTTGCCATCCAAAATATTCATTGAACCGATATTTCTGATCTACTGTAGCTTTGTTTCATCAAATGTGATTGTACAGCTATTGAATTGTACTTACCCTTTTGGCCTTGGTATACACAGCTACCGATAAAATGGACCTGACAGGTGCCACAGCGTGACCATGGCAGTGCCAAGAGCTTTTTAAAATTTAAATGCTTGTGTATACCAATGGCGGCTTATAATGATATCATTCTCCATCCAATATTTTCTTGAATTGGTGAAAAAATGTTCAGATCTGCTCAGAATAATTTTTAAAATGAGAGAAGAGGTCCAGGTAAAGAACACTAAAAGCCTCACATATTCTCATGTCTGGGTATTTGCAATTAAAATACAATTGGGAGCTAAATTTTAGGGCTTTGACAATGATATATTAAAACAGAAAGCAGTTTCAAAAAGGTTGACAATTATTTTAATGTTTTATTATTGCCTTTATGCAGTCACATTTTCAATCTGGTCAAATTGTGTTATTACAACTAAAATATTGTATTTTGTGTCTTGAAATATTATTTCAAAATTTTTGACTTCAATATGATTTGATTTGATTTTTGTCAATGGATTGTTCTATAGGATGGATAATTATCAAAGGAATGTCAATCACATACAAAATGTATAAAATATATAATATAAAATATATGAATGAATGTCTAGTCCCGTACATTACTGCTTATATGGGACATTTACTAAATGTAATTTTAAAACATACACATTACAATACATGTATGTGCCAAATAAATCCCTGTGAATTTTGTGAACAGCATGTTAAAGATGTAGAAATCTTTGCTTTTTGCAAACAGATATTTTTATTTTACATATTTGTATTATGTACACAATAATACTATATAAGTGTTGTTAGAGATAATTACTTATAAACGCCTCAGTTCTACTTAATCAAGTGCCTGATCAGATATTCTATTTTGTAATATGTTTTTTGATTATAACTCAGCTGTTTAAATGAAAAACTGAATAAATAAATTGTATGAGAATCACTATGTTTTTAAAGCTAGTTACTGAAGTCTTACAACAATTTTGTTCCACCTTTAGAATGCAAACACAAGATGGCACAATTAGTTCTTCTGGGCATCTAAAGGTGGATGCATCTCTTTAAAACCTGACCTTTCCATAAAATGCAATATTTAGACATACAGTACATGTACATTATTTTTACATTTTCATACAACTGACACTGAAACTGATTATTAATGCTTTGATATTTAGTTGCTTTTTATGGAAAGGTGCAGGTTTAAGCTTGGCTAGGTCAGTTTCAATTATTGGGCTTATGTTCAATACTCTTTAGGTAGAAAATATTGAATAACAACCCCATTGGTACACATGTGTCCTATTTAAAATACATGTAGCCGTCTGCTTGTACTTTTGAGATGTGACAATTAAGATGATACTGGGGTACATGGATATTATTTCATCTGTCAAGTGTGTGGCAGTGCATCACTTTTATTATCACACTTAAAAGTGCAATAATTGTGATTGTTTTCCTTATTTTTGAGTGTATTTCATTTAGAAGATATTTGTTGATAAATAGCCTTATATGGTCATAAGGACTCATATAGATGGCAGTTCATTAGTTGCTGCTATGGGCTGTTCTTCAACTCTGTCCCATTGGTTTGTCTGTAAATATTGCAGTTTTAAAACTAGAAATAACACTATATTCATCAAACATCAATTTTTCTCTTCGTAATCTTTGTATGTTCAGTATCAAGGTGTTAGGTATATTGTCAATAATTCTATTTGGAAGGATTTTGAAGTAATTTTGAGAGATATGAATTAAACTGAGTTCTTTACCATCTACTGGCAGTCCTTAATGTCACCATTTGACTTAAAACTTTATATCAGTAAAGAAACACCTGCAGAATGATAAATTCCTGCAGAAGTCCATGCAGAAATACGACCTTAAAGTGCCAGCAAAGACGAGTGAGTGTAAAATGTTGAATGCAATCTTTAAAAGTTTATTTTCTATAAAAGGAATATTGAGACATCTATAAATGTCAGTGACATCAAATACTTGTATAACACTAGAAGCATCCAAATTGAATAAAATTGAAAAGGGGGTGAATTTTTAAAATTTTGCCAGAGAGTAAGATTAGCCATCTTCCAAATAAACATGTTAGTATTCCCTTTATCTTTATCTTAAAAAATCATCAAGCATTTTCATGAAAAATAGAAGTCGAATATCAGACTTGCCAACCTAAAATGAAAAATTTTCAGGAGATTAAAAAAAAATTGCGGTACTTTTACGGGAGTTTTTTTCAAAATCCGGTCGTTTTTAAAAAAAAGCGGGAGTTTTTACGGGAGATTTTTGAAAAATCAGTATTTTTTACGGGAGATTTAAAAAAAACGGGAGTTTTTGCCGTAAATTTTGAAAAAAAACGGGAGTTTTACGGGAGATTTTGAAAAAACTGGAGTTTTTACTGTAGATTTCTGAAAAAACTGGAGTTTTTACATTATATTTTCAAAAAACTGGAGTTTTTACGGTAGATGAACGGGAGTTTTTACGGTAGATTTTGGAAAAAATGGGAGTTCTTACGGTAGGTTTCTGAAAAAACGGGTGTTTTTACGGTAGATTTTGAAAAAAAACGTGAGTTTTTATATACGGTAGATTTTGAAAAAAACTGGAGTTTTTACTTTTACAATCTGCGTGAGGTTCCATTTTTAGGTTCGATTTTTTGCGCATGAGCATTAAATCCAGCGATTTAATTAGTTGAAATTATTATGACGGATGCGCAGTTGATAAATTAATTAGAACTTATAATCTAAGATAGATGTCACTTACGATCATCATTTCACAGCAGTCCCTACCCATAATGCGCCTTATATTGCGGGAATATTTTGTTTAGCGCCATATAAAAACAAAATGTATTCTCCCGACAGAAGTATGACAGAATATGAACTGGCCCCCGTTTGTGGACTTTTGGTGTGCAAACTTATATCGAACTGATCGCAGAAAAGCAATTTGAATCATGGGAATGAAATACTTTTAAGTTATTTATTAAAGTATCTATAGTGAACCATGGGAGCCAATTCTTCTTGGAGTAAAAGAAAGAAGCGTGCCTGCAATAATCAAGGTCACAAAGTCAAATTCCTTTTAAATACGGTAGATTTCGACAGCAAAAAACGGAGATTTTACGGGAGTTATACCAAGAATACGGGAGATTTTACGGGAGATACCAGAAAATGGAAGATTTTACGGGAGTTATACCAAGAATACAAAAATTATGGGAGATTTTAGTAGAAATACGGTACAGGAGTTTTTACGGGAGAAAACGGTATGGGAGTTTGGTATTTTTTACGGAAAAACAAAATTTACGGGACATTCCCTTAAAAAAACCGGAGGTTGGCAAGTCTAGAATATCCTGGAAGCAAGATGTCCATTTTAATATTTCAAGAAAATGCTAAATTAAACTTATTTTACAATTTTTATTGTCCCCACCATGTCACATTGTTCAGCATTTTGGCTTTTGTAACAAATGGCAGGTGGTGACATTTTGCATGTGAATGCCTTGTTTAAAATCAGTTGTCCTGGCTTGATGGTCTCAAGATGGCCTAACAGAAGAAATGTGTTATTTTGAAATATTCTGCTATTCTGTCTTTCAATACTAACTGCCCTTTAAATCAAATCCCATTTTGTTTCAGGAACTGCAATTACTGAATTACCAGAATTAGGACAAGAAACTGCAATAAGCATAATAATTAAGCTGCAATATGCATAAGCTGCAATAGGTATACAGTAGCTGCAATAACTGTTGTTATGAAGGTGAGAAAATATATATAGAAAATAGTATATTTTTAAAAATTCTTTAAAAGTTCTTGTTTTGATACATTTCCTTGTTAGTGAAATAGTTTTCACTAATGAACTAAAGTCTAACTAAAACTGTTATAAAGCTATAAATGTCCATTTTATTCACAGAAAACATACTGTATGTTAACTGATATAGATTTCATTAATGACGTAAGGTCTTTTAACTAAAACTCTGTTATAAAGCTTTAAATGTCCATTTTATAAAACATAAACATATGTTAAGTGATATAAGAATGTCATCTGATCAGGCCAATAGCTAGCTGGTGATAGGCTGACTTTTTAATGATATGTTAGCAAATTGCTTCTTGCATCAGTTAGTTTATTGGACAGGTTGATTTTACTTTTGCTTGTACCCTCATAATACCTGCATCTTAATATTGTATTGTACAGTCTGATGTTTCATATCTGTTAAACTAACCCTCATGTTCTGGTTTGCGCTATATGCATTAACAATACATGATATTTTCAAAATGGCAGATCACAGATGTAAATCCAATGATATTGTCCAGACTGTAGGGTTAAGTATTAATATTTGATAACGATAATTTAATAATAATAAATTATGTTAAGATAGTCTTGAGATTATCTTATTAGTTTGCAAAGTCATTTAAATTCTCTAATCAAATTGATCACGATGCTTGACTTATAATACAATTATAAGATTAGGTTAACATATTAGATATTTATTGAAAATACAGTACATGTGTACCACAATTTTAGCAGATTTCATCTATACAGTGAAATCTGGTAAGTGGAACACCTCTAGAAGTGGAACACTTCAGAAACCTAGGATTAACTGAATTACTGTTAAATGAATCTCTATAAGGGAAACACCTCCAAGTGAAACACTTTTTAGAGGTACGAAAGGTGTTCCACAAATCAGTTATGAATCTTATTTTGCTTCATTTTCTAAATTAACATAACAAATTATATAATGATATAGTACCAGGAAAACACTCATAATACTCTTGTTGTCAATAAGTTAACAGTACATTATAAAGACCAGAAGACATCTTCATAGATGAGAACTTTTTTCATGGGGTTGAAATTTTCATTACACCTTCCAATATTTTCAGTGTGAGGAAAGTAAGAAGTTATCATAACTATTCCTGTAACATGTGTAACCTTCACTTAAATGGAGGTGACTGGACTTTGCTTTTTGTTTACACAAATTTTAATTATCAATATAATCATATACAATGATCCCACCGAGGCTATGTACTTCACCTGGTCTGGTATCTCAGCATACAAACAACTCTCGTCACACATTAACCTCATTTCACCCAGCTACTCTTTGCGAGATCTCAATTTTCTCTATTCTGTTAATTAGGGATAATTGATCTGATTGGTAATTTAAGTCTGCCTATATCCAATCAGAATATGTCATCAAAAGCTCAGGATGATACATTTCATTTCCTTCATTTCAAATTCATTCTTCTGTCCAAAAAGCCATGTAGAACTGTGAAATCATCTGGTATAGTCAGAGGTTTATACGGCTAGTTGATGTGGCTCAGGGTATAAGTAGCATGGCTAAAGCCTTTGCCTCAATCTCATCTACTAATGTCATATCATTGAGATGTCATTGACCATCTTTATCCATCAAGGTATTTCTGGAATATACTGGTTTAACACTATGGTCATTGACTGCCAAGTCATAAGCTTGGTTGCATGACTGTCAATCCTGGGAGGAAGGGGTGCACTTGTAAAGGTTGATGGGGATCCTAGACTGCACCATCAAATATCAATATGTTGCCATACCTACCAGTACCAGTTAAAATGGTCTAAAACCGCTTTATCAAAAATGGGTCAAAGCCATACAATTGCTTGATATGGCCCCAGAGCAAAGCTAACTCATCGGATAACTAAATCGACGCTGTCAACTTTGTGCTTTTTCCATTCAAATCAATAGGTTCGCCCAAAGTTCACATCTGCTGGCATTTTTTCAGAAAATAACCTTTGGTTTTATGAATTATCAAAATATGTTTACTTCTAATCCCAAAACATCATGACATATAATGGAGGTGTGTTTCTGACATCCAAAGCCCATTGTATGAATATACCCCCGTCCTATGGTACATGTTGTGGCTTCCAGTACAATGCACTTTATAACTTATTTATTTGGACTGATGCCCTTTAAATAGGCCAATTATACAAATACTGCACAATCTATGCAGCCATATAGATACATTTAATGGATATGGTAATTATGCATGATCATGAATAAATACCACATCAAATTTCTTCAAAAATTACATAAATCAAAATATAGTATAAAGATCAATTAGTACCTTTTTGTATAGATATTGTAGCAATACAAGTTGTAAAAACTTTTGAGTGTTAGCTTTAAGGAAATTCTGTATCGCTGTTGTTCCAGTTTCTCTAAACAAAAATATGAACTCTTAATATTTTTAACATATATTCTGGATGCACCTGTAACTAGTGTGCCATGTCACAATGAACTAGAATAGTAGAATATACGTATATCCTGAAGTTCATTATTATCTACTTGATATTTGTTGAAGTATGTGTTTGCAACAATTTTAGGATTTATGGCCTAGTCACATAGCCCGGCCGATGAGGTTCCGATGAGCCAGCGATGCAATTTTCACCGAACTCGGCCGAACACCGGCCGGACACCGGCCGGACACCGGCCGGACATCCGTGGCGTTTGTTGCTTAAAACCGCATCGGTGGCAGCTCGGTGAAATTTTAACTTCGGAGTTAAATTTCACCGGGCTCTCACCGAGCTCCCTCATCGCAGCCCCATCGTAACCACATCAGAACACACGTCGGCCGGTGCACGGCCGAGTATCGGTCGGTGTCCCGTGCATCTGAGACAACCAGAGGACGAGGTTTTTTTAACGGACACCGGCCGAGCTCCGGCCGATGTGGGACAGAGCCTTGGAAAGTATAGTACCTGAAGATGTCCGGACGGAGTCCGTTCACGTCACCGAGCTCTGCTTCCGATGAGGAGAGCTCGGTGGCACCAAAAAAATCCACCGAGCTCTACCGATGCCGGACATCGGCCGGGCTATGTGACTAGGCCATAATTCACATCTCATACTGTACTCCCTGTATTTTTTGTGTGCGATTTAGTTTCTCGCTTTTCGCGATTGCGGTAAAATCACGAAATAGGGTTGGATGTAACTACTGTATAAAAGGTAACTTAGTTTACAAAACTTGAGGATTCAGCGAATAATGAAAGGAGGAGGGAAGTTAGCGCAACAGATTTTGGACAGTCATATGTTGGATTTTGGCCATTTTCTGAGGATTTAAACAATTGCATATGTTAGGCCAATGCATTACCTCCAGGAAAATCACTTCTAGAGATGATAAAATAATTTCGACTTTGAGACAGGGTAGATGCAAACAACCCAACCACATGTTTTTTCTGAAATGTTTTCCTAATTTTTGACCCCTTCCATCCCTGCTTTTTTAATTTTTCTTGCATCAATATGTTTCATTTTGACACATAATTAACCACTTTAAAGGAATAAGTGATTCCTTCAGGGGTTTTAAAGATACCCATTATGGGTGACCAAACTTAGCTGAAAGCAATGATTTTTCCTATGGGAAAATAACATGGGAAATATAGTTTTCCACTTTATCTAAAAGGAATCATTTATTCCTTTTAAGGGATTAACTGTGTGTCAAAATGCAACATATTGATGCAAGAAAAATTAAAAAACAAGGATGGAAGGGGTTGAAAATCAGGAAAACATTTCAGAAAAAACATGTTGGTGGGTTGTTTGCATCTACCCTGCCTCAAAATCGAAATTATTTTATCATCTCTAGAAATGATTTTCCTGGAGGTAATGCATTCGCCTAACATATGCACCTGTTTAAATCCCCAGAATGGCCAAAATCAAACATATGACTGCCCAAAATCTGTTTGAACTTGTGAAAACCTTGAAATTTAATAGCCGCAAAAATTGCGATTTCTCAAAATTCAATTAACCGGGAGTACAGTATATCAGTTTCAATCTTTATGACCATTTTGCCATTGCAGATTTTTCATCAAAATGAAAATGCTCGTAATTGCAACAATATTCAAAAGTGATTATTAGAACAAGTGACACACATACATGTACATATATAGGGTGTCTCAAAAAAATGTACCCAAAAGTATATCAACACCATAGACAAACCAATCAATATTTTCAGACATTTTTTGCATGGTCTTGTAGATAAAAGATGAAAGATGAAAGTTTTTTCCCCTATACACAGTTTTTAATTCAGTTTTACCCTTTTGAGGGTAATCTCATATTTCGATGACAGTCTGCATCCTTACTAGTGGTGCAACTCGAATGCCAGTTACATCGATTATGTGGTGTAAAAGGTAAAGGCTTAATGCATCAAAAAGACAAGACTGGAATTAAAATGGTTTGTTGGGGAGAAAACTTTCATGTTTTGGCTACATGACCATGCAAAAAATGTCTGAAAATATTGATTGGTTTATCTGTGCTCTTGATATACTTTTGGGTACACCCTGTATATGTGCTTATGCTTGAATGTACATTTAAGCAGTTCAAAGATCATATGCTGATTTATTAATCATATTCAAAATGATAAATTTAAGTGACAAATTAACAATTGTACATGTGTATGCATCTACAGTGCTTGACACTTGAGAATATAAATTAGTTATTCCACAATGATAAATGCTTCTCAATGCCTGTCTCCAAAAAAGGAGGTCCAATAATGATGCTCCCCTCTCTCCAGACCCAATCAAAATTACCCCATATACATTATTTGTCATATGGATTTGAATGTGGATTTAATGACATTTTTATCCATAATTGAACAGTCCTTGTCAGTAGATTTTTTTTTGGGGGGGGGCTGGGGGTCGGGCTGAGAAACCTGATATCAGACTTTTGATCATTATGATTAATGCGTTTAATACTACTGTATAATGATTTTCATCAATCCGATTGTTAAATTGCGATATGTTGATGTAATGTGATATTAATGATGTCATATTAACTTAAGAGGCAGTATATTATAAGAGAGGTGTTGCCAGTATAGGCCAGCCAACAGTATTTTTATAACAGGAAATGCATTTTATAGTTATCCAATCACAAACAGTTGTTTTATCAAAAAGGAATATGACAATGAGGAAATAAATTACTATTGGTTGCTGGTTCAATATCATAAAACTTATGTTGAACAGTTTAAGAGATACCACAGGGTGCTTCAGGGGTTGGCTCAAAATAGCAATGTTCAACAAATAGGTCAGGCCCGTAGCCAGGATTTGCCAAGGGCGGGGGGGGGGGGGTCAGTTTTCAATAATTTCCAGGGGGGGTTCACTTTTGACAATTTTGGCCCAAATATGGCTAAAATCACACAAGAAGTGCTCAAAGTGGTGAAAAACTGCATGATTTTGAAAGAACTTTTGGCCTTGGGGGGGTTCGCTCCGACCCAGCGAACCCCCCCCCCCTGGCTACGGGCCTGTATGTGTACTTTTTAGATAATATGGTGAGCCTATGGTATCCCCCATGCTGTCCATATACCCAAAGAAATAATATTCTATGGACTTTTAAACATTAACCCGATCCCTAATCATGATGAGACTTATCAGTAATACCATACCACTTGTTTTGTATGCTGAATTTTCTATTTCAACAGGTCATATTTTACCACTCAATTAGAGTTGTGGCTCCAAAGTTTAAAATGTATATTAAATCAAAGTTTAAATCCAAACTGCATTCTAAATTGGCAAGGATCGAGCAAAGACGTTTCAACGATATGAAACATTTTATAACATCATATATCTGGACTAAAGGAACTTATGCTATTCCAGTTAACTCTGTTTTTCTTAATTAAAGTGGGATACAGGTGTTAATAGCATGAAATAATCATCTGTCTCTTAAAGAGTTCATTCACTAAGGAAAAACAGAAAAGGTACATTCATATAGGATAATGAGCGCTACCAGTGATTACATTGCCGGTGCAGTTGGAGGTATGATTTATCTTTTTTTACTTATAATTATATCAATTTTGATGTACTGTATAATTTTCCCTCCACAGATTTTTAAAATTAATGAAAAATTCTCAATTTGCCTATTGCATACATGTATATTTCTTTTATTGACAATTATATCAAAATATGAAAATGTTTTATATCCTGTTTTTGGCTCTCACTGAAATATTTCCCTATGTGTATTCTCAACTCATTGGCACCTGAAAGAAAAGTTCAAAGTGTTATTTGCTTGAACTTTTGATTTGAAGTTATGCAATTATGTCAGTTCTATAAAGGAGGCAAGGAATAAATGTGCAAAGACATTGATGGCAGAATAGCAGAAGATTATATTTCAACCACCAAGGCTATTTATGCAAATACATTTACTATTCCATATATATCATATGTTTCTGAAAGCATATTGTTTATATTATGAAGTTAATGTGTTTGGAAAATTGAGAAATAACATAATCTGAATATTTTAATATTCTCACATTTGACCTTAAATATCAGCTTATTTTAATCCATTACATTTATTTTTGGAAATATTTATATAACATTTATTTTTCATGATACAATGTTCTCATTACAGTTAATTATTTTTAGAATGTTTATCACTTACCCTATATACATTGGCTTATTCATATAAACCTATATATACGGTAAGATTAAAATGCAAAACAAATCATACAGTAATAGGGGTTTCATCAGAAGCAGACACTTCTGGTTGTTTTTACAAATATTGTCTGTTGTTTTCATTAATTTTGCAGCTGTTTACATTTTAAAGATATACTTACATGTACGGGGTGTCAAATAAATATATCCCCCCTTAATTTCACAAGAGTATGAACTTTTGTGCATAAAAGTGCATCTAGTTGAGCTAGTCATCTGGAACTTCTTGCAGAGTTGCTCCACGAAGCCTAGTTTTAATGTGCTTAAGAATAATTCAGATATGATGCAGACAAAAAAGTTATGCAACAATATTTGGATGTTAAAGTTAAGAAGGGAGAACATATTTATTTGATAGTCTGTATAATGATCTTGCTTGTTGTTTCATTCATTTAGCTTGTTGGGTATTGAAATGAAACTCTTGTGCAAATAAAATAGCATGCACCCGTGGCAAAAGTGAATTTTTAGTATTTATCTGACAGAATGATCACTTCCTTGGAATAAATGATTAAAGCATACAATTTACTGATTTTTTTCTGTTTCTCTGACAAAAAACAAATCTTTATGTCGTATTCAAGTCAGTATCCCTTTTGAGCCTTTGGGCCTCTATAGATTATGAGACACAATTTAAATGCTTACCATTTCAAAGATAAGAATGTGTATTGTAAAATACATATTGAATAGTAAATGTCATGTATATTCCATCTTATTATGTTTTGATATGTTTCATTATTTAATATTATGTGAAATATAAATGTGCATTTTTATAGAACTATTTTCTTTTATTTACAGGATGTGCTGGGTTAGTTGTTGGCCATCCATTTGACACTGTGAAGGTGAGTAAAAGGACTCGGTCCCCTAGAATGTTTCTCTGTTTCTTTGCTACAATGGCGATTTAGCAAGTCATTTTGTATATATGCATTTATGAATGAAATTTTAGTAAAAATAGCATGGCGGTCAAGCCCCTTTTACTCCCCCCCCCCCCTTCCACCCACTCTATGTGTATTCTAAGTTTGAGAGAAGGGGGTTAAGGTGATTGACTTACAGGTAACAGTATTGATAAAACATTAGCTACATCCTGCCCTATTTTTTTGATTGATCATCCACAAAGTGTTATTTCAAGTAGAGTTATCACGATTGTGTAGTTAATCACAATATTTTGACATTGTTGCAGAAATTTGAACTGTCATTGTATCTCTAATTTGTCACTCTACAGTGATAAGTAACTTCTTAATATCAATCAACTTGTCTAATAAATGTGGCTGATATACTTTTGCAATGTGACTAAGAATGTGTGTTTCATTTTACATAATTAACCAAAAACAAGTGTATGTGAGGCTTAATAGCTCTACACTCTAATTTCTCGAATTTTGAGAATTTTGAGAAAAACACGATTTTACAGCTATTAAATTTCACAGATTTCATAAGTTAAAAACTCATTATTCTCTGAATCATAATTGCTGAAGAATATGAGATAAAGTATACCCCCCCCCAAAAAAAAAGAGATGAGACATCATAATAAATATGAGGACTTTAGGATCACTTGGTAATCCCCTCCCTATTGATCTTGATTAACTTATTAATATGGAAGTATGTTCCAGATTTAAAAAATGGTACCAAAAGTGTTTTAAAATTGATCAGTATATGTATCAGTATATGTATCAGCATGAGGTTTCATATTAAGTGATAAGCTTGATTTTAGAATGTCATAAAACAATACCTTTTTTTCTAAGTTATTCTAAGTTATAGCAAATAAGCCTTATTAAGTTCAAACCAATTGAAAATGGTTTGCCTTTCAGAAGCATATTTTGACAGTTTTCTCCTAAAATATGTCATTACATATTAAACATATTTTGGCAAGACACAGTACTTCTACTTAATTTTGTGGTCGTTTTGATTTGGCAGATCCGCCTAATTGTTAAAGTCTGCCAAATTAAGAAGCCATCAAATTCAATATTTCATACTTGAATTGTAAAGCATAGTATATACATTTTAATATTGCAAGTTTGCCAAATTAAGTACATTTAGTCACCAAATGTTCAAAACAACAAATCCGCCAAAATAAGTAGTACCAAATCAAGTAAAAGTACAATATGTATCATTGTTTTTTCAGTTAAAAACCAGTTTTGGACAATTTTTCTTTAATGTAATGTAATTCGAATGATCTATTTCAATTATTCCTTCATCAAAATGGCACATTTGCAATGTCTTCCTCACTTTTATAACCTGAACTTTTTCTTTCAGATTTTGCTTCAAACGGAGGCGAGGGGAATAAGCACATGGGCAACATTGAAAAATGTCACACAGCATGGATTGGTGAGTCAAAATATTTTATATTATTTATTAAAGGTAAATAAGACTAAGCCTGCAAAAACACATACATTCTGATACCCATCACATGTTTCTGCCTTCAACTAGAATTATAGAAAGAAGCTAATACTGTAGAAGGCCATGATTTCTCATGATGGGAAACATGGGCATTAAGTGTGGAGCCAATGGTAATTTTGAATTACTACATGTAAGCAATGTTGAGTCTTCAGTATATCCATAGAACTGTATATCCATAAAACTGTGTGCTTGACTCATACATCTGCTAGAAAGGAAATAAAATCCATGACATAACCCCCAACTGTGTAGATGTTTTCAACATCCTGTTTGAAATAGTTTTACATTGATTATGGAAGTAAAATATTTTTCACAAGTGCAATTCATGTTTTCAGATGCAAGGCTACTTCAGAGGTCTAGCTTTCCCTCTTGCATCTTATGGTCTCCTCAACTCCATTCTGTTTGGGGTATATGGAAACAGTTTGCGTCTTATGACCCCTCTTGCTGCCACTGGCCATGTGGAGAAAAGTTACCGTGATATATTTATGGCAGGCTGCATAGGTGGAGCTGCTCAGCTGATCCCAGCATGCCCAATTGATGTCGTGAAAATCACACTCCAAGCTCAAATTGCTGAACATGGTAAGTTTTTTGGTACTTGTAGAAAATAGGAAATTCACCCTATGACAATTTTAAAATTTTGGGATTAATAGATCACATTTTTAAGTGTCCAATCTACAGGGAGTATGGATTCTGATTTGAAAGTTTATTTAGACATCAATAGGTGGAGCAAACCAAAAATTTATTATGAGGAATAAATGTTTCATTTTTTATTTACATTGTACTCGTAAAACATGACTTTTACTATGAATTAAAACGAATCATTGCTTCTGTTCAAGGTAAAGGGAACAATGGTAATGGTCAGTTTTTCAAAGGACCTGTGGAAGCTATTGGTGCCATCTACAAAAAACATGGATTCCGTGGCTGTTTTAGAGGGCTCCCTGTCATGGCGATGCGAGATATCCCTGCCTTTGGTTCATATCTGTTAGCCTACGAATGGATGTATGACACATGCAACCTTCACCATTGGCTCAAAAATAAGGAAGCCTCAAAAACATTACTCGCAGGTGGAGTCGCAGGATTGTGCTCTTGGACATTTACTATGCCTCTAGATGTCGTAAAAAGCCGCATGCAAGCTGATTTAAATGGGAAATTCAAGAACATTCTTGACTGTGTTGTTAAAAGCTACGCAGAAGGAGGATTTAGAATCTTCTTTTCTGGATTACCAGTGGCTTGTCTTAGGGCATTCCCTGTCAATGCAGTCACATTCCTTGTCTATACAAAAACATTGAAATATCTGAACGATGGTGAATCACCTTTTGGGAGAAAAGTAAAAGCGGAAGAACCTCAAGACAACACACCTGATGAACTTAAACACAAAATCAAAGAAGTGTCATCAAGTTCAACAAACATGAAGACAGATATACGTGAAAATTCTGTTCCAAATCCTTTAACAATAATGAGCAAAATGACACTAGAAGAAAAACACCAATGGTATGTGTATACAGAGTCCCTGGGGGGAGGAGACAGCATACAACTATGTAATAATATTTCAGAAGTCTAATAATTACCAAACAGTAGATGAACATAGTGGGCTTGTAATATTGAGTGTTCATCAAGAGTAACAGGCCATTACAGTAAACTACCGGTATGGAGTATCTGATCATAATTCAAGTTACATTTTTCGGAGAGGCCTGGTTCAGCTTTTCCCAAGGGGAGGGGGTCACTTCTAAAAATTCAAAAAGTCACTTGAAAAGTGCTCAGAATGGTGAAAAACTGTATGATTTTGAAAGAATCTTTGAAATAAGCCCTTGGCAATGGGCCTGGAGGCGGTAAAGGCAGGTGGGTATAATGGCCAATTCCTTTCAGTAAGAGGTGTATTTGCACTATTAGAGTACCTTACCATGTCAGCTAATTCATGACATCATAGATCTTGAAATTCAAAGTTAACCAATAAATGATGAAATTTACTGGGTGGGTCGTTTCTGACTGCAGTATATCATACCTTTGTATTTTGCTTATTTTAAATATAACGCACAAAAGACAATGTTGTACATTGACAGTCCAACTGCAAATGCACGATTCACATAAATCAGGAATACTGATTGAATAAATTATGATCAAATAGAAATTAAGTTCTGCCTAGTTATTAGGATGTCTTTTGGAAAAGTTTCAACATTGATTTTCTAGATTTTCTTTCTCTAGGCCAATCTATGTACATGTACGTGACATTCTACTTTTTTCAGCTTGATTGCCTTGCTGTTTTAAAGGATTTCCTAAAATTGTGTAATTGTGAAGCAAGTAAATGGAGATGCATTTGCCATATAAAGTAAGGGTTCTGCGAGTTGTCTGCTTTTATTAATTTCCTTAAAAGGACATTAGTGAAAACCAGAAATATCTGGTTTTAATCTGTATTAAGACCTGGGTACAAAATGCAGTATTTCTATGGATCGTTTTAGATCCATTTAAGTTGATCATTGTGTTCAGTTGGCATAAAATACAGGTTGTTCGAATATATAGAGAAAATAGAAAGAGACTTGTGAGAAATAGATAGATAGAATTTGCAGTATTGGGGAAAGTTCAAAATAAAGTAACTATCATTTATTTTGATAAACTGCTTAATACTTTCCCATTTTACACATTGTTTCAATTTCTGTGATATTTATATAAATGTAGCATAATAGGTGGTTGCTCATAATTGTATTACGAGAATCTGTCAGGTTACTGATACACCCCCCACCATCTTTCCTGTTGGACAACATGCCAAAGCCTGGATATGTTTGGCAATTAAAAACATTTCAGAACAAGAGTAATTGAGGAAAAATCAAAAGATAAACAGGTTTTATTCAATAGGGAGTCTGTGTTGCCAAAATTTTGGAGGGAAGTTTACTTACCAAATCCATGAGTTTATTATATGTGCACACACTAACTATTAAGGGGTAGTGGTGGGACATTTCTTAACAGAGTTTCCAAGGTGCAGAGCTGTCTGCATTTTATTAGGTGCAGGTTTCACTCTAACCACTTTAAGCCTCAGACATTTGCTCTAAGGCGACCATACAGCAGCCATAACTTCAAAAAACTGATATAGAAAATCTACATTGTACTGTTATCGCTATATTTTATGCTACATATTTCTCTTGATTTTGGGAATCTACGGCTGCTGTACAGTTGCTGGAAAATCAAACATGACCGAGGCATTACCAATTGTCATGAGCATAACCAAATGAGCATAATAGTATTGACCAAAGTGATGCCAGTTCATACATTACAATATAACTGCACATCAGTACATCTTTTCAAGAGGGGGAAATGTTTTTAGCCTTGGCCCTCCTCAATTAATGTACTGTGTTAATGCTTACATTATGCAAAAATGTGAACTAATAAAAAATGGTTAATATCCAAAAATACTTTGTATCAAAGTTGCCTTATCTCAATAATGCAAAAACAGACATGATTTATTTTAAGTATCAACATGTATTATTTTTATAAAACCTATTAAGCAATAAATAATGATAAATATAAAATAAATTATTTATATAGTTTTATTTACATCATTGTTTTGTAGAGTATGTTCAGAGATGACAGTAAAAAGATCGCCTGTGTATAGTGCTGACTAACAAATATCATTGTTGTATTCATGGTGGCTTGTTTAATAACATTGCAAACTTGAAGTCTGTTTCACATTCTCCATATAAATACTCAACTGGGTGTAACTTCTCAGTTTATTTTCAAGTGACAAAGTACAGAAGTAAAGAATTAATATTATAAGTTATTGAATAATTTGAAGTGCAATACAGGATATATTCTGCTCGAGAAATTTTGTATTGGAACGAGATGAAGTCGAGTGCCAATACAGAATATCGAGGCAGAATATATCCTGTATTGCACCTCAAATCATTCAATAACGTTTTTATCGGGTGATCCTCTGTATTGCTATTGAGACTGTCCCCTCCGTACCAATATTTTCCGTATTGCGACGGGGATGATCAACGGGGACATTCTCAGTAGCAATACAGATTGGTACAGCACAAGAACTGACCAATCAGAGGGCTTCATTTTGCAGATCATACGATAATTTCTGATACAGGATCTGATAAGTATTTTTTAAAAAATCAATTATATTCACTGTTTAGTTCCCAGGGAAACCATGTTATTAAAAGGGGTTATTTACTGGGAGAGATTCAATATGGGTTTTATTCTAAGGTTCAATATGATATTCCCGAGGGCCGTAAGGTACCAGTATATAAGCTTTTTATTCCATAATACTACTGTTTTCCCAGGGAAATATGAAGGAATAAAAATCGTATTGAATCGTATTACATGAAAAAATCGTATTGTCCCCGGGAAAAAATCGTATTGGAGCGTATTACATGAAAAAATCGTATTGTCCCCGGGAAAAAATCGTATTGGAGCATATTAACCTATTTTCGGTTTCCCGGTTATTTTTTCCCAGTTATCTGCATTTTCCAAATGTAGCATTTTAGAGGGGTGTATTATGGAATAAATAGGTTATTTCTGGTCGGGATTGAATATGGGTTTTATTCCTCGGAAAATATGATATTGACCTTGGGCTATATGATATTGACACTCGGTCGCTGCGCTCCCTCGGTCAATATCATATTACCCTTCGGTCAATATCATATTGTCCCTCGGAATAAATCTCATATTCAATCCCTCCCAGTAAATAACCTATATTTATCCCATGAAATTATTAATTCAATATCCATATCTGATATTTGTATGAAACAAAACCAGACCCTATTATTTAGTCTACAAAATATGACTTGATGACATTTTAAATGTCATCAAGTCATATTTTTGAAATATGAACATTTTACTGTATAACATAAACATAAACCAATATAAAAAATTCAACAATATGGTGTACATGTACAAGTTCATCAAGGCATTCACTTATTGCTCAGCTTTCTATGACATTAACTGTGTCAGAGCATGATGATGAAATTACAATTCCCCTTCTATTTGTTTAATAGGCTTTTAAAGCTTCATTCTCCTTATGTTTCAAAATCTCTATTTTGAAATTTGTTGGGAAAATATGTTTCTCACATAAGAACATCATTAGAGCACGCTCTATCGACCAAACTGAACGAAATAGGAAGCTTTGTTAATCAAAAATACCCGGGTGGTGAATACCATTTTCATGAGCGGCATTGAGAAGTGAATATGATTTTCGTGAGTGGGATTGGGTGGGGCAATATGATTTTTTTCAATTTCAAAAATATTCCCAGGTGTTATTCACCGGAAAGTAGTAGTATGATGGGATAAGATATTATAAATATAAAATTTTAAACAATATGAACAAGATTCATGTCACACCCACCTGCCTGCATGCACAAAGAGCACTGGCACAAGATAATAATAACAATAAAGCTCTTTTCAAAGCAATAGATATACAACAATAAACCAATTATAGAAACACAAACAAATCATACTTTACATTATACTGACAATAGTTCTTTATTGCAACACAATTCGCTATTATACAAATGATACAAAACCTACAATAACATTTGCATGTTTCAAAAGTAACACGACCATATTCGTCACAGTTCTAACTCAGTTGAATAAAGTAAAACGAGAATTTTTGCAGAATAGATACTCATGTTTCACGGGGGTAAAGCAGACCCGATGATACAATGAGCTTGCTCGGCGGTATCATGACTGTGTAACGGGTCTTGATGTATAAGTGAGCTCGGCGGTAGGTTCAAACAACTCGGATCCTCAAAGCATATGCTCATGGTATCATCGTGGCTTAACACCCGTGATGTTTTATTGAATAAAAATTTCAACTTGACCAAAATTGGTCTTCATAAAAAAATCTTCAATACAAAAATATCTAATTTTACAGTACTACTAAATGAATTAAAAGGGATGCATATGGTCATTTGAGATTATTTACAATATATACATTACATTACTACGTATATCTAAAATTAGTTATTTACTTCAAAATTGAAAAAACATCAGCAAATCACATTCCATTTTTATTTGAAATGAAACCCTTAGTAATGTCAATAAACAGCTTTTTAAGTATTTGTGCATAGATGCAATCTGGATTTAAAAAATGGCAGGAAGTTTCAATGCTTTTTTGCTAGTTGACTTCTTCGGTTGAAATCATTAGGAATTACAAATAACTACAAAAAAGCAATCATTCCCTTGCATTTGGAGATTTCCTAATTTACTTCTACTAATTATTAAAAGTTACGGTGTTATGGTTTAAAATGAACACATTCAACAATTGTATACTTTAAAATATAGCAAATTATGTACATATTTTTGACATATACATGTATATGTACATATAATGATAAGATTAATTTTACATTGTAATTACTGAAACATATGAAACACTCCAATCAAATATTAAACCATCGAGTATCACATTCTATTTTCACCACACACTGTCAATATAACCCAATAGTATAGCCTTCACTGTTATGAAGTGCAATATTGGCAATACAGTACAACATTCTCAATATAGCCCATCATCGTCAATATAGCACAATATTGTCAATATAGCACAACATTGTCAATATCGCACAACATTGTCAATATCGCACAACATTCTCAATGTAAAACAACATGTAGTTGACAGAATAACTCATTATTTTTAAATGCTTTTGAAATTCGGCCAATTGCTTAAATTAATTGCTAACCGAAGTACACATACACCCCCAATCCGCACTCTAAAATAATGGTATTATACGGTACATTATAAATATGGTACCGTACAGTACCTTTTTCAAAATGGTATCATACAGTAAGATTGGCTGTGTACACACTACATATGTATAATTTGCACAATATTCAATTTTAAAGTCCAAAGACCTTACACTGTTACACGCCATTACATAACATTACAAACTCTTGATCATATGTAAACTCTTGATCATATGTTGGGAGATATTGACAGCATACAGGATATTTGAATCACCTAATATATTATAATCTATTTTATCATATCACATTACATGATTCCATATCATATAACTCAACAATTTCATTCACAATCAAGTCTACCAACTATTATAGTTGACACTTGATCAATTATATTTACAATAGTTTATTTACATTTGTATTTATTGTATGTTAGTTTCGCAATGCAAGTGCGATAATAGACTCAACAAATTGATCATGAATGTCCAGTAAAGGTAATCTGTGTCAAGTTTGCTTTTTTCTCGTTTGAGTTTTCATGCATGCAACAAAATCAATTGACATCATGAGATAAATTCGGTGGTACATGTATTACAACTTTCAAAAAAAAAAGTTTTTATTCCTGTAGTGATATATAGAGATTATTTAATGGGAGGTTTTTGATACAGGGTAAATCTGAGGGAAATACAATAATATCTACCCGAGGGACTGTTGGGACCGAGGGTTGATAGATTGTATTTACTGAGGGATATATCCTGTATCAAAAATCGAGCATTTATAACTGATTTATTCTATACTTAGTAGATTATGAGGGATAATAGCCAAGTCCCCCAGCTCAGCATCAACTCCCTGAATTTGTGACGTCATAGATCTGATGAGCGGGTGATATCAGTGGGTGATATATATCACCTGCTCACATCACATATCAAATTATATTCCCGCATGTTATTACCTATAACACTACTAAGTATGGAATAAAAATTAGTACTCTAATGTCTAGATCCTGACACTTTTATTAATGATATTACTTTGGATTAAACATATTTAGTTGACCAAGTTATTATCAATACTTGCAATATATTTACAATAGTTTATATACAATTGTATGTGTTTTATGGTAGTTCTCAGTTCTGCAATGGTAAATGGTGGTTCAATCACTGGTAATCTGATACAACATATCTACCAGTTGCTCGGTAGGTAATTCATCATCTAGGTTACAGTTTTTACAATTTAAAGTTTTTCTTCAGTAATATACAGTGTAGGTAGAATAAGTTAATATGATTATAAAAGTTCATAAATTTCTAAAATCTATTGAATAATCCATTGTCTGATTCATAAGAAATTGAGTGATGCATTAGTACATCATCCCTAAAGCATTGTATAGTCTTGTATTGTGGGATATATCAGTCAAACATACTGGCTCTGAGGCACAAAGGTTCCTGCTCACTCCCCTATTAGAGAACTACATTTCACATTTTTGATTTGGTAAATGTTCAAACATACAGCAGGCACCATCTACAAGGCACCATCTACTGTTTTACACTAAATTCTAAAGTACATAATTTTTTATAGAAATCGGTTGATTTGTTCACTAAAAGTGCTGAAATAATTTATTCTTTCAATAACAGGACTAGTTAGGTGATCTGGTAGCTGATGAAATGGATAACATGTGAAATTTTATGCAAAACCACACTTCTAACCGGACTGGGCATTTTAGGATTCACAAAGAGCTGGACATAATGCTGAGCTGGCTAACACATATAGCTCTATGCCTTAGAAATGACACTGCCAGCCATACTCATGGTATCAACAGGTCTGGCTAGTATCCGTGAAAACCTGAGGAAGACCCCTCAGTCCAACCAGAACAACGGCAACGCCAAAGCGTAGCGAATCCCATCGAACAGAAATGGCTGGCATTTTTACAAACGAATAGCACTAAATATCATAAAACAACACACCAGAAAGGCCACCATTTTCAAAATGGTTGCTCACTAGCCAAGTTGTCGAGAAATAATATGCTTTTAAGTAGCCACCTCTAAAATTTTTGAAAAATCGCACATGTACTTGTAAAATAACACACATAAAAATGGTGGCCATTTTTCAAAATGGCTGACTACTCCCCAAAGTTTTATTAGACAATGTGCCATGCTTAAAGTATTCACATATCAAATATGAACAAAATCGCTCCACTACTTTTCGAGTTATAGTAAAATATGTTAAAATGGCGGCCATTTTTCAAAATGGCCACCTTCTACCAAAAGTGTAATTAGAAATAGATAGTGTGCCATGCTTATAGTATTCACATACCAAATATGAACAAAATCGCTCCACTACTTTTCGAGTTATAGTAAAATACATTAAATGGCGGCCATTTTGAAAAATGGCCGCCTTCTACCAAAAGTGTCATAGGACAGTGTGCCATGCTTATAGTATTCACATACCAAATATGAACAAAATCGCTCCACTACTTTTCGAGTTATAGTAAAATATGTTAAAATGGCGGCCATTTTTCAAAATGGCCGCCTTCTACCAAAAGTGACTTTAGACAGTGAGCAATGCTTATAGTATTCACATACCAAATATGAACAAAATCGCTCCACTATTTTTTGAGTTACAGCAAAAATCGTAAAATGACGAGTAAAGGACGCCATTTTTCAAGATGGCTGCCATGTGCTTCTTTAATATCTACATTTGTAGCATTATTAATGCCCCTTATAATTTTTTTACATTTAAAACATATTGCTATTACAGTTTTACATATTGCACCTAAATTACTGTAAAATCGGCACTAAAATGGCCGCCATTTTGAAATGAGCGGCCATTTTGAAAATCGGCTTTCGAGCAGAACTTCTACCCCCATAGGGTATATGTATACAAAATATGAACAAAATCGATCCAACTGTATTTGAGTTATTGCCCGGACGGACGGACGGACGGACGTACGGACGGACGGACGGACGTACGTACGGACGGACGGACAGACGTACGTACGGACGGACGGACGGACGTACGTACGGACGGACGGACGGACGGACGGACGGAGGCGTTCCCTATATCCCTCCGAACTTCGTTCGATGGGATAATAATGACCAGATGTTACACACAGATTTCCAATATATTTGCACAAATGCATAAGTGGGGAGGGCATTTCTCGTGTGCAGAAAAATAATGTTAGTATAGTAAATGCATAATGTCCTAGATACACGTGTTATTGGATGGAAAAATATGCCTTTCATTAAAACAATTTCTTCGTGCAGTACTTGACCAGTCAGTCTTTACAGCTGCTTATGATTTGGTGTATCATACATCCATCTTTGTTACACTTTTCCTTGTATATGTACAGAGTTACATCTCCTTTGATTTAACTTTGCATCCATGTCATGTATTAACTTTATTTATCTAATCAACTCCTTCAAATCCTTCTGCATTCTCAACTGCTTGGATAAGTTTGTTTCGTAAAATGTCATATGATTCATACGGTGGAAGGTCTATACGATTAAAACTGGAAATAAACAATGAGATAATTGTACATTTTTTACATTTTTACTTTTGTGGCATTATTGATTGTGTTTGACCAATGAATATGATTGATAGATTTATATAAAATAAAAGACCTTTAATCAAAAATAAGCCAAAGGTGACATACTAATTAAGGACATAAACAATATGGGAAATTCTTAATACATAATAATATCTTACATACAGAGGTACATTTTAGTATATCATTTACCAGTAGAATCCAGCAACTAGAAAGACAAGACATAAAAATTCAAAATGTCACCAAATGCCATTCGTTACAGATGCCAAATGCTGATACAGATATTGAAGACCAACCGCCAAACACTGGCCATCAAAATTTGGGGACTACAACAATATGTAACCACTTCTGATGGTGACATAAACCAATCCCCTCCCCCACTCTCTATTTTCTATTTTCCTACCCTGAGGGAGAAAAATCCGAAAATGGGGGAGGGGACAGTAGAATGAGAAAAAACACCTTATTTACATACCATGTATGTGCTCGTGGGAACTGTTTTGGTATTCCCCACTTTTCAATGGTGAAAAGTTGGGGTCCATTGGAGCCATAGAGTTCTGCAAAGCCATTCATTGGCACCCTTGATGTCCCAGTCACAAATTGCAACAGTCTCGACCTCATCTCATTGTTAAATGAATACACAGCCTGAAACACACAACATAAGTTTATAACAGCTCTAGGTTCTGTTTTGAATTTTTTCATATGAGGAGTTTCACTAGAATTTCTCACAACAGGCTAAATAAATGAAACCAACAGGCAAAATTAATGGAAATCATAAATTTAGCATGTAGAAGTACCTAAAGACAACTGGTGATTTTGTGAAAACAACTGGTGAAAATCGCCTGTTGCCTACTGCTAATAAAACCCCTGTATGTATTATTATTAAATCATGTATTATGTAATGTTCCCTGAAACTGCATGCATATTGAAACCTCAATGTTAACTTCAATAAATTCTAATGAGCAGAGGAAGAGGGACAGAGCCTTTATTAATTTGTATCAACCAATTACCTTCCAGAAGTTGATAATGACAGGATGGTTGGGCCCATATTCTCCCCTATACGCTGTATGATGTTTCCAGTCATTCACATCAACATCCTGTAGTCCACATAACAGGAGCTCCAGCTCATTTGCATCAAATATTGTCAAAAAGTTCTGTGGTATTAAATCATTTATACCATCCCTGAACGCTTGCATTTGTTTTTCTACTCGACTGACAAACCGCCATTTTATCACCAAACTGTAAAACAGAACAACCCCAAAAATGTTATTGGCAAAACATAAAATATGGCAAATATAATATTTAGACATTTCCACAGCAGAGTAAAATTTTCGAACCATTCATTTTTGAACCATTCACATGACCTAAGTCCTTTATTAGCTTATATGACAAATCATCAAGGCAACTACCAAGTCGTCATATGATGTGATCGTGATTTGATAGATATGACATCAGTCACATTTTGCCCCATCGAGCAACTTAACAAACAAATAACATCAACAAAACACAATATTGTTGATTCTCTATTAATATGTGACCACATTAACATGTTACCTAACCAACAACAAAACAAGCATTTAGTTTTATCTTCAGTTTAGTTCATTGTCTTTCTCTTAGGTATTTTCTCCATAGCGTATGGCCTTCATATTTTTCTAGTGAAATCCACTGCATCATCTTGTTTCATTTTGACAAAAGATATTTTCATCAAATTCCAATATCTATTATAAACAACTTACTCTATGTATTCTTTCTTGTTTTCTTCTGTTACTGCAATTTCCTCTCCACCAGGCTTTAAGTCTCTTGTTACTGTCTACAAATAAAAACAAGTTATACATTTTTTTGTGTAAATAAACAGATGTTACCAATATAAACCAAATCAATGTATTTTCACTAAATTGAATTTTTGAGTTAATAAGTATGTCTACTCGCTGCAAGGTCAGCTGTGATCAGTCACATGCTCAATGATGAGAATAAGTTCTTCCTTACCTCTCCAAAGACTTCCTCATCAACACTGAAGGTTAAGTCCAACACCTCAGGGTCATTCTCCATGATCCACATCAAAGAATTATGGTACTCAGAGTCCTACAATAAACATAAATAACCCATGACAAGACAAAGAAAATATTGTACTTTGAAAAAGTGTCAAAAACACTATTAGCACAGAGGTAGAAAGGGGGGGGGGTTAACGGAAGAACATGAGATTTTGCTAGAGAAGTGAAACATATTCATCAAAATATCTAATAATGAAATGTATGGTCCTTGTTTAGTATAAGAAATTGATACGCTGTGCTTATTTGAATTTCAACAATCAGTGTTGTAGAAACGAAATCTTTGAACTAATTTCAAACCAATATTCAGGACTTGAGAGCTTGAGAGGTCAGAGTAGCCTAACACTCATAAAATGTTGAAATTACAACACATCCTGTATTTGGGTAAAATTAATCATTAATAATATTCAAGCCTAAACATACCACTGACTCCATATCAGCAAGTGTTATCGGTTTGTTTAACATCATCTTGTAAAATGGTCGGATGAAAAAACCTGCAAAACAAATTCATCAATCATAAGAATTGAGCATCATGGTAAATATTGACATGTCAGTAAAATGTGAGGATACTGGGTTTTCATAACTTTATCACTGGTATATCATCGAGCCAAAAAATGTTTGAATTACAAAATTATCTAATCTTTTGATGCACTCTCTTCAGGTATACCTATCAATTGTATTAAATAACCTATCAGTTTACCCAAAGAAGACAGAGAGATTAAAGATGAAAATATTAAATACAAACATTTTGTTGTTTAAATCATATCAGAATATTAATTATTTAGAATCAAGACATGTACAACTATACATCTCATACTTACCATCTAATAGTTTTCCATGGTAGACAGCCATGCCAGCCACCCTGCCAATGAACTTAAAGTATGACAGATGTTCCTCATTTGCAAGACCTGAGAGTGGATTGATCTGTAGGGTATAGTTGTCCCTGGAATGAATGGAATGATTATAATTACTTCAGACCTATAAGAGTGTTCATCGATCGATGCACATGTATGTACATGACATGCATCATAAACCAAAATGATTAAATTATGTCGAAGTAAAAAATACAGTGATTAAAGTAGAAAGTGAATAAAAAGGTATATTCACATTGTTCGCATATTATAAGCTGGCAAAAATTGTATGTATGAGAAATATTATAAAGAATACAAGTCAAGCACATGGAATCAGTTTGGCTTTTATCATATCCTGCCATGCTAATACTTTAATGAAAGTGTTCATTTCCTATCAAATATTATAGATATAGTAGTTCTAGTTTACTTACGTTGCTGAATACTCGAAAAGACCATAGTATGGATTGAACATTTCCTTTGATAATAGATAGAACCATTCCCTAGCCAGCCCTCCGTAATCAAGACCTGTTTCATTGTCAAATTCAATCCATAACCTGCAAGTTACAAACAAACAGTTAATAAAAACAGAAATGTCAGCAAATCAGATTGAGAAAATTCGTTTTTGATTTGTTTACTCTTATCTGGATTTGAATTGATTTTCAACTGATTGCAATATGATTTCATATTCTTAACTTGATGAAATACCAAAGTGCCTCAATACAAGGAAATCACTGGATTGGTACACAACAAATTCTACAGGTATCATTTAAGTGAACCATTTACCTAGTTTTTAGAAGATCTGTATTTTTGACACTCATGACACATCTATAAGAATCCTCTAGCAGGCTATTCCTCTTCACTTTAATATCAATCTTGTTGGGAACATTTGTCTGAAAAACACAGAAACAATTATAAATGAAACTTTTCAGTTAAGGATAGATAGAAAGAATGTGTTCTTTCTCCAAACCAAAGAAACATGGGTTAATTACATATGTATTAAATTGATGATGATTGCAGGAAGACAGGCAGCAACCACTTATGAGTACTTCTTCATACATATCACATTATATATATCACAAATATTATCCTTAATGAAGTATTATTGAATCATACAATATAAGTCATTTTTTTATGCTAGGATAGAAACATTGGGAGAAGGTTTAACTGACTGACTGATTGAAACTATTTTGGAACATATTTTCTTTGATCTCTCTATCTCGAGAATACATACAGGTGATACAGGTGTGATTGCCAACTGCAACACATTGTTAATACAACATAAGTGTACTTACTGGTTTTCGAAGCTTAGATCTAAAATAGTCATATTTTCTTTTATAGTCTCTTGAATATGGCACCGCCTGAAAAAATGCAAGAATAAATAAATCTCTTCACTCTCACAAATAACATGGTCTTAATTATGATTATTTTCAAAGCATAAGGCTAAAAATTTTCAAGATATAAATCAAATATTTAGTTTTGGCTTGACGAAGACAACAAACACACAAAAAATATTTTCTACTTACTGGACCTCCAAGCTTTTGTAATCTAGGATCTTCCCACTGTGTTTGTCTTATATCTGAAAAAAGTTTTTGCTTTATTTATCTTATCAATAAACTGACATATTATACACCACAAGAATCTTGTTCAGTACTGTACTGTATTAAGGTACAGTATGTATTATTTTTTGCATCTATACTCTAGAATTCGTTACATGGTCTCAATCAATGGCACTCTGACAAAGCATGGAATTGACTAATTATGTACTGATAAATAAACTAAGGATGAATTTGCTGGATTTTTCTACTATTATATGGAGATTAACTTACTGTGATTTATGTAGAATATTCTGCCATCTGAATGTTGTCTCTCTTCCCAGCCAGGCTGAAATTGAAGCACAGGATAGTTTTCTATTGTTTGTAATTTGATCTAAACTGTACCACTCAGGCAAAGTAAAGCGAATACTCAGCAAACAAGCTAACAGGGTGCACAATAGTATACAAGTCTCAAAGACGTACTAAATTGATAATTCCAATAAAATTTATACAATCGTTCCGGATAGCCCATGTCTTTTGTCAGACCACAATGTAGTAGAATGTGTGACATTAGAGTGTGGTAATATGGCTACTTATCTGTAATTCAGACCAGAAGTATGCTCAATAAGTTGCCAAGATGCTCATAAATAATTCAACATATCATGTCATACACTAACTTACAGGTAAGGGTCCTAGATCCCGTAGAAGGTCAGGGTTGGATGATGTTCTACCTAGTTCATTTTGTATCTGCAGGTTGGTCTCAGACCTGGGTCTGGGTCGAGTTTTTCTCGGGTCATCCTATAAAGCAATCATAAGTCCCTACTTATTACATGTTTTTGAGCTCCCTCTACATAGTAACATCTTAAATTCATTCAGAATGATTGTTAGCCAAACCAAGAAATTGTAAGTAACCAGTTTGAAAGCAAAATACCAGCATCAAATGGTATAAACCACATTCCTTTAATATCTACATGTTGTAATTTTTGTCATATTGTATCTCATACCATTATTCCAATATACAACAATTATTTCATATTTTGACTTGAGCCATTGTTGCTGACCATGGTCATTATTAACTTTATATATTATTTTTAATGCCATAACCTAGACATTCCTGCAAGATAATGTAAAGCCAGCTTACCCATGTGGTTGTGTGCGTATTGTGGTCTATGAAGAATGGTCTTCCATTGGGTGCTATAGACATTGCATACCCAGCAGGCAGTGGTTCTTCTTCATCTGTGTTCTGCTGTTGCTGTTGACTAGTAGAAGTATTATCAAATACACCCTAGAAAAGAGAACATTTTTGTATTGCATCTCATCATTATCAAACAAAGCAGTATTCCTTAAGACTATTGCTCTCTGGCTATGATACTATAATCAACAATAATTTTTTATCCATACTCAGTAAAAGGTAAGAAAGGGTTTTGGTACAGTCAAATTTTGCATACTAGCCTAACAAGACATTTCTACTTATTCCTTGGATTAAAAGTCTAATATGAATTAAGATTCATCTTAGCAGGGCATAAATACAAGTTAATGATTATTATTACCACCTTGCCGGGCCAGTTCTAGGGGTTTTAGTGCTAGTTCAGAAGGCATTCATTATTTTACTATATCGACCTGAGCAAAATGTGACATCATAGTGGAAGTCAATATGCCAGTCAAGAATGCAATTCCCGTCTACTATTGCGGGCAATATAGTGAAATATTGGACTTTGGGCCTTTGGCCCTCGGAAATGACGTTATTGTACTATTAAACTCCATCACACACCAACTGAGATTTATACCAAGAACATTCCCCCAAAACCACAGTTATAAGTATGTTAGTGAGAGCTCATGGTAAGTGGTTAGTTTTAAATAAGGATATCAATATGCAATGATAAGTGTGTAATATGAAGGTCACATTTATTTATTATAACAGGAAACAGGTTTTCTTTTTAAGGATAAAATCAAATGTAATATCGCCATATTACTGTGGTGTACATTCAATATCAGATGAAACCTATTACAGGGGATGAACATAGCACAAACTACAAACATTCTGTGCAAGCAATTTAACTATAAGCACAATACAATACAACCTATCCATACTGAGTGTCTAATATTGCTGGCTATTGAATAACACTAAAGGTGCTACTGACATTATACACAAAATGACTATATGATACAATAGAATACAACAGGGAGGGGGATTGGGGCACCACCTTTGACATTTTAAGTCAATTAATGTTGAAACTTTGTTTCCTTATGTTCAATTGATTCTAAGTGAAAATACTAGTAATCCTAGATTCTGTTGATTCTAATCATTTTAAAGAGCTTTTTCCAGGAATGAGCTAACTAAATTGTACACATGTGGATTAGACTATGTGGATAAGCATAGAAGCCACATTCGTTTTATTTTGCATGTCAAAATGAATTCTTGGCAGTTTGAAGACTACTTTGTTCAATAGCTGATCGCTTTCAAACTTGGAAGTATGAAGAAATATGAGAGTGATTCTGGGCCAAAAATGTGAACTTTCAACATGTTGTTTCCATTTCAAAAAAAAAAAAAACTAGTCAGAAAATTCCAAATTCTCAAGTGCAAATAGATTCTCAAATGGGTGCAATGAGACTTAAGTTCTCAAATGGGTGCAAGGAGACTTTAGTTCTCAACTGGGTGCAAGAAGACTTTAGTTCTCAAATGGGTGCAAGGAGACTTTAGTTCTCAAATGGGTGCAGCACAGTTATATGTAATTCAATGCTGGGGAGATGAGATCACAGACATAGTATACATATTCAGTAACAAATCATGAGATGAAATGATAACCATGCCACACTAGCAGTTGAAGCATCCAACAACTTACGCTAGATACAGATTGGTGCCTCACTCCACTGCGGGATATCTAAGACATACAAGATGGGGTCAATATTGGCAGACAGTCCTTTGAAAAGCATGAACTTAAGGTGATTCCTCAATATATAATATATTCATACGGGAATAATCAATGAGAATCATTCTTTTAGCTGGCCATTTTTCCACAGGGTTGTTTGCAAGACTAAACAGTTTTAACACCTACTTTTAAAGCCCAGTCACCTTTCATTCTATTCTTTACTTTTCTAAGCTTATTTATACGAGGGGAAGGCATTGCTTATCAATTAATTCTTGTGATTTTTATTATATCACCAATTAATTAAATGGAAAATACAGTTGCAAGCATTTCTTACAACTGTGCATGAGACTGAATTCTTTTTGGAATATTTGTTCAATGCACTCACCTGTACAGGTTGTTCTTCACGTCCTTGATTCACTCCTAAACCTTCAAATATACTATCCAACTCTGCACCTAAAATTAATTTAGACAAGTTTAAATATACCAAGTTACATGACGACAGCTAGATCCAACATCTGGTTGCTACATGTCAGTTGTCTCTGTATAAGAAAATAACGAAACAATAGGTCTAGAATTCTAGTTTGGTAAAAAGATGGAAGTAATGGCAGAACAAAAAGGTATAGTTTTGCTGATCGATTGCACCATCACTTATATTACTTCTGAATGGTAGACCTAGAATACTTGACACATTCTGCTTTTATGGCTTGCTTACCTGAAAAGCTGAGGGTATCCTCTGTACTGACATGTCTACGTTGTCTGAACATGTCCCCAACTGCCTGTGCTGTCTGACGCCTGTTCTCCTCTGGCGTGACCCTGGTGTTGCTATAGTTACAGAGAAATCATGGTGAACAAACAGCATAATGAGTAAACAATATGAAACAAAATCATTTCTTTATTGTGATATAAAAAACAAATCATCGCAGTTTTACTTTCAAAGAATCTCAATTAACATAGAACGTATTAATGTACATACATAATAGATGCAATTCACAAAATGCTAAGCAATTATGATGTCACAATTTTGCAGCCAAGCAACCCTAAATGTCAAAGCTGATTAGGAAGCAATAAACTGACAGTCATGCTTATTTTTAAGCCTTTTGTCTCATTCCATATTAAAGTTCAAGCGGAAGGTTTTTTAATTTCATTTTTGAATATTTCTACATAGCTCAATGCTAATAGGCAATGGTTAATTGAAATGAATGACTTCTTTACTTGTGCGACATCGGCATAAAAACCTACATGGAAAAGATGGGTTTGTTCGTCCCAGTGTCACTCTGATTTGACTTTGATTTGGTTTTATAGTATTATTTAAAAGAGAATTGTTTATTAATGTTAGCAGAAGAGGCAATATCAGCAAAAAGTACAACAAAACAGAAAGAACCAATACAACAGTGACTAAAAAATAAATAAAAACAAGGCATTAACATGCAAAATGTCACCACCTGCCATTTGTAACACATGCTGACTGTTGACCGCCGAACACAAAAAAGTTGGAGAATATAGTAACAATATGATCACTTCTGGTGGTGACATAAAAACAAACAAAAAAACTTGCACTCATTTGGGGACTAGAAAACAAAATTGGATATTTGAACTATTCATGAATATAGCTGGTTCAGAACTAGTAAAACGAGAAGTTCACACACACTGTACATGTTGCCTCATCTTAAATAATTCAGCTTATAGAGGAGGTCTTACGTTCACTTACATAATGGTAGGCCTTTCCCATTGTGTCACTCTTGTAGTGTGATTCACATAATATGTGCGTCCATTTTGATCTCGCCTCTCCTCCCATCCACTGGGCAAGGATGGGCTACTGTCACTTTTAAATGAAATGTGAAAAAGAGTAAATTTCACTGATTGATTTTCTTTATTTTGAAATTCACTTCAATGTTGATTCCATCATCTGAAGTTTCCGTTTCGTATGAAATGAACTAACTAATTAACTCTGAAAAATTGTCATTCAGAATAATTTTCATTTAATCACTTAAAGATCAGAGAGAAAGCATTGCAATAAGCAAGTTATTGTTGGAGAAAATGTGCCATATGCAGAAATAATTAGCTAATGGGTTTTTTAATAGCTCACAAAGCTCTATATAAATACTGTCTGATGTCACAATTTCACAAATGTAATGCTAAAGTGGAGATGTATTAAACATAATCAAGAAATATGCGTGTATCATGGGTGCACCATTGCATATAGGCAAAATATGATATCCGTGAATTGAACAGATATTAAGTCTTCTTGCTATTGCATTCTATGAAATTATTGTGGCTTGCTCTGTTGACCAAAATATCAATAAACCTGTCTGATTCAGGATATTTATGGACTTTAAGTATCATTTACACAAAATCCCAAAATGCCACCATTTACTGCACTCATTAAGGTGAAATAAAATGACAACAAAAAGCCAATATCCCAAAAATGAGGTAAGAATAGGTGCAGGGACCAATGGTGTTTACTAGATGTGAGTGTTAGTTCAGATGCATGGCAGTCTCTACATCTACATCTTCATCAATAATCCACAAAAGGCTAATAAGCCCATTTTAAGTTCATTTATCCAAAAATTGTTGAAGGATGGACAAACATGGATATGACAGGCAAGTGGGCGATTCCATCTGCTTGAAAAAACGAAATCCTGAACTGATCAATACGTGACAGTTTCTGTTAGAGATTGCTATGAGGTTTTATCATTCTTGGGGAGACTATTACTAGGGCCATACAAGTTAATTATACAGTATGTTAAAAGTATAAACTACATAGAGAAAAGCTTCAAACATATCACTACTGAATTGAAAATAATATGTATTAATTAAAGAGTACCAAACCACCTTCTATATACAGTACATACAGTAAAGCTAGCTCACATATCTAATACATACTCTGTAGGACGCTCCCATTGTGTAGTCTGTTGGGAGTGGTTAACAAAGAATGTTCTCCCATTACTGTCCACCCGTTCCTCCCAGCCAGGAGGTAGAGGCTGTGGCAGTTCCTCCTCAGGGGCAGTGGATGTAGTGGATGCCGTGTCAATCATCTCCCAACCAGGCTGAAATAATGTTATATCATTTTTAATAATATCAGAAATGACAGCATAGAACTGGAAACAAATGATTGCCAGTATATTGGAAGATTTAATTAATTACAGTTTAATTGTATCAATTATACATGTTCAACAAAACATATACTTGTACAAGTACAGGATAATGCAAAATTCTCAATTCAATTATTTTAAACTTAGGGAGCACGTAGGTTATTGCAAACAATTTCAGAAGGTTATGTCTTGGATTATGACTATTTTCTGACAACGAAGACAGGTTTATCTTTTAGATCAATTCATTATCTCAAAGAAAATTATATACAGTAATAATAAAGTCTAACAAACTCAGAGATATTTAACTAACAATCAACCCATCAACACACTTTTTCAAAGATGTTGACCCCATTTTCACCAAATTACAAGTTAAACGTATGATAGTGAAAAAAATTAAGTAGATGGTTGGCCTTGATACCATTATGCAACCTTATATTTCAAAATCCCACCACTGGCCTCATAACCAGGGCCTTTGCTAACAGTCTATACCTCATTTTCTTCCTCGACATCTTCAAGCTCTACATCATCAGATTGTGTTGTGTCTATAAGACGGGGTAAAAATGCTAAGTAGATCCTTAAGTGACCTCTCACTCGTGACCGTGAACTGAAATAGATGAGAAATAGTGTTAAAGTTACTGTTTTTTTAGTTTCTTGTCCAGTGTATTTGAATTGTTTGTATTCAGAACATATAATATTGAATGGATAAAATTGATAAATCAAGCATGATATTCAATATCAACTTTATACACCTTTTAAAGTGTCAGTTGATGTAAAATTGATGTATCATAGTTTGACAATAAAAGCATGTAACTAATTAACAATACTCTCAATGGTTTCTGTGGCATCATTTTCTCTGCCAATAGCAGCTTTTGGACTTCCAAAAATATAAATGTCAAACACACTTTAGAATATAAAGCACCAAGTTTACTTATATGCAGTTATATAGTTATCAATTTGAGGCCAACAAGATACCCTCTGAAGGTTGTTGACGAGCAACAAAATGTCCTTCCAAGGTCAAGAATTTGAGGTAGCCAACTTTGGCATAGGAATAGCCCTGTATTATCATACAATAGTGAGCCATACCTTTCAGGACGTGCACAAGTACTGACTGAAAGGCCCCAGAGCCAAAATATTTTGAATTAGGCTAGCTGATGTTTTCAGCATACAAAAATAAATGGTCTTCCAGTGAATTTTGACCAGTAGGTGTGAAATCTTTACAATGTAGCCTAATTATATTCAATATGGCTCTAACATGATGAATGAGGGCTTACATATGCAGGGTTTTGTAGCCAAATTATATTCCATATGGCTCTAAAATGATGAATGAGGGCTTACATATGCAGGGTGTTGTAGCCAAATTATATTCCATATGGCTCTAACATAATGAATGAAGGCTTACATATGCAGGGTTTTGTAGCCAAATTATATTCCATATGGCTCTAACATGATGAATGAGGGCTTACACATGCAGGGTTTTGTAGCCAAATTATATTCCATATGGCTCTAACATGATGAATGAGGGCTTACATATGCAGGGTGTTGTAGCCTAATTATATTCAATATGGCTCTAACATGATGAATGAGGGCTTACATATGCAGGGTGTTGTAGCCTAATTATATTCAATATGGCTCTAACATGATGAATGAGGGCTTACATATGCAGGGTTTTGTAGCCAAATTATATTCCATATGGCTCTAAAATGATGAATGAGGGCTTACATATGCAGGGTGTTGTAGCCAAATTATATTCAATATGGCTCTAACATGATGAATGAGGGCTTACACATGCAGGGTTTTGTAGCCAAATTATATTCCATATGGCTCTAACATGATGAATGAGGGCTTACATATGCAGGGTTTTGTAGCCAAATTATATTCCATATGGCTCTAACATGATGAATGAGGGCTTACATATGCAGGGTGTTGTAGCCTAATTATATTCAATATGGCTCTAACATGATGAATGAGGGCTTACATATGCAGGGTGTTGTAGCCTAATTATATTCAATATGGCTCTAACATGATGAATGAGGGCTTACATATGCAGGGTGTTGTAGCCTAATTATATTCAATATGGCTCTAAAATGATGAATGAGGGTTTACAGAAATTGACATAACTTTAACCAATGAATGCTGTCTTACCTTCTTGGTCTGAGTATATAGTCCTTAAAGGGTATGGACCTTGAAGGAGATTCTGTAGGGAGGTTTACCAGTGGTACTTCTACTAGGCCTAGGAAGTCATCTCTGGTCTGCAACAGATAGCATTTACCATAAGGCAAGGGTATGCAAACTAGGAAACAACACCTGAATTACATGGAGATGTCAATCCCAACATATGAAAATGTGAAAGTAATGAAATTATTGATTTGTATAAAACAGAAGTTCACTTTTCACAAGGTGTGAGAGGAGAAAATGATCTTCTATCCAGAATAAAATTAAATTGATGAGAGAAAATGTAGATGGTAAGTTCGACATAATGATTTGATAGTCTGCTGTTCTATATAAAATGTCAATGTATAATTTAATGCCATTTAGTGGTTGTAGAGTACTATAAAAGTAATTAGGAAGAAACTCACCACTCTGTTTTCATCATACACTTCAAATAATAATTTGTTATCTGCTGGATTCACCTAAAAATAAAATGTAAACACCATTTACTTATTTGGTTTTATCTATTGTTCATTCCTACTAGGTTATTAAGCTGTATGTTTGGCTTCATTTTGTTTTTATAATGGAATAATGCTTTTTATTTGTTTTATTTCTGGTATACTCAAGTTCTGACTAATCATGTATAAGGTATCAGGTTGTATTAAATAGATGATACATACTATAATCACCATTTATTTCCATACATATGGCATTGAGCAATATCTGCATGTAGTTTCAAAAAGATGGACAGTAAAACATGTGTTTCTGAGCAACTCTCTTATCTGAACACCCCTCAATGTGAACACTTATTCAGGTCTCATTTTTTCAATCTGCCAAAGACTTCAATGGTAAAAACCTTAAAATGTAAACACCCGCTAATTGGAACACTTCTGGCCAATCTCACTGATTTATAATTAGACTGGTTTTACTGTATGAAGAAATACTTAACGTATTGCCCCATTGTACTTATAATACCCAAACCTACATTAACCTGCATTTCTTCTTGGAGTTTGTACAGTACATTGTACTTATTATTGAGTACATTTCATTCCTACTCATAGGATATGCTTTTTTTATTTGACACATTATTCATATGAGACACAATACATTTATTGTAGAGGGTTTAGAGTGATGCATTATTATTTTTTATATGAGTTCTTTTTATAATCAATATAAAAGCAAAAATTTGACCTTGTTCCTTTGAAATAATGTACAGTTTATTTAATAAAATATCTGTTTATTTTCTACTTACTCTAAAAAGAAATTCTTCACTCCATCTTGGGTTCAAAGTCTGTAAATAAAATATACATGTTTCAAAATCTGACTTAGGGTTCAATATGACATAAATGTAAACCCAACATGTATCTAATAAATTAATAATTAATAACTTTCATTCAGTAATGATCAAGCAAAAGTTATGTGAATGTTCATCAATTGAATTTATGTTTTCATATGTATTCATGTGATTAAAATTAAGAAAGAACCTAAAACAGCATATTGGAATTATAAATAAAAAATTATTCTCACCATTAGGGTGTCAGAAAGATGCCACAAGATGCAATCAAGATCTGCCAATAATAGTGCAATAATAGGGAATAAGGAATAAATAATGATAGGCCATTCAATATGATGAAATGTAGTACGAGTTGGACAGAATGTCGTACAAAGCAAGAACCAAAAATGAGTGCGTTTGTACTGACATTCTGTCCAACGAGTGTAGAATTTCACCATACTGAATGACCTATCATCCGATTCAAACATAAAAAATGAAAACATTGTTTGATTGTTGTTCAATAAGAGGCCCATGAAATAACCAAACTTGCTGTTATTTTTTGACATTCCCAAATGTGACGTTACAGTACAACGATTGAATAGATGCATGGTAATTCAAGTATGGAGAATTAGAGCATTGCTATGCTGCATTCTGATTGGTTGAGACACACAATTAGAGAACTGTCATGTTTGAATTTCATATTGATTTGATTCATGTAATAAGAACTGACAAAAAATTCACTTACTTTTTTGATTGTACGTGTTTGTGTTTCATCAAGCTGTCCTAAGTCCCTGTCACCTCTAAAGAGAACTACTCTCACATAAGGATCACTGGAATGGGATAAAATGACATGAAAAATAAATCAGGATTATCGACATGATGTGGCCATTAATAATGAAAATACATGTACCTTGATGCGGTCAACAACAACAAACATTCTGGATATTTCAGGTTGATAAAAATTAGACCCTTAGTTGAACTAATATCAATAATTCTTCTATAAATGGATGCCAAATAACATCAATATTTCCAAGAATAAACATGGGCAATGGGCATTTATTTTTAAAATACTCTCAAAGTCTATCCTATGCAAAATAACTAACCAGGAAATAACAAATAAATATGGTCAACAATTGTGACTCTAATTAAGTACAACAAGATGATGGCAATATAGCACTTTTCTAAAGTGCGATAAAAAGTTAAAGAAATCAAAAACTGAATATGAATCCTAATTTTAAATAAATCTCACAATTCTCATTCTTGTAACACTGTCTAGTAATGATTAGAAGTTATTAATGTTTGAAACTTAAAGTACTGTAGTTAGATTCATATTTACAAGCCTAGATAAGAGGTTACATGAATACCTCTTGACTTCAATGAGCTAGCAATGGCCCATGAGGATTAAATAAATTTATTAACTATCACCAAAACACTCTTGTGATGCTATATAGGAATTTTGTAATACAAAAACATATTTTGCAAACATGATCAATTTAATCAACTTTAAATCAATTCCAAAACATATTTTCTCTGTAAAGACACTGGCCAGCCAAGAAATGCCAAATAGTATTCGCTGCTATAGATATGAGTTTAAGACATGAAAATATAGTTATACTGAACCTTTTATCAGGGTATGTTTTCACAGGTTCAGATTTCTTGAATACAGATGTCTACTCTAAAATGAACAATAACTTTGCTTTGTGCAAGCTTACAGATTTGTATTTCACAAGGCAATATACTGAATATAACAAAAATGAATCAAAAACATCGTATATGTCAGTTTATGTTTGTTTTTTTATTTTATGAAGACAGGCATCTGAGTCATTTCTTCCAAAAATCAACAAATTATGTTCTCTATGTTATACATGTAGAGGACGTGTATATTGTATATTTCGATTAAAAGGATATCGCGATTTATAGAGGATAAAATGGTTTAACTTTACTGGCTATTTACATGATTTCCTGATCAGATATCTTCTTTGGTGAACCTTTTTCAAAATATGCATGAAGATCCATTCAAAGTCGTTTGACCATTATACATGTAAAAATCCAAATTTAGACTGAGGATTGAAAAAGTTCTAAGGACTTTTATTTTTCTCCGTAGCCTGGAAGTAAATTTATGAGTCAAGTAAATAGTGATAATGTTTTTTATGAGGAAGTCAAAACAGTACTATTAGAATTAATAGTAAGCATTCGAAGATCATTTAGAAGCATTTAAAATCGAATCCACAGCAAAATTGAAAAACTAAAATCTGTATACGTCTTCTTCTTTGTCTCATTCGTGGATGTCACAGAACACACTAGAAATCGGTGACTTTATCAATCAAAAAATCTTTTTTTGAATTTGTCCAACATCTGCTTAAATATTGTATGTATATTTGTTTTGATTGTTAAATTACAAAAGAGGTAGGGAAAAGAATGTGTCAAAGTCGTTTGATCTAGTCCCAGAAGGAATATTTTGTCATTTCTGTCACCTAGAATTCCTTTAATCATTTTATGTTACCACCAAGAAGTGGTGATATATTTTTATGGCTACTATTTTGTGACTGGCATCACCAATCAGTATCATACCAATGCCAATGAGGGAATTAGTGCGAAATATTGAGGGAATATCCTGTCCACTGACATGTTCCCAAGGCTGCAAGCCGAGAGAACATATAAGGGGACAGGTATTCCTGAGTGGAAATTTTTTACACTATTTCCCGAAAACGTGGCAGACACTTTTTGTTTTATTATATCCCCCATATGTACTGATTGTACTCTGTAAACAAAATCAGAAATCTTTTCATTTCAACATTTAATGCTTACAGGTTACTCGAGTCTCTAGCCAATACTTGGCTAGAGGGGATTTCATCTGGAATACTGTGAACTCCATTTGAAAAAAGCTGGCCGCCGTGTCATAAATTTATTGAATATTTTAAAAATCGCCAGATAAATAAATCATTAATCAAAATGGACCCCGCTCGGCTCCTTGATGAGATATGACATGATTTCATCAGGATTTCGTCTAAAATTAAAACAAAATGGCTCCAAGAAAAATGGCGATGTTCGAAAACTGGACGAAATGTCGTTAACGTCTGACATTAGTAACTGGCTGTAAATTCTAAGTTAGCGATCCAGATGATGTGAACTAATACACTGATCACTTTATGTGTGTTTTGAAATTTTTGGTGAGGTAATAAGACCAAAACTCGCAATTCAAATTGTGATGTGGAAAAATGGCGGACATATGATTTCAAATTTTATGATTACGACATGACCAGTTGTTCATGCAGGAATATATCTTTACTGGAAGGCCACGATACAGTAGTGGCCTTAGAAGAAGGTAACTTACAGGTTCTTTCTGAAATTCAAGACAACTGCTTTTTTGGCTTTGAGAGAACAGTTTAGACTGAAGATTGGAATTGATTGAGGTAGGAAATATGTGTGTGGCTCAAGCTGTTTTTTCGACTTTTGAAATCTAACACGAGCTTCTGTTCAACAATCCCAAGACCAGAATGGGATGCTGGAACTGCCTAACTTAGTCTAAATCAAAATATGGTAGAATTGTTTTCATGGCCTGAGTTCGTCGCTAACATGCTAAATATAAGAGTTAGCTGACGTTTGGGAGTCTGACTTACCTTCTAAAGGTTAGAACCCGAATCTTAATGAAACCATATCACCTTTGTTCCGTCAACCATGGAGCATTTGCCACAACATCCAAGAGGTAAATCATGAACCGTGAAAATGAATGATTTCCTTGTAAGTTCCGGAAGTTTCAATACGAAAAATTACCGAACATATGTGAAAACCGGATATTTGTTCGTTATTTTCACTATTTACAGGTTTGTTTGTTCTTCAATGTTTTGGTCTAAATTATAAAGCATCACCAACAGGTCTTATGGCCTAGTCACATAGCCCGGCCGATGTCCGGCATCGGTAGAGCTCGGTGGACTTTTTTGGTGCCACCGAGCTCTCCTCATCGGAAGCAGAGCTCGGTGACGTGAACGGACTCCGTCCGGACATCTTCAGGCGACCGACCGAACACCGGCCGGTGACCGTACGGAGTCTGTCTCAAAATGGTAGTTTTTTCTGCCGATGTGGCAGCAACTACCGGCCAGAGGTCGGCCGGACATCGGAAGGAATACGGCCGGTACCCGAGCAGGTAACAGGACACCGTGCGATCGCCGGCCGGGTTGTTAAAGGGCTTTGAACAGTGACCGGCCGATGCTCTGTCCCACATCGGCCGGAGCTCGGTCGGAGCTCGGCCGCTGTCCGTTAAAAAACCTCGTCCTCTGGTTGTCTCAGATGCACGGGACACCGGCCGATACTCGGCCGTGCACCGGCCGACGTGTTTTTCAATGTGGTTACGATGGGGCTGCGATGACATGATGAGGGAGCTCGGTGAGAGCCCGGTGAAATTTAACTCCGAAGTTAAAATTTCACCGAGCTACCACCGATGCGGTTTTAAGCAACAAACGCCATGGATGTCCGGCCGGTGTTCTGCCGAGTTCGGTGAAAATTGCATCGCTGGCTCATCGTAACCTCATCGGCCGGGCTATGTGACTAGGCCATAACTCTATTAATCGACTAATACACCAGACGGCTCATATTTCTACGTAGCATTTCGTTCAGACCAATAGTGGGAGTGTAGATCACGCAGTTTTGTTCGTTGCGTACTTCACTTGAAATTGGTAATTTTAAATATTGGCTACTTCACTAAGCTTGGCGGATGTAGAACATTGCTTCATATTCTTTTAATGTTCACACCAGACATGCTTGGTTTAGTCCCTGATCTGGACCCTCTGAAAAAAAGTTTTGTTGTCCGGTACTTTCCCACATAAAATGATTGTACCGTTTGAAAGAACAGACTTCCCTCTTAAAGAAAACACCTCTTCTATTGATGTAAACAGGGGCAAAAGGCACCAAAATGGGGTTAGACAAGGTGGCATTCTGAAGTCTCACTTTCTTGTCATCACGATTCCAGGTAAACCATCAGACGGATTTACTTCAAGTTTTCACACATGTTACATGGTAAGAAGTTCTAGAGCTGATTAACTTTGCGGCGGCCATCTTGCATTCTGGCGGCCATCTTGGAATTTTTTTCAGATAAATATTGTCATCGCGATTCCACAAAAACCACATAACAGATGTACTTCAAATGTTCACACATGTTACATGGTAAAAAGTCCTAGACCTCATTATTTTTTCGGTGGCCATCTTGCATTCTGGCAGCCATCTTGGAAGTTTTAAGATAAATCTTGTCATTACGATTTCAGGAAATCCAAACGGATTTACTTCAAATGTCCACACATTTTACATGGTAATAAAATATAGAGTTGAATAACTTTTCGGCAGCCATCTTGCATTCTGGCGGCCATCTTGGAAATTTTGGGATAAATGTTGTCATCGTGATTTCAGGAAAACAACCTAACAGATTAACTTCAAATTTTCACACATGTTACATGGTATGAAGTTCTAGAGCTGATTAACTTTTCAGTGGCCATCTTGCATTCTGGCGGCCATTTTGGAAGGTTTATAGATAAATCTTGTAATCAAGATTTCAGAAAAACCACTTCACAGTTTTACTTCGAATTTTCACACATGTTACATGGTATGAAGTTCTAGAGCTGACTAACTTTTCGGTGGCCATGTTGCATTCCGTCAGCCACCTTGGAAGTTTTTAGATAAATCTTGTCATCACGATTCCATGAAAACCACGTAACAGTTTTACTTCAAATTTTCACACATGTTACATGGTAAGAAGTTATAGAGCTGATTAACTTTCCGATAGCCATCTTGCATTCTGGCGGCCATCTTGGAAGTTTGTAGATAAATATAAAATACAGTCAAAGCATTTACCACCAACAAAGGATGCTCTCATTCTCCATATAAATAGAGCCAACTATCAGGCCTATATTAGGCGAAACGCAGGCAAATCAATGATTGATTATCAATCCCCCACATTACATGGTTGGACATTCAAAGGGAATAAACTACAAATTAAGTGGATGGAAAACAGTCCTGCCCCACAAGAAATAATGGAGCTTGTTGCTTGTAGTTGTAAAGGAGCGTGTGACTCAATGAGATGTAGTTGTAAGAAACAGGATCTCATTTGTGGAAGTTCATGTAAGTGCCGCAAAGGTGTTTGTGAGAACTGTCCAACCCATCAGCACGATGATGTTGATGAGAGCGACAATGAATTTGAACCAGTTGATGACACCATTACACCAAACGTTGAAGATCAGGAAGAAAATGAATTAGCTGAAAATCTCTTACCTGACAACTGGATGAACCAACTTGTCAAAGTTGATGCCATAATATGAATTATCTCACCCTGTATATACACTGGTGATCCGCTCGATTACAGGTACGATTTGTCCTTATTCCTTATTTCATGCGTTGTAGACAGAATCCTCTCGACTATTGAAAGCTTATGTTGATATTGTAGCAGTGTTTTTAAGTTCTTTTTGTTGGTACAATTAGTTTCCAAACCCTATACTTATATCGATCTGACACACAGTTTTAGTGCAGGTTTAAGTGACTTTTGTTGATTATTAAACGCAAAGAGCACATGTGTCTCGAACTCGCAACATTGTGGATACAGAGCCCATTCACATAGTTTGACATGCTGGTGCTCTGAACCAGCTCGTTAGTTAATATCTGACTAAGAGACAGCTTGCTTTCCCGATGAAGAAACGTTTTCTGCAGCTTTTATGAGTACTATAGTATCTACAACTACTTTTGATCTTATGAGTATTGGATATCATTATTTTCAATTTTTCTTCAACATGTATTTTAATGACTTCAGTATGAATGGAATGTCCCTCGGAGTTGTGGTCGTTGATGAGGAATTGGTCATTGAACGGTGTGGATGCTGTTTATTCCCATATTAGATTATTGTCTTGGGATATTCAGGTTTGATTTTTGTTTGCCAGTTTTACACTTTACAGTTTGCTTTTCCCACTAGGTTGCTTTACACTTTTTTTCTTTCTCATTTGTCATTTTTGTTTATATTTAGTAAGGATATGATACGCAGGTCTCTCTTTCTGTGTGATCACCTGTCCAGAAGATAATTCAACTGCATGAAGAACATTTCGTTGACATGATGCACATTGAAAGGTTTTCCACACATTTACATTTTCGTTTAAAAGAGCTTTAATTCCGTTATATACTCAGATCAAGGCCAATTTAGCATACATTTCGCTCTCAAAAATCACTGTGCAATAATGGATTTCAAAGAAATGTTTGACGTCTTCAATAATCTTTTTTCTTTTTGATGAAATGTAGTTATTTATTCTAAAAATCAATCGATGTCATACACAAAATGCATTTAAGTGGTATAAAGTACAGAAGCAGAGTAAAAATATGTATTTTAGAATATCACCATGTGTTACCCCATTGTAGCGCCTCTTGCCCATGTTTCTATCAATATAAAACATGATATCATACACCAAATATGCATTTATGTCAAATTATGTGGTTTAAAATACAGAAAAATAGATAACATTCTCCTTAGAATACCACCTTGTGTAACCCCACTTTACTGCCTTTTGCCCCTGTTTATATCAATATAAAAGGTAGCATGTAACCTTCCTTGTAACATGTGTAAAAGTTTCAAGAAAATCAGTAAAGTGGTTTTCCTGGAATCACAATGACAAGATTTATCCAAAAAACTTCCAAGATGGCTGCCAGAATGCAAGATGGCCACCGAAAGGTTAATTAGCTCTAGAACTTCTTACCATGTAATATGTGTGAAAATTTGAGGTCCGTTTGGTTTTCCTGAAATCGTGATGACAAGATTTATCTTTAAACTTCCAAGATGGCTGCCAGAATGCAAGATGGCCACCTAAAAAATAATGAGGTCTAGGACTTTTTACCATGTTACATGTGTGAACATTTGAAGTACATCTGTTATGTGGTTTTTGTGGAATCGCAATGACAATATTTATCTGAAAAAAATTCCAAGATGGCCGCCAGAATGCAAGATGGCCGCCGCAAAGTTAATCAGCTCTAGAACTTCTTACCATGTAACATGTGTGAAAATTTGAAGTAAATCCGTCTAATGGTTTACCTGGAATCGTGATGACAAGAAAGTGAGACTTCAGAATGCCACCTTGTCTAACCCCGTTTTGGTGCCTTTTGCCCCTGTTTACATCAATAGAAGAGGTGTTTTCTTTAAGAGGGAAGTCTGTTCTTTCAAACGGTACAATCATTTTATGTGGGAAAGTACCGGACAACAAAACCCCTTTTCTAGAGCCCTTTTGGAAATCAGATCGGGGACTAGTTGACACGTCAACAAAGTAAAGTTCAAGGGTCAATGCGTTATTTCGTGATAACAACAACGCCTTCCCAGAAGTCAACATTGATGAAAAATGAAAAGGTCGGAAAAGCATTTACACTAATTTCTATCAAATGCTGTGTTTATGCATCATCATCGACGCAACAAAGGTGATATGGTTTCATTAAGATTCGGGTTCTAACCTTTAGAAGGTAAGTCAGACTCCCAAATGTCAGCTATTTAGCATGTTAGCGACGAAGTCAGGCCATGAAAAAAAAATTATAGACACATTATCTCATAAAACTCTAACAACTGCACTGATCAGATGCATTATCAAAACAAATGTTTTTTCAAATCAATAAGTACAAGCATACCTTGCTCCGAAGATATCCTTCTTTGCCAAGTTGATTCCCTGTTGAATTTTTATCCGGACAATTCTTGTGGGCGAATTTCGGTCACTCTGAAATAGAAAAATCAACGTACTCAGATGTTCCGCCCAATTTCATGCAAATAATATGTGGAAGATAAAATTAAAATCATTCTTACCGCTATTTCTTGGAGCCCAAACATTCGCTGATCACTGTTTACAGCTGCCATGAACAAATAATTTGTGAAATTTACTTCCCGAAATTTTGTTTAGGCCCACTGCGCATGCGTAATTGAAATTTGTTTCCATTCTGAAGAGCGATTTGTTTTGAAATAGATGGAAAATATGAATCATTTCGTCCTTGGTCGATTATATCCTAGAATATTTCGCAATACTTGTCTGTCTTTACGTAGATCTATTGCCAATCAATACGGCTATTAATCCCAAACGATTCTAAATATAACTTTACAGATTACAATCAAACAAAGTCATACAATACATTCTTAGACATTAGATGGGGGGGGGGGGGGGCTTAGATTGACTAGGCTTACTGTCACACCCCTCTATAGGATACTATTATATTTCCTAACTTTGCTATAGAACATTACAAACTAGATTTAGATTGACTTTCTATTTTTAGCAGTTTGACGTCAAATGTATTGCTTTTGAACTAAAAATGATTTATTTTCCTATGTGTGTTCTATATGTGTGTGTGTGTGGGGGGGGGGTGTAGACTAAATCCTGTCTGTCCGTAGACTCTAGTCTAAAATCTATTTGAAATTTGGAATGAAAATATTGAGGTCGGACCTAATTACAACTATTTACCTCTAACCTTTACACTGGTCTAGTTGAAAGCCCATGATTGGGCTAATAACTACTTTGAAAGGAAGAACTGAATTACTTAGAGGGCCCGGCTGGGCATACTTCTACACGTTCACGTACACTGAGGTACTCCAACCTGTAGCTTACCTCTGTAGTGATACCACTGTTCAGTGAACATTTATTTATTTATTCTGGTCTTGTACTTGTGCCCAAGCAATGTTATAGTTTAATTGAAGTTCTGTTGTTCTGATACGATTTGAAATACACCGGGTATCTCGCGATTAGGCCCATGGGCGCTTATTTCAGTTGCACAGGGCGTATATTGAAAGAATTCTTAGTAAACGCCCATGGGTCCTTATTGACTGAGGGGGAAAACAATTTTCCAAAGAGAGATGGGCGTTTATTATTATGAGGGAAAATAGCTTTCCTCAGTCAGTGGGCGTTTATTTCGAGGGACATTATCGATTGTAAAGTTGACGCGTACATCTTTTGAAATTGAAACTCAGGCTCTACTTATGTTCGAGAAATGGAGACTAAATCCAAAGGATGAAGTACGTAAATAGCAAAAAATTTATAAATGGGAGAATGAGGTAAGCCTGTCATTGTGTCTGGTTGATCCTCAGTGATTGAGCTTGTTCTGAATTGAACGGAAGAATATTTTGTCCTCGGTTACGCATGATTTGATAAGAGACAGAGATCGCATTGAGCATTTTATAATTCTTGTACTTTTGCGCCAGCAATAGTTAAATTGAAGTTAAATTGTTCTGATACGATTTGAAATACAATCTACAGTTCGAACGATGAATAAATGAGTAGTTGAATTGATGAAGTGAAGATTTCCCATCAGTGGATGAGAATATACAAAATGTAAATAAAATATACAAATGAGTTGTTTCGATATGTTGAACTTTTTGAACTCACGTTTCTCTTAAACCAGACATCAAAGTTTCTGAACATTTTACACATCGTCAATTTAATGGTCATCTATTGAATGGTAACAATATAATTTAAAAATAATATATAATACTTTTCTTTAGAAAACACATCAGACACTTCTTTTGTTCTTGGTATCATATGTTCGGAATGAAATGAAACATCTATCCGAACTTACTCGGAACAGAACGACATAAACACGTGTTTAGGTCTCTCAATAGTGTAATTGTACAAAGGAGAGTTCGGTTGGTTTTAAAAAACTATTTTGTTAATGAAATAAAAGGTCTATCTTAATTTCTATCTATTTTGGGGGGTTTTGTTTTAATTTTTTTGAATCATGACTTTTTATTAAATCAACCAAAATTTCATTTGTATACCTATAATATTGAGAGGTCTTAGAAAATGTTGTATGTGCTATTTTGTTCCAACAAGGTTCGGAAAGACAATTTATTTCATTCTCAAGAATTGATAGAAAGGAACAATTGCACTAAAAAACAAAAAATGTTAACAAAAACAGTTATATGAAATATATATATAAATAATTTTCGCATTAAATTGTTGTCAATTCGACAACATTACATAAAGGACCATGTTTTTACAGAATGTTTTCAATAATTGGTTGAAGAGAAAAACATTGTTGAATTCAGTTCACCATATCGATACCTATCCTTTTAGGGAATATGTATCTAGATAATATTGGAAACTATGGGCTTTCAAACCAACGTGGTTTAGAAATGGTAATAGGAAATCGACTACCAGTCCACTCATTTATTTATCGTCAGAACTGTATAATTCAACAATTAAATGGTGTCAACTGTCATATTTTCAATTACTTAAACAATACTCAATATACAATGCACTCGAACGACAGTAATCACATACCGTACATAAAAATTGGTCATTTTAAGCAATTTTAATCCTTTTCTCGAATGTTTTCGCTTACTAACACTAGGACATTATCGTTATTAGCAATTTCAATCCTTTTCTCGAATGTGTTCACCCACTGCGCGTTTTATTAAGATGAACACCCATAGGCTTTTATAAAGAGGGAAACACCTTCATACACCCCTCTTTCAAATAAACGCCCATGGGCATATTCGCAAGAAACTCCAGTAATCTAAAATTCAACAATTAAATGTAGCAATTAAGTCCATTTCTCGAATGTTTTCTTTAAGTTGAATCCTCGAAATGAACGTCAATGCGTTAAGAAAGAGAGAAAGACGTTCATATACCCTTCTTTCAAATTAACGCCCATGGGCCTATTTACTAGAACTCCCGGTTTTGTTGAAAATTAATAAAAGTGTCTGGAAATAGATTCAATATGTTCCTGAATTTTATCCCCTCATTTAGAAATCAATATGAATATACATATGGTTTGTGGTCCATGAAAACACGGAATCAAAGCATACAATTTGATCCTGGGCAACATTAATTGACACAAATGCATTCCTCAGCAGGTATGGTCTGAATGATACAGGTGATCTCACTTTTGAGGTCTTCGATTGTCCTGAGGTTATTCTCATACACTCTATCTCTGCCATATCCCAACAGGTAGGGACATTTTGGATGACGTATGCAGGTTTCCCTATAGCGTAATAGTGGCCACTGGGCATATTGAAAGCGCTGTCACATTGCGACTATCAATCAGATGGTCATGAAATAAAGTAGGCTGGTAGGGATTTGAATGATATACAAATGTGTAAAATATCAGAGAGTTATTCCCCAAAATGACAAAGATATGAGGAAAGTGTTGTAAAGGTTTCCAGTTTTTTTACCATACTGTACATAAGGTCACTGAAATGGTCAACATGTATTATGTTTTTGTATTTGTAGGTCAAAGCTATTGGGGTAACATTTCTAGGTCAAGAACTCAAGATAACATGAGAGGTTAGATTTGGATGTAGGAATTACTCAGATGGTTACCACTTTTGCCACCAGGTGGCTGATTTGGGGGAAATAACATAACAGGGTATTACAAAATTCCCTTAAACTTGAATAATGATCAGTTTTAGTGGTTCACTTTTCATATTTCCCTTGTGTATCTGATAGTTATACAAATTTAAATATGTCCAGCAAAAGAAAATATTATCTGCCCAACACAAGAAAAGATATTTCACTTTTTGGGGGAATCTCCCCGACCTAGAAATCATATTTTCCCAAAAAATTGAATTTTCAACTCCTTTCAAAACCACATTTCTAGATGTATTTACATGTAGATTCCAAATATGACATCATTTTGACTGAATTTTGAATTGTTAATGAAATAAATAAAGATTATTTCTACTCGCATCTGGTGTATTACCCATATTAAAGTTACCAAAAGCCAATCAATATCACATTAAGAGTCCATTTAAAGGTCAATATATTATTTCATATGCATGCTCTTAGCAAGACTAACTTTCCAATTATGTTCACAGATTCTCAAGCAGAGCATGAGTTTTTACAAGGGAATTCCACCCACTTCCATGTGAATGTAACCAACATTTTCCAACTGGTCAATTAAGTGGGTGGAATTACCTAGAAAAAACTGTTAACGTAATTAGAAAGTTAAAAGTCTGAAATTAAACATGAAAAAGTAATTTAGAAAAATCTTTTAAAACCTAAATCACAATTTAGCTTCAAACATGATAATGTACAGCTAAAGTGCACACCTGTATATATTTTGTCACTGACATTGATGATGGTTAGGCATGTAAATGCAGAGTTAATGCCAGAGTTAATGCCATGGCCATGTTCTCTCTCTCAGGTTTACAGTTTCTCGGTAAGATCATATTAGAGGTCAAAGTTGTTTAAAAGACAAATTAAGTATTCCATGACTGCAAATGTTACATAACTAGTCACTAGAGATTTTCTAACCTGGCCTCAATGAAATAATGTCTTCAACTTGAACAGAATAAATGTTTCTATAAAAATTAAATAAACAGTATTTATTTACAACAGTTTAATGAGTATAATATAGATTATTTACATTTGGAGTAATGTAATCGACACTAAAACAAAAACAGTTTTTACAATAAAATTAGAAGAAGAATGAAATCATGAACACATTTACATAAAATTCACCAGGTTGACAAATAATATGATTCAAATCACAAAACTCCCAGAGTCTAGAATGGGTCAGTTGATCAATAATATTATCTTTCATCACAATTACAAATTATGTGTAAAATGCATAGAATGTGTCAAAAATGAATGAATATGAGGTAAGATACACAGTAGACACCAAGTTGATTTATAGTTACAATAGACATACTCCATACCTTCTGAGGTTTTAGGTACATGAATAGCCTTGCCCAAGTCGGTATTTTTTTAACTTATCTGATCTTGAATTATTACCGCCTTGTACAATCCGATACATCTCCGCTGTTATTATACTGAAATATTCAACGGTTTCGAGATTTCCATAATAACTACGCCATCAGGGGTATCGCGAAACCTTATTGATTGACATATAACGCGTGGACACGACGTGTGACTTCAGGCTGAATGACCAATGAAAACGTTATTGGGTTGAGCTGCATAAGGGGAGGCATCAAAAGATCAATGTCTGATAGAAAACTAAATAAATCTAGTTTGGGGGGGAGGGGGTCAAAGCAATTTCAGTTTGCTATCCGACAAATTTCAACATTTAAATTTTTCGCCATTTCGACTCAAAATGCCTTGGAATGGTTTAAAAATAAAGACTTTACCAGATGCCTTCTTCACCAAGATGCATGCAACATGGAATATTATGCCTATTGTT